AAATAAATTAAATGATGACATTTGATAAGGTGTGTATCATATCAAATTAAATGGAGTACAAGATCAAAAACATACCCTCGATACAAAACTGATCAAGAAACCCTAATCATCAAAAGTCTATTTTTTTAGTAGAAAAATCATATTAGTTTTTACTATTTTAACTATTTATTTATATATATTTTTTTACTTTTTTTACTATGAAGAGTAAAAAATACACGCTATATTAAAATTTATATCTAAATCAAATGAGTTTATTTTTATTATTAAGAGGGCAAAGGTGGTATGCATGGTGTGACGATGGTGATGGCCACATGCATGCAATGCAGACGTGGTTTTCTTTTTCGTGCTATTAAGAAGAAAATGACAGAATGCTTCATAATTAGGATCCAAGAATTAATGTTGGTTGGTTGCAATTGCAATTGCAATTGCAAGGACATGGAACAAACAACAATGTCCTTTCTTACATTGTCCTAATCTTTACACGTGTCTCATTTCTCAGCCCCATGAAACAACTACCTTCATTTACCTTGCTCCAATTACTAGTAAATTTGTGGCCGTGAGGTTACAAGTTACAGTGATCTTGTGCTATTTCAAATTATGATTTTTTTTTGTTTTTTTAAGATCTAAACAAACCCTTAATTTAAACTTCTGTCCTAATCATTTATACATGTCCACAAGCAATGATCACTTGTAGTATTAAGTTTCAAATAATTAAATTTTATCAAAGTGATAATAAATCTCCTTTGTAGAACATTAGAGTTAATTTATATATTTTGTTTGTGTAGGAGTTACTCTGCTTTTTTTAATATATATATATATATATATTTTTTATATCTATTTCATTATTATACAATTTTTTATATTTAAAAAACACAAATAAATAATAATAATAATAATAATAATATTTTATTTTAGCGCTGCTTTATAGGTTATGACAACGTATTAATATCGTCCATTAATGATGAGCGGTGGATAGGGGCAATAGGCACAAAATTTATTAAAAGGTTAATTGCAGCAATATTAATTAATTAATTAATTAATATTGTGACAAGATAAATTAATTAAATTGGGACGTATACACAGGATGATGTTTCTCTTAATTATGTGAACAAATTAAATAACTGCCATAAGTACGGATCAGTAAGTCAATCAATATAAAATATATATACTATCTTAATATATATGTTTGTTAAATTCAAAAAAAATTCTAATCATAAATTATTTTAATAACAAATTTAAATCTTTTTTTTTTTTTTTTTTTTTTTTTTTTAAACCCATCAAAACAAACATACATTATACCTAATTATTTGACAATAAATATATACATTATTGCTATTTTTGAACAAAGCCAGAAAGATTGAAATGTGGGTGAGGTACAATAAATAGTGATTTATGCATTTTTGTAGCAACCAGACAACATAATGACAAACAAACTAATTTTATGGTACATAATCATTTTACTTACCCCCACTTTACTGACACTATATAGTATATACTATAAAAATGGCTTCTTCTTTAGTTTTTTCCTTTTAATTTCAAATTGTGTATATAACAAATTAAATGTCGAGCCATTAAATTTAAATTGTTAATATATAATCCAGAATATATATATATATTTTCATAATAGAGAATATATATTATGTTGAAAGTGGACTCTACATGTGTTTGGATTTTGGTTGATGTTGTTTGTAGGTGGTCCGATCAACAGACGAATAGATGCGGCCCAATTTGTTTTGAGTCTAATTTGTTAGAAATTTTGGGGGAAAATAACGAGATTGTCTTATTGATCATCAAAATAAAGAGCCTATACATAGGCAATACAAAACAGACTCGATAGACTCAAATCTAAGTAATCTAATCTATGAATAAGATCAAATCTAAATATAAATCTACTAAATCTAAAACTGAATATCTAAACTATCTCAACATCCCCCTCAAACTCAAACTCAAGTGGTATAACATAAACCAATTTGAATTTGATGAGAAATTTGAAATCTAAAACTGAATATCTAAAATATCTCAACATCCCCCTCAAACTCAAGTGGTATAACATAAACTAACTTGAGTTTGATGAGAAATTTGAATATAAACGCAAAAGGAAAACATAAATAAAATTAGCAGTTGACTCTCCGCCCACCAGAGCAAAAAACGAGATGACTCTCCACCGGAGCAAAAAACGAGATGACTCCACCGGAGCCGAAAATGAGATGACTCCACCGGAGCTGAACAAGCCGAAAATGAGATGACTCCACCGGAGCCTAAAACGGAATGACTCCACAGGAGCCGAAAACGAGATGACTCCACCGGAGCCGTCGAAAACGAGATGACTCCACCGGAGCCGTCGAAAACAAGATGACTCCACCGGAGCCGAAAACGAGATGACTCTACTTGAGTCGAAAATCACATAACTCCACCGGAGCCAAAAACCACATAATTCCACCGGAGGCGAAAACAAGATGGATTTGCAAAAAGACAACTTGCAAAGACATGATCTCAAAATTACAAAACCTCCGGGTACAATCCAAGTTGAATGCACCCGGAGAAACACGGGTTGATAAACTATATCTACGGCATGATAAAAATAGGCTCTGATACCATGTTAGAAATTTTGGGGGAAAATAATGAGATTGTCTTATTGATCATCAAAATAAAGAGCTTATATATAGGCAATACAAAACAAACTCGATAGACTCAAATCTAAGTAATATAATCTATGGATAAAATCAAATCTAGATATAAATCCACTAAATCTAAAACTGAATATCTAAAATATCTCAACACAATCTCAAACAAAGAAATGACCCAAATTGATCAATCCAATGAAAATCCAATCGAATTGATCTAAAAAATTCGTTGGTCCCCCCAATCTATGTGTGTGAACAACAAATGTTGATTATAACAAACTTTATGAATTGTGGGAGAGATAGTGGAAGAATAGATTTTATTCTTGTTGAGTTTGTTAGTGTGAATATTCGTAGAGCTTCTACATGGTAGGGTGAGTTTTAAAAAAGATAGTGAGCTGAGGCAATTGAATAGAGAACTTAAGTGAGAGACACAAGTTCAATGAGTTGATGGTGATGAGGGGGATAGATTAGGAGTGGGGTATATTCAAGAAATAGTGAGATAGATTTCTTGAGAGTTGAGATTCTAATTATATCCATGGAATCTCATGCTTCGACTACTTTGATAGTGAAATTTGTCTGGATTGGAACTCCCAAATGTAGATCGTTGATGACCGAACTGGGTTATCAATTGTTTTGTATTTCTTGTTCTCATCGTCATCAGTGTGCACTCGCAGTTTGATCATCCAGCAAACAACCAGTTCGACATATTCTTGGTGGTGAAATATTCTTGGTGGCGAAATATTCTTGCTGTTTGATTTGGAGCGAATTTGGAGCCAACATATTATAATTATATTTTAGTGATAAATTTTATTTTCATCAAATTCACCCAGCCATGATGTTGATATATTTTATCTCACGTGAAACTCTTTAAATTATATTCAAGTGATTTTACATATATTATTCAAATAATTAAGTAGTTTTTTTTCTTCATTTTATTTTAAACTTTGAGAAGCAACAATCTTATCAAATAAATCTGGATTAATGTTTTTTTTTTTAATTAAGATATGTGTATTATATACGTGGATAATACTTGGACAAGTAATCAATACCCAAAATTAATCGTGGAATATTATAAACCATAAAACAAAGCCTTTATATATATATATATATATATATATATACATAACATGTGTATCAATTATATAAAGAAATAAAAAAAGAAAATTGAAAGTCATTAAATAAATAAACAACAAACATTAGAAGAGTTCATAATTACATTTTAAATGCAATATGCATCATTCCTTCGATGTTGTTGTAAAGTCGCTTTCAAGCTTCTACCTTGTTCCATACTCAATAAATTTTCTGCTGTATAAAAATAAATATAGTTTGTAAATTATACACTTAAAATAATGTTTATTTACTTATTTATTTTAATTTCACCAAATGCCTTGAATTGAAAGAAGAAATACCCAATTTATATTGCAATTGAAAAGTATATATTTTTTTATTAAAAAAATCCGAGTGACTTTTAAACTATGGACCCAATGATGGCAACATCAACAGCCAATATTTGTTACTTACAATTCAGTTTGGAAAGAGAATATACCCATTCGAATTTCTGTCTATTTTATTTTTTTTAATTTTGTTTTTATTAAAATTTGGACACGAATCTAATTCAAATTTATTAGATTTGAGTTGAATTTTACGAGTTTAAATCAAAATTGAATTAGACCTACCTCGAAAAAGTTAATAGTTAGGCTAAAGTGTGTTGTCATATTTTGTGTTACTCGAGAGATATTATTGTTGACATGATAATTGGTTTTTTTTATATATATATATATAAATTTTGGTGATGAAATTAAGTGGGTTTGTCACGAAAATAAAATAAAAATTGAATAATAGAAACAAATTTATTATTGATCCCCAATTATATTTAAAAATGAATTGAAGTAGGTAACATTATCCTATTTCTATGACCCATCCCTAACACAACATTGCAATGAATGCACTACATCTGCCCTCACAATAATTTTCATTGCCAAATTACTACTACCATTATTAAGTAATAATAAATTAAATACATACAATTATATTCATATTATATATATATAAAAGTAATTATTAATTAAGTATTATATTGGGACTTGTTTGTTCCAGTTGAGGTCTGGTCAGGAAGCAAAATGAATGAGATGAGATCTATAGAAATTTTAGTTGATTAATTAGACTGAATTAAATTAATTTTTATTTTATTTTATACTATATATATATATATATATATTTTATTGATATAATGAATTAATTTAAATCCAGCGTTTATAGATAATGACAGCGAGTATATGCGCGTGTGTGTATTTGGGCCTGTCATTGATTATTCTTCCTTCATCTCTATAAAGCAGCAGCGCAGACACCCCCACCCCAACCTTCACACCCCCCCCCCCCCCCCAATCGCCGCCGTCTGCATCGCGCACTCTGCTGCCTCCTGCTTCTCCGACTGCGGCGGCGAAGGATATTTTTAATTAACTAATTAATTAAACAATCAGTTAGAGAGGAGAATGGGAAGATCGCCGTGCTGCTCCAAGGAAGGTCTGAAGAGAGGGCCGTGGTCGGCGAGGGAAGACGCCATACTTTCCGACTACATCCTCCAGAACGGCGAAGGTCAATGGCGAGCACTCCCCGGAAAAGCTGGTACGCACACACAAATTAAACAGTACTCGCCTAATTCTCAATTGATTTGTGGATTGATTGATTGAGTTGCTGGGAATTGGAATTTTGAATTTTAGGGCTGTTGAGGTGCGGGAAGAGCTGCAGATTGCGGTGGATGAACTATCTCCGGCCGGGGATTAAGAGGGGAAATATCAGCCAGGACGAAGAAGATCTGATCGTGCGGCTGCACGGCCTCCTGGGCAACCGATGGTCGCTCATTGCCGGCAGATTGCCAGGTCGAACGGACAATGAGATCAAAAACTACTGGAATACTCATCTCCACAAGAAGCTCGCCGCCGCCGGAGTTCTCCCCTGCCCGAACCGACCACTGCCCGGCTCAATCGCCTCCGAGAAGAAGAAGAAGACGAAGGAGGATAAGAAATTGCCGGCGAAGGAGGAGGAAGAGCCAAACAATGATGCTGCGACGAAACACGGCCGTGTTGATGATTTGGTTCCTCCGAAGACGAAGGTGTACTCGCCGAAGCCGATGAGAGTGTCGCCGGGGTTCTCCAGGAGCAGCAGCTACGACAGCTGGGCCACCAGCGGCACGTCCAGCAGCGACGGCGCAGATAAGGCGGCGGCGGCGCCGTCGACCGCCGAGGTGTTGTCGTATGTTTGGCCGGCGATGTTTCCTGCCGGAGACGGCGGGGATGAGGAGGGGGATGATTTTCTCGGCGCCGGAACCTTCCTCCCGCTGCTCCACCACCAGATGGACGCCATCGCCGGCGACGACAAGATGCTGGATCAAGTCTACGACGAGTATTTGCAGCTTCTCTGAAATGTTGAAATTATAATAATAACTTAATTAATTACTAAGACCATGTTCTTTTGTTCATCGTAATTGTAACTGTAACTGTAACTGTGCAGTGTATAAATAATTAACTTTTTCTAATTAGTGCTAATTCTCATTTCTTTGTTTACTTATATCTTTTCGCCCATCTTAATTAAATTTATATCTTGAAATTTATTTTATTCTACAAATTTAATAAAAATAATATAAATGTTTTTTTTATAGCCATAAATTCATAGGAAAAACTGAGCCCTGAAGATGCCACGTTATATTTATTCTGAGTCCCATATTTTATGGACGACTATAATTATTTTATTTTATTTTATTTTTCAAATCCTCTTGCAATAAACTTTACAGATATTTATTAAAACTGAAAATAAATCTAATTATTTTTGGCCTACTAGAAACCACATTAATTAAGTGAGGGTTAGTGTCAAGTTAGTGGAGAAGTCCCCCTCATGTTTTTATAAAATAAATATTTTTATGATAATAATTAAAACACTTTTATCACCTTAACACAAAAATTATAAATATAATAATAATAATGGATAAAATAATTATCAGAAAATAATAACGTGAGGTTAGTTGACTGCTGTGGTATTAGTGACTGCCCCAATCACACAATAAATTAATTACCAACTTGATATACATTATTATTACCATTATTTTCTTCCAAAGTAGATGTAAAAATAATAAATAAAAATAATAATTATAATAATAACAAACTTGTAAGAAATGAAAATGCAAATTACAAAAAGATGTATATATATATATATATGATTAACTAACATTCAATTGGTTTTATTTTATTAGCAAACAACCAGATATATTATATAGCATGTTGATGGGGTTTCATATTCATTCAATTTATTTATTTATTTATTTTTAAATGTGACACGAGAAAATAATTTATGATTTATGTGCGACGAATTATTTAAGGACAGTCGAGGTTTAGATTAAAATATATTGTTTAACGACTAATTAATTACTTATTATACATGATTATTGCAAGCCTGTACATGTACATGTACATAACAACGATCTGCCAAATATTCTCTTTTTAAACAAAATAAAATTATAAATTATAATTTTATTTAATTTATTGCACCCTTTCCATTTATAACGTCAATAAATATTCGAAATTATTGATGAATAATTTATACTATAATTTATTTATTTATTTATGCTAATAATAGGTGGATCTCAATTCTCAATTCCCAATACACGTGCACATATAACTAGTGATCTAAAATGTAAAAATTAATGTTGAAACAATCTAGAACAGATTTGGGAATTTGATTTATTTATCAAATTAATTGCCATTATTTATAGTTTTGGGTGTAATATTTTAATTGTTTGTTTGGTTGAATAATATATCAATCATTGTAATGTCAATAATTGAAATTATTCCGATTAAAGACAATTTAAGCAATTGTGTTGGAAATGATTCTAAAGATAATATTATGTCAATCATTATTTGATTTATTTTATGATTAGCTGCTTATTTATTTATTTTTCGTTTTTTTCAAGTCCAATTAGTACAAGCAATAATAAAAAAAATAAAAAGTAAAAATGGTCAAAATTCCGGGGATATTATATATATATATATATATATACATATTAAGTGGTAAGTAACATCAATTCAACTAGTAGTACATAAAAATTTAAATTATATCATGTTTGCTGAATGTGAATGTATTAATTATATATGTTTGTGTGGGGATCATTCATCATTATTTACTTGAAGAAAAATATTTTATGACATTCAATATTGAATATTTTTTATTGAAGTCTTTGACACAAATATATTTTTTTGTTTTTAATTAAATATGTATTATATCATATATAGTTATTGATTAATAATATATCATTTTAAATAATAAAATCCAACTTTCAAGTAACAATATGAAATTGTAACTAAATAGACTCTAAAATGAATTATTTGAATAATTCAACCAATATAATTAGATTTATTCATTAAGTAAAAGAACCCAAATAAAATATAAATTTTGATGAATAAAAAGTTCTTCTCACTTGACAATTCTTTCAACATTTTTTTTTTACCTCATCTCTCATAATCTTCTCTAAAGATACAATATTTTGTATTACAAAATATTATATTCAAATTAAAAAAAAAAAAATCAACTAAACATACCCCTAATAATGTAAAAAAAAATAAAATAAAAAATTAAGTTGTGAATGATTAAATAATTTGGAGATAGTTAAGTGTTAATTATACTTGATTATTCAGTGACATTAATTAAATATTGATGGACGAAAAATGATTCATTACATCAGCATAAGATAGATATTCGAAAATTGATTTGACAGATATGCCAACAAATTTTCAATTTTGTTGAGTATCAAGTCGACATTACATGGATTTTGAAAACAATTATATATATAACATTTTTGTAAAATATATTGATATAGTAAAATTTAATTTCCCTAATTTTTTTAGGACAACTTTGGTAAACACGAATGTAATGTTTTATAACAGAAATTATTGATCTTTACAGCTATAAAAATTAAATAATAATAATAAAAAAAATTAAATAATAATAATAAAAAAAATGAAAATGAATATTCTTAGTTGGGATCACGTAGGAATTCGTGCAACCCAAAAATTCACCAAAAATGGACAATAAACACATACATGCATAACGCATTGTAGAGTAAATCAATTAAATAAAGAAAATGGATTGTCTATATTTAATTTAATTTTTTATTATTATTATTATTTTCAAATGCAGCGAGTCACGAGGGATTATTATTATAGTCACAAAAAAATCACAATATTGTTGGACTTACCAATTAATTATTTTCAAAAAATATGAATGACACACAGGGAAGAAAGACAGCTAAAAATTCCAGACGAGTGCAGAAAAACACAGACAAAATTGAAACGTTCCAACGTATTTAAAAAATGAGAAATACAATGGAATAGTCAATTATGAAAATTAGTTTCTTCACAAGGAAGAAGATTATTTATTTATTTATTTCAATTATGAAACAATGACTGTTTGTCAGACTGTCACTGAACATCGATCCTTCTACTACCAACTCCAAATTGACCAATTAAGGCTGCTCATAATCTTTAAATAAATATAGAGATTTGGTGCAAGTCTTTTTTAAATCATGGAATCTTCCAAGATCAGATTCTTCGTATATAAGTATTACAGTACCATTTTATTTATTTATTTCAATACTATGGTTCTGGCAATTTCATAGATTATTGAATTCCCAGTACAGCTAATAGACAGATGATGGGTCGTTGGGAAGTTGGCTTCAGAATCAGATCATCCATTTTCAGACCACTGTAAATATATACATCACTCATTTATTGATTTTCAGAATACCAGCAATTATTGCATCTATCTGTCTTCCTTTGGTATCTGTGTAGTGTAGTGTGGTGTAGTGTAGTCAGTCGAAAGTAGATTTCTTCAATTAGTTGAAATCAACCTCACCATTCGAAAATAAAAATCAGCAGACGGCAGAGTAGATGAGAATTGAGAAGATATCATCATAAATAGAAAAGAGCAGAAACTATCTCATCAATTTATTAGTACAGCAGCAACCACAAAGTGCCCAACCCTACAAAAAGGGCAAGAACTAAGAAAGCACACCGGACAGGACTACCTAATTGAACAATGATGTTCTATACTAATGTATTTATTTTATTTTATGATGATTGTACAATCTTCTTATTATCCAAGAATGTTACTTTGAAGGGATTCACCCTGCCTTCCTTCCCAGACAACCTGCAGTTGATCCACACTTATCCATATCAAGATCCTAGCAAGTTGGTGGTTTTGTTATAAGATTCAAGTAATCAATGGCACTTCCACAACCCACAATCTATGACAATCCACTTATGATGTATGAACCTAGGGATTGGATGCATTTCCTGAAAAAAAAATGTTCAAAATCTCAAAATAGAGGCATGAGAACTCACAAGATGATTCCAGGGCTCATCAAGAAGCAAAATGTGTTATCTTGGCAGATGCAGCCCTGCTTTTATGATCACCTGGCATTTTGTTCAAAAGATATCAAATAAATTCCAACTCACCAAGCAGCTATGGAAAACACAAGTACTAGAGTGATCCTACCTGATAATGTATACATTGGCTGTAGGAGCCATAAATATCGCCGACAAAATATAGAATATGAACTTTGTAGACCAATTGATAAAATTGGTCCAAGGGAATAGAGAGGTAACAAACTAACAATAGATCATGCATTAGAAAGTGACAAACATTGGCTATACCTTTGCCTGGTTGAAGCTCCGCAGAAATAAACTTGAGTATGGTTGAATTTCCAGTACCATTTGGGCCAACAACTGCAAGGCAAGTATGCAAATATGCCCGGTTGGTACTAAGTGAATATAAGAAACTACCTCATAAGTAATATGCATAATTCACAATCGGAAACAAAAACTGGAGAAGCATTAGTTCACATTATTTAATCGATGTATCATAACCACATAGGTAGTGGAAACAAGTTGAACTATAATTATTAACACTGGACAGAAAAACATAGGCGTTCAGCGAGTTCCAAAAAAGATATCTTATTTGATATCCGGCAATCAAGATCAATTCCAAAATTCAGTGTATTGAAATATAAAAGAAAAATAAAATCTTATTTGTGACTACTACCTGAAAGAAAGAATCAATAGAGGGTATTTTTTTAGACAGTAGTAAAACAATACAAGCTAACCTGGAAACTATTATCCAAAAGATAGTTTAACACAAGCATCGACAATAAGGTCATGCCCCGACAGAAACATTAAGTTTTCCATGTGGATATCTCTCACAGCTGCGCCATCACTGTTCTCATGGGTTACAACTGCATCAGGAATCCCAGCTCGGACTTATACAAAAAATAGATAGTTGACACAAATGCCAACTACTTAAACACGTTTCTTCAACCTCTTGTTTTTTTCCTTGCATTATGTACTAAAAAACACTAATTACCCATATATGAATGAAGATTAAAGATATATAAAGATTCAGCCAATCCAGGATTCAACTCCCAATCCCACACTATAATATTTTTCCTTTTTCCCCTATTCTTGAGAGCCAATGAGATAATCATTAGACCCTGCTGACTATACACTGCTATGAATCTGCTAGTGTATTTGGGAATACATTCTGCTGAAACTAGCACTAAACATTGAATCGCTTTATATTCTTGACATTGTCTTGTTTCTGCCTCCAATGAGTGACAAATACTTCTTCCTAGTTCAACGAGGTTGCAGGAAATCTGAATCACAATAAGAAGAGGTTTTTCATTTTGTTCATTAGTACCATTCTTATCCAACGCTTTCGTTAATGCTAGATCCACGAGTAACATTAGAAGTTGATATAGAACACAATACAGTAATTCGAAAACCAATTACAAAATAAAAAGCATCCAACTACGATGACGAGCAACATCAACATATATTGGCCACTATCCAAATCACCGAAAAAATAAAAAAACAAAAAACAAAGCTTGAATACAATCAACCCATATCGATCGGCGTTCAGAATCGTCGTCTGCGCATCAGGAGTCCACGAGAAGCTCCCCCAAGTGCCTCGAATACACCTTCCCCGTCGTGGTCGAAATCTAAATCCTCATCGGCGAGGACGTTGATGATATACTCTACAATTGGGAGGATAATTGTAGAGGTCTAAGTCATCCAGTCGCCTCCCTAAAACATCGTGCACCACCGCGCTTGCCACTTCCGCCATCTCAACGGCAGAGTCCAATCAGTTTCAGCAGTTGCTACCAGGGATCGAGTATGCTTCGTGGGGTGATGCTTCGCGTGGAGCAAGGCCAAGAAATATGAAAAAGGCGGCGAGGCAGATGAAACCCGTATCTCGTTAAATTGCACTTTGACCATCAAACTTTATCAAAATTGCACTCTCTCTACTCTCATACTTTGGACCTTTCTTTTTTTCCTTCCTCTGTCTTCCCCTCCTCCTCTTCATCCTCTCCGGCGCAGCCTCTCCACCACTTCTCCAGCCCCCGCCACCGTCGGTGTTGTAGGCGAAAGGAAAGGTGAGCCGTTCGCATTCTCCGTCGTTACTCTCTTCTTCACCTCGTCTCCGGAGATCTGGGACAGAAGCAATCGGCAATCCCTCGTTCTTCGGCTTACAAATTGATTAGAGAAAGATTGTGTCTGCGTCGCCGTCTCGAGCAATTGTTCTGATTTTATCTGATCCTTGCCAAATTGTAAGATTGTGTTTGGAGGAGGAATTTGAAGGTAATTTCCTAGTTATGCTAATTTTGGGATTAGATTGAAGTGTGCGGAAACTTGAACAAAAAACACCCATCTTGCTTTACTGAATGAGTGATTTTCAGGTTTCGATATTGTTTACTGAAATTTTAATGGATGCGGATGTGAAGAATATCAAGAAATGGATCGTCTTATACCCAATTTACATAAACACAAAGAAAACCCTCGCTGAAGGTCGGAGAATCAATGCCAGCAAAGCATGTGAAAACCCTACTTGTGCCGAGATTTACGATTGCTGTACTCACCTGAAGCTCCCGTCCGCAATTGAGGTTACTCCTTTCCTTTATAGTTTCTCTATCACCGTCTTGTCCGTAATTTGAATTTGCAAGGGACTATCTTTATGCACAACCTTATGACATGCATGAATGAAATGCAGAAATTTCTAAGAGATAAGAACAAACTTCAGAACAAATGGAAAATGAAATTGTTTTGATGCTGCTGCTTTAATCCTCCAAGTACTTGAATTTCAAGCACCTCTTTTGAAGATTGAGAATTTTTTTACTACCCTTGAGAAATTAATCTCTATTTAATTTTCCTACAGTGTGTACTTCAAATATGATCCCTCAATTTATCAGTCACATATATAACTCTTTTATGTTGTTGGTATAATAAACATTAGAGCGAGAAGGCATATCCCCGAGACTTTATGCAAAGAGGAAGAGTGAGGGTTTTGTTGAAAAGGGAAGATGGGAGTCTCTACAACCCTGCCATATCTTCAAGTATGCAGTTTGGTTCTTGTTTCCAAGTAATCTGTGTAATTTATTGTTGTCTTGTTGATTGCATGCATTGGGATGCTTTACTTTTTGTAATTTATGCATTTTTGTTAGTGCCGAACATCTAATTTGACATACAGTGTATGCATGATAGATCAACATATTATGAGTGACACTTTCTCACTGGAAAATAAATCCTCAGAATCTTAGATGTGTCTTGAGTGCTTATTGTTGATTTAATCTTTGCTGTTAACACCTAGGCCCAGTGGATGTGCGATTCTTCATAAATCTGAGCTCTGCATACATATATGGGTAAAAGAAGGTAATGAAGCAAAGTAGATGATCATTGTGCTGAATCTAGTGTGACTGTCCCATATCAGGAAGTAGAAAACATAGCTATGCCTTTGTTTATACAAAGTATAGAAAATGAATAGCAATTGCTTTGCCATTATTAGAACTTTATAGCTATGCCTTTACTATTGTAATGTGTGATACTTTCGGATTTTGTGATTGATGGTTGGCTCTCTTGCATCTTGAGCTGCTAACGAGTTAAACTAAATCGAACTTTTCAAATTTGAGCTTTAACATTTTTAGCAATGCATTCATTTGTTTACAAAGGATTGACATGAGAATTTGATTTGGATCTAATGTTATAAAATTTATAATGTGAAAAAATTAATTTATCCTCTTAGCTGCTAAAAGTTTGCAAACAAAGCTGGAGGTTGTTTGTTAGTTTAACCAATTTACACATGTTTGTAAATTGCTTGCTTGTTTTGCAGCTTCACTTACATCCTATCCTAGGTTTTATGGAGTTGACATGTTTGGCTGTAAGACTTGCATAGCCCTTGTATATAATGATTGTCGGACACCTGTCTAACTGTCATCGGATGCCATTGCAGGGAAGCAGCTAATGCTTCATGTTGCAGAGTTGGTACCTCGACACCCTGGTCGAACCAAGAAGCAAGAACCCCCCTCCACCTCAGCTACTGGTGGCTCCAAATCTGGGAAGGGCGGCAAGAAAAAACGATAGTGGAAAGACAGTTTTCAAACCAATCTATCTACCTATCTACATTAGCCCTGAATCATTTATATTTTGATCTATTTATATTTTGCAAGATTGAACTATTTATATTTTGAACTTTCTCTCCTATCAGCGTCTTCTTGGACTGGCTACTCGAGAAATTGTATATTTTCTTTGGATATACAAGCTTTCTCTGCTGTGCTGAAGTCCCTGAATTTTGAACCATGGATTAGTTGTGAAGTGAAGAATGGATAGATTTATATCTAATTGTCTTTATAATATTTAAAAAAAATATAATCCCTCCGTCCACAAAATAAGTATAAATTTATTTTTGGCGGTAAAAGTAGTGAAATGACATTTTTACCCTTATTTTTTTATTATAAAAGTAATTATGTGATGTAAAGTAAGGGTATTTGTGGAAAAAATTGGTTATTTAATGAGATGGTTATTTGTAATGTAGGGAGTATATTTTTATTATTAATAATATCAAACAAATTTTTAATATATTTAAATAATAAAATAAATAAATAATATTAATTTTATATTAATTATATAAAAATAATAATAATAATTTATTTGTTTTTTAAAAATAATACTCTCTCGTATAAAAAATATATGTAAATATATCATTAAATAATTTCACAAAATAAACAAACCCGTCTTTAATTCCCCTTTGGATTCTTCTCCGTGTGCGGCTTCGTGTTGATCCTCTCCGGTTTCAGCTTCTCATAGTAAAAACGCCGACGTCTTCCTACGGAGAGAGGGGCTGAATCACATCCTTGCCCTAGGTTAGTTCCGCCGCTGCAGGGAGATACCACAATGGTTAGAGGAAGCCTATCGCTGCTGAAATGCGCCACAACTGGAGCCGGACTGAACGCTACTCTGACCGATATGCTCGTCTGCCCTCTCTCCAAGCAGCCGTTAAGGCTCTGCCGGGAAACAAATTCATTGATCAGCGATTCCGTCGGCGTTTCTTATCCGATCGTGAATGGAATTCCTCGCCTTGTCCCCGCAGACGGCAAGGTCATTGCTGAGGATGACGGTTTCAGCTCCCAAGATGCAAAGGCTTTACCGGAAATTAATTCATCTGCGGAGAAGTAAGCAGTTCGCTGTCTTTTTGTGTCTTTTCCTTCCCAAAACGCATTCCATTAACAAATTGAACGACATTTTCGGCTTGAAATCAGGCATTTGAATTTATCGGAGTGAGTTGGCTGATAATTATTTCAATTTCCGGGACCGATTGCTTGATTGCACTAAATTGGCAGTGCTAGTTAGGGTTTTAGTAGATATATTTTTGATTGAGCAAAGTTCGGTGTTATGCTTGGTATATTTATCGATAATCATCATCCAGTTATGTTTCAGCTCTGTGATGAGGAGATTCTTTCCTCTTTACAGTCAATTAATCTCATAGTCCAAAAATCAATGGCTTTGATGTTATTTTAATTCATTTGGACATCCAGACAAGAAGAAAATCAATTCTTATTGCCTATAACCAAAACAACACTTTAAATTCAAAACATTGTTCTGTTGTTTTAATTGTTATCCATTGTTTGTCAATCTAGCTGACTTGATTAGAAGCTTCATTGTCTTTTTAGCAATTTGCTATGATGTCGACAATCCAGTACTAGCAGAATGAATACTTATATATCATTACCCCCAAGTTCGCCTTTTCTTTATTTATATACATTGATCCCAATTGATGTTATAAGCTATACACAGCAGAACTCACTCTCTCTTAAATGTTTATGATGACAGAGATTACTACAAAGAGAGCCGATGCAAGAAGAGCTGAAGTACAAATAATCCTTGTGGGGATTCTTCCTTCGTCGGTCCTCCACGCCATTGCTTCATAAACTGGCCAACTATTCGCTACTCCGAAACATGTAAGCAACATTTGTCCATTCAGTTCATTCTGCCATTTTCCCCTAAGTACTTGCAATATTCCCCAAGAACATGCTGCTAGATTTATTATTGCAGCTGCCGTCAGCGGCACAAACATGGGAGAGGGAACTCCAAATTCGAATTTCCCTTCATTGTATCTTTTCCTTTGGTTGTTGTCATCGACCTTGTTGGTCACATCAAATCCTCTTGTAGTGATTCCCAATTGGTTTCCCGTGTACTCTATAGTTCCAAACAAGTCGGATGAGAGTACCCTTATGAGCCACATCCGTTGATCGTTCCACCATCTTATTGCCGTCCCCTTCGCTAGGAGAAACTCTATCAAGTCTTGTCCGTAGGCACCTAAAAAGAGGAAGGCGTACACGAAGAACCGTGGCTCTGATACCTATTGTGACAAGAGATTAGCTTTCTAGTAGCCACATATACATCTTCATTTCTTACATCACTCAAAGAACTAAAACATTACCTTAGGGAAGATTGAGACATTGTTGAGCATAGTGATTTGAGGGAGGAAGGCATAGATAGATATAGGAATTGACCACATTGGCCCGAAAGCATAGTAAGAGTAACAATGGGCCATTAATGGGCCGAGATATCTTGGACCGTAGATTATTGTGCTATACTTCGACAAAGACACTTCAAGAAGTCCAACGGACCATCGCTTGGTTTGGGCCACAACATCCCTTAGAGAAATAGGCATCTCGGCCAAAAATGCTGCCCGACTCGGGCTACAATACACGGACTTCCATCCCTTGCAATGTAGCCGATAGCCCGTGTAATAATCCTCCACAAGTGAACCGTAGAAGAACCCTACCTACAAAAATCGAACAAAATTAGTCAATTCATACACAAACACAAATTCGACAAAAGCTTGGTAAAGCCTCACATTGATGCCCCACTCGGTTTGGTTCTCAAAATCGCAACGGGCCACATCATGGGCCAGGCCCAAAATGACTTCATCATTGATGGGTTTCTCGACAACATAGTCGGGGTCCAATTCTGGGATTTCGGGCACTATCTTCACCGATGGATTGCCATGAAAGGCTTGGCGATTAAAAAACGTGCCGGTTCCGAAGTAGTCAGGGCCCGAGAGGCCATTCATACCCAATGGATTGATGTGAAAAGGGCGCTTAAATTCAGACGAATAAATATCGGCATTGTTGAGCCCATCAAAACAAACAGGGAACTGAACATATCCCAAGTTGGGCTTCAATCTAGTGTCCATGAAGTAGCAAAGCATCTTGTGTGGGGTGGAAGGGTCATTGGAGATCATGTCGCAATCCAATGTAAGAATCATCGGCCCATTTGTCATAACTGCCGAAACTCGAAGCTTAATCCAAAAACAAGTGTTAGAACATGCAAATTTGAGAGAAAGATCGAATCAAATTTTGGAATTGTAGTAATAATATTGTCTTACCAGAGCATTTAGGGCACCTGCTTTAAAATGATGGAGAGGTGCTCTGAGGGAGCTCTTCTCTCTGGATAAGTAGATAAGGTTTGGCATGGGACACCCTGCAACATCTTTATCCTCACTAGTTTGTGCAAGAACCTATCTTGTAATAAGAACAAGATTATGATGATGATGATGATGTAGGGTAAGATCAGAAATCTCTCTCTATACCTGAATGAGAGGAGGATGAGAGTGCTGAGTAAAAGCTTGGGTCCAATGGCTGAAAGCTTTGGCTGCTTTGTGATCATGATCTTGGGGTATCCGTTTTGTAGTAGCTACTTCCTCTACTCTTTCCTTCATCTTCTCGTACATTTCCTATATATATATATATGAAATATATATACATATATATGGCCCACAATTATTTAGAAGGTTAGAAGTACTAACCTTAATTTTCCGGGCTTCAAATGTGGAGCAAAGGTCCGACCCGAAGAAAGATTCGGGGCAGCGGGCAGTGACCCGGTTCTGCTTGCAGAACGGCAGCCAAGACTTGCCGAATTCGGCGGCTTCCGCCAAAGCGAACAGGGTTAGCTCCGACCATCCGTCGTCGGACACGTAGATCGACAGTTTCTCAGCTGGGTAGTCGTAGGCCATCGCCGACAGCGCTGTGCCGGCGACCTGGATCGGCGGCTCCTTCAGCGGGTCGGCCGTGCATATGAACACGTCCAGCGCCGGGAAGTCCTCTGCCCGAGTCAGAGACTGCCGGAGTTTTTCGGGGTAGGGTTCGGTGGCGACGGGGTTCATCCGGAAGGCCTGGGAGTTGAGCCACTGGAAAGCTAGGATGAGGTCGGAAGCGAGGATCCCGAGGGAGACGAGGAAGGAGGTGGGGTGGGTGAGGAGCGTCCTCCCATGGTGGTAGAGCAGGGCGGCGATGGCGGAGGAGTAAAATACGGCGAATAGGCGGTTGAAATTCCGGCGACGGCGGAGGGGCCGGGATGAGTAGAACATTAGATTATTGTTTTTTACTTTGGCTTTACTTTCCATCACTACTGTGGTCAGTGTGGTGTTATCTTGAGATTCAGGGAATGGTATTTATTATATATATGGTAAATTGATTGATTATTATTTTTTAGCCATGATTGCAGTACATTTTTGACAATTGGGAAGATGGGGGTTTTAATTTAAATTTTACATCACTCAGTCTTTGAGTCTCTCTTGAGATGGATTGGGGCATGTCCTAGTCCTAGTCCTTAGTCCTACTATCATGGCGGTGCACACGTACAAATCTTGAACCATAAGGACAGAGACAGAAAGAAAGAGAGAGAGAGAAGTTAAAATGGATATATTATTGTTATTAATTTCACCATCTCCACAATACACAAAGTTGCTGCTGATGCTGTTGTCTCCTCTGTTTCTTGTCGTTTTGTGCAGCTGCTTTTCGTCGTCGGCGTTGAATGTGAGTGATGCATTTTCTCCACTCTTCAGCAAATTCAACATCCAGCCTTCTCCCGACCACTCCTCCGTCAGCCTCCTCCTCAATCGCCTCTCTGGTAATTCCATTAATTTAATTTTGTTATTTCATATCGCAGTTATAATTATTGGTTGATATAATAATATATTACGCAGGTTCTGGCATTATATCTTCCGATTATTACGACTATGGCTTCTTCAGCGCCAACATCAAAATGCCCTCCCAACACACTGCTGGTGTCTGCGTCGCATTTTATGTAATGTACACCCCCCCTCTTTCTCTCTATGTATATATATTGTGATCGATTATATATATATATATATATAATCATCGATGATGCAGACGTCGAACGTCGACACATTCGAGAAGAACCACGACGAACTAGACGTGGAGTTCTTGGGGAATGTAAGGGGGCAGCCATGGCGGTTTCAGACCAACATGTACGGCAACGGCAGTGTCTCCCGCGGCCGCGAGGAACGCTACCGCCTGTGGTTCGACCCCACCACCCTCCCCCACCGCTACTCCATTCTCTGGACTCCCCAAATCACCATGTACGTTGTTTTTTTTATATATATAACGTAAGAATTCGAAAGATACACCTTCATCTGTCTCAATCTCAATATGCAGATTCTACGTCGACGAAATTCCGATCCGAGAAATCGTCCGCAACGCCGCCATGCGCGGCGACTACCCCTCGAAGCCAATGTCTTTATACGCCACCATATGGGACGCCTCGTCCTGGGCGACCAACGGCGGCAAGGAGAAGGTCGATTACACCTACGAGCCGTTCGTTGCGGAGTTCCGCGACGTAGTCCTCCACGGCTGCGTCGTCGATCCCACCGACCAGATCCCCTCCTCCAACTGCACCAACGACATCGCCGCCCTCACCGCCAGTCCCTACTCCACAATCACCCCCGCCGGCCGGAGATCCATGAAATGGTTCCGCCAAAACTACATGTACTACTCCTACTGCTACGATCGGGTTAGGTATCCGGTGGCGCCACCGGAGTGCGTCGTTATTCCGTCGGAGAGAGAGATGTTGACGGAGACTGGGAGGGTGAGGGGGAGCGTTAAAGCTCAACGCCGCCGTGAGCGCCACCGCCGAGGGAAGGGCCGCCGTGGTCGGAGTAAGAGTGTTAGTGAAATTTAATTAGTTACTTACAGTTAGGGACCACATACATATCTCAAATCAATTATAAATTTGCAACAAGTTCAAAGCACAATTAATATAAAGAATAATCAATTATCATAGCTTCGCCATAGACAAAAAAAAAAGTGTTCCTTTCTTCTTCATGCACGTATTTATGTATCTATATAGATAACCGTTAACGGTCAAGAACAAGAACGAAGAAGAATGAACTTAACATGTCCAAAAAAAATCAGGGGAACTGGAAGGAGCCGCCGATCTGGGTATTCCCCGCCGGCGGTGAGATCGCGACCCAGAGCAGTGAAATGGTGATGGCAATAAGCCCCGACCAGACGTAGACGATCGTCGGAGTCCTCCCGCGCCTCCCCATCAGCCCTTTCGCGAACGGGTAGAGATGCGCCAGAACCCAGAAGCTAAAGAACACGCCTCCGATAAGTCGACTCCACTGCGGAATTGCGCTGTAAATCGTCCGGCTGAAACCCACCGCCACGGCGATCAAGTTAACAATAATGATCGTGATCGGCGGGATCATCAGAGACGTCCATTTCAAGATGTACAGATCCGCAAACTCGTCGTCAATGTCATCTCCGGCAGACTTGGACGTCAGCGTGAACGAGATCTCCACCCCGGCGACCACCTTCAGCAGCCCCTGCAGCACCGCCGCGAGATGCGCGCTGGTGCCGCCGATCAGCCAGAACTGCTCGTTCCGCCACCACTCCTCCAGATTGATCCCCGACCACTTCACCTCCAGCATCGCCAGCACGCAGAGCGTCAGCGAAATCACGAGCAAGTACGTCAGGAACGCCACATTCAACGACTGCACGATGAACTGCCCGGAAAACAGTGACAGCGCCGGGAGAAAGCAGTACACGATCAAGAACAGGGACGTGAACGGGTAGATTCCGACGTTCAGGTATGCTACCCTCTGTAAGAACTTCATCCTCGGGCTCGCAAGAAAAGCATTGTTGCGCGAGAAGAAGATCTCGACCGATCCCGTCGCCCATCGCAGGACCTGGTGAAGCCTGTCCGTCAGATTGATCGGCGCCGTGCCGCGAAAAGCATCCCTCTTGGTGACACAGTATATCGATTTCCATCCACGGTTATGCATTCGATACCCCGTCACAACATCCTCCGTCACCGAACCGTAGATCCACCCAACTCGATTCCCCCAATCCGTTTTATCCTCGTACCAGCACGAAATGACGCTAATCGCCTCCGCAACAGTCGTGGCATCAAGAAGTTCGCGAGGGATCGTCAGGGCGCCAGGCGGACGACCGTTCTTAACAGCAGGGTGATCGGCAAGCGGTCTTCCCTGAAATTCAGCCACCGGAATAGACTCGACAAGGAAGCTCGAGTTGCCAAACCTTTTCGAAAACAGAGAAGGATTCATATCTTCTTCATCGTCCTGCATTCTAAGAGCTCGGTGTTCCTCCGGGGTGGAGGTGACCGACGAAATTTTTTTGCGACGAGCAAAGCAACAGCTGCAGAAACCGGAGTGCTCTTTCGACCTGGGTGGATCGAAGCCGTAAAGCGCGGTTCTTCGGAAGAGACATCCGGTGCCAACATAGACCGGGCCCTGGAGACCGTCGAGAGCGCGCATGTTGACATCGAAGAACACGGTGTTGTGATTAGCATATCGATCGGAAGGATCTATTCCCTCGAACCGTTGCGGAAACTGGACATAGCAAATGCGATCGCCCCCGCGATCCATCATGAAGCACATGCCTTCTCGGATCGCCTGCGAGTTGTAGATATAGTGATCGCAGTCGAGATTCAGAATGAAGGGCCCGTTGGACATGATCGCGGAGGCTCGAACCAGCGCATTCATCGCCCCAGCCTTCTTATTATGATCGTACCCGGGTCGCTTTTCTCGGGAAACGTAGACGAGCAAGGGAAGCCTTATGTCGACTTCGGTGAAATCGAGAGGACTTCCCTCGGCAGTTCCATGCAGCGATTCGTCACTCGGAGGCTTCAACATTACCTATTGTCGATTTGCAGACAAGACGCAATCAATCCAACAAATTCGAAGAAATGTCGATAACATATTACAAAAGATTGAATATAAGTACCTGTATGATGCCGGCATGATCGCCCTTGGAATGTTCTCGACCGGGTACAGTCCATGTTCCGGGCCAGTGTGTTCCATCAGCCATCCACGTTGCTCGGGAAACCTTCAACGGTTCTAACAGGTCATCCTCTGCGTTCTGTCGCTGAATCTTCATCGCCTTGATCTCTTCTCGGGCGTTATAGGCATCAGAGCGACGACGAATCGAATCAGGGAGGCCATTGATCCGAACCTTGAATTCATCGTACTCGCGCTTCACCCTCCTTCGATCTTTTACAAAATCCGGCCGAACTTTATTCTTAAAGGGATCCCTTTTCAGGCTGAAGTAAGACTCCGGATTTCTTGGCTCAATATCATGTTTGCGACAGAATGGCACCCACAGGTTGGCAAAACTTGCAGCTTCTGCCATGGCCTCGAACGTCAGGAGAGCTCCGCCATCATCGGAGACATAGCAGGAAAGCTTCTCGACGGGGTAATCAGCAGCAAGAATCGATAAAATAGTGTTGGCAGTGACGAGCGGGGGTTCTTTTTCAGGATCGGCGGTGGAGACGAATATGTCGACGCCTGGAAGATCAGATTTCCCCAATGGATTCATGGGGGAGGGAGTTTCGAACTTCTCTTTCAATACATTAAGATCCGTTGCTCGGTTGACAGGGCAGAGCTTCGGAAGCTGATCGAGCAGCCACGAGAAGGCAAACCAAATCTCACAGATAATCGACATCAACCATAGCCATCTAGCATCACGATTCGGGTTACGAACTCTCCAAGCCAGAAACAATCCAAGAACAGCCATACGTACAAATATCAAAAGCCTGCGCAAGAAAAACAACACAGTAATTAAGGGATTCGATCCGAAATTTGTAATGTCATCGAAAATGAAATCACAGAACATATCGATATACCTGTAAGGGCTGATTATAGCAGCAGGTATCTTCAGTTTACGGGTGAGAGGCCTCCACGGTTTCGAATTCAGAAGCTCCGGAGGCTCGCTCGATTCGTCACTTTTATCATCCGAAAATCCTCCCCCATCTTTAGTCCATATAGCATTTCCGTATCCGTATGTACCCTTTGTCTCGAACAACCATCGATTGTGATCCAAATCCGTCCCGGTTTGGCTTCTCATGAGCCCAGACTGGCTCCGAATAACCGACGACCTATTTCCCGACTTCATCAGAGACAATCTCCTCTCCATCTTCGACATCCCGCCAGTTGGAGGCAGTGGCAAAGGCTGTCCCGGCTCCACAGAATTTTCCGGAAGATCGGTGCTTTTGTAAGGCTCCTTGCAGCCCGGGCAGATCCCGTCGCCCGTCTTGACAGAATCGAGGAAACAATCGCGGCATATCTTGAAATCACATTCGCAGGGGAGAATGTCTTTGCCCCTCCCATCGCTCATCACTTTCCCGTCGCAACCTTGGACGGCGCAGGACGATCCCTTCTTACCGGCCATCTGAGGATGGCTGCTCTCGGACTCGATCACTTTATCCATCAAATGCGCACGGGTCACGCTGTTGAACCCTCCCGTGAATAACGAACTCGACACGTACTGCTCTTCCACTCTCTGCGACACCGGAGGTTGCTCCAACCTCGTCGATACAGGCTCCATCGGCTGATTGTCGGGTGTCGGCGGTATATGAACTGTATACTCGTGAAAATCGACGCTATTAATGTCGCTGTCGATACTGTCCCTCGACAGGTTGACGTATCGCCCCGACGATGTTCTCCTCGTAAATGTCACAGTCGGGCCAACGCCCTTTCCCGGCTGCGAAGATCGTCCTGCCATACTAATAATGTCTGCACCAGGAAATTGTATGTATATATATGTTATGCTTATTACATCAAGGATGAAAGATTCAGAAACTGGACTAAGTTTGGAATGCTGGAAAAAACAAATGATTCATGAGAAAATGGATGATGATATAGACGGGGCTTTATATGAATTGAAAACGTGCAAACGAGTAAGTAATCAATATCAAGACACAATCATATGTAATAAGATTTGGGAGCAGGTTGGTGTATGCATGTAGACCACCTCGTCTCGACTACTTCCTCATTCTCCAGCTACTTAAAAAAGGGAGATGCGCTTCGAATAGAAACAAAGAAAAAGCCTACACGAGACGTGTAAGAAACTTTCAAAACCAAATACTACATAAATATATATAATAAGAAATAGTTGTCACAACTAAGGTCACCACTACATACACGAATGTGGTCTGCAGCTATTACCAAAATACAACTGTAATATATCAATGCCGCCGTGACGTGATAGACTCAGTCATCGAATCTGTTCCACAAGATTCTTCATCTCTACCTTAAAAAAATGGAGTTATCGGATAGGCCTTTAGGATTCAAAACACCGAACAATAATTAATCGAATATCGAAGCCGGACAACAATTAAAATGGCGGACGGCAAACTCTCTTCTAACAAATCGCAAACCCCAATCACTGTCTACTGTACAGCGATCGTACATACACATACCTATTTTTCAATTAAATCGACAGACAAAACTCCAGACAGACAATCCAATCTAAGAGAAATCAAACTTCAGGACATACACATACATTACCTATCCTCAAAATCCTCGCAGACTTGAATGCGCTTTTCCCCTTGGTTCGAAAATTCAAACAAGGAACGATGAATAGGGCTTATTATTACCGTGTCCTCTGTAGTCTGGGAAAGAAGAACGATGACTGAGGATAGAAGGCGGAGATTGAGGAAAATGGGGACAGCAAAACGAGGATTTAGGGGCGGTTTGGTTCCTTTACGCGGTCGGATTTGTACACTGTTTTTTTAACTTTTCCTTTTTGTAATTTTTATCTGCTAATTTGTCCTAAAAAGATTTTGCCTTTATTTATGAATTTTATTTACTTTACATATATTTGAATGTATCATAATTGGCTCGCCTCGCCTCGCAATTTACTCTTGTTTTATACGGAAAATTAAGGGGTATTTATTTGTAAAAATTAATACACGTATTGTAACATACCAAGTTCTAAATTGATCCTAACAAGTTAACAGACAGCAGATTTACATACTAAAATGAATGTGGAATGATTGTATAACTTGGTCCTTAATCAAGACTGGCATAAGTAATTTGTGTATATTATTTTGTCTATTGGTAACAGACAGAGTATTACAGCTGTAATTAACATAATGCTGTTGAGATTACGAATATGCCCTTCGCAAGCGCGTAACCGAGTCAGGCAAATCAATTGCGGCGGAAATGGGAAAACGCTAAAAGCGGAAACGCGTTTATTTCGGAGTAATGCGACAATATTGGACTCTAGCCATTGGTTTGGACCAAAGTAATAATTTTGGGCCTAATTGATCCAAGCCCAGATTAAATTCCGGGTCTTAACAATGAATTCGAATATTTGTTTATTTATTTATCATAATTGTGATAATAGGCACCATCGTTATCCTCCCCACGGTGACACGTGGCAGGTGGATGTTGAGGCCAGTGAAATCTTTGAAGGTCAAAGCGGAAATGATGACCTGATCTGACATGACACTGAACACAGTGGGGGCCCACGTGCTCCTCACGTGGCAACTAGAAGTGATAGCAGAATCCCTCTCGTTCCTTCGTGGGTCCCACCGTTCTTGTGGGTGATAACATTTGGTCAGGTCTCGTCTAACCTCTTATCCGGCCGGGCCGGACTGGACCGGATCATACTCTAATTTGCAAAAAATTTTGTCATACTCATACAGCTAGCTATTTGTTTCCTTCAGGTTTTTTTATATTTTCATTTTTAAATTTTTAAATAAATTTTATTGAATGTGATTATTTTAATTATAAAATTAGCATAAATGATGAAATATATATCAAATATATTATATATGTAAAAATAATAATAAAGCTTGAGATGCGTTTTTTTATTATATAACTATGGTGATTTTTTATATAAATTTATTATTTTTATCTTACGTAAAATTAAGTCCAAATCACCATTCAAACAAAAAAATTGTGTGTTTTTTATTTTAAGTTTAAAAAAATTGATTTGAATTTAATATTAAAATAATATTATTTGATAGAATGTTTTGTAAAATTTAAAAAAACTTAGCAAAATAAATACACCATGAACACTATTGGAACGGTACTTATTTTAAGTTTTTCAAATTAATCTTTTTGGGATAAATATATTGAAAAATTTTCATTTAAAAAAACTTCCTTAATTGCATATGTTTTCAATTTCATTTCTCCACTTTTCATAAAGAAAAATAAAATATATATATTCAATACTTTTATATAAATAATATTAATTTTTATTTCATTTTTACTCTTTTTAAATAATTTTAAATAAGTAAACACATCATAAGTATGATTGAAACTTAATGCCCATACATAAAAAATAATCCAGCAATTTTTATATTTAGAGCTGTTAAAATATATTGGCGAGGATAAAAATAAAACCAAACAAACACTCTTTTAAAACATATTTAATGAATTACATATATACATTTAAATTATATTGTTGAATAATAAAAAATAAATGTGCACGGTTTTCGAGAATTGGCCTAGGGGTGTGGACTGGTGTATAATTCAATGGGTCTGTTGTTAATGGCAGTGGGATCCTAAATGAATCTGAATATAAGTCAAACGGCTCAAGTGATTAGGATGAGACGGTCGATACGGAGGTCGGTCAAAAGAGAAAGTCGGGCGAAGAAAGATGAAAGAGCAGACACGGAGGTCGGACAAAAGGAAGTCGGGGGAAAAAAGATAAGATGGTCGATACGGGAGTCGGTCAAAATGAGGTCGGGCTAAAGAAAGATAAGATGACAGACACAGAGGTCGAACAAGAGGAAATATGTGTTAATTGGTCGGGCGAAGAAAGGTCTGTTAATTGGTCGCTTAATTAAGCGACCGGTTAATCGACTGATCGATTGGCCGGTCATTTGGTCAAACAGTAGGTCAGTTGGTTGCTTGATTGGGCGATCGAGGAATCATCTGGACGAATGGTTGTTCAGCCGTTTGAAGAGACTAAATGGTGGTCGTTTGAGTGGGCGATCGATTAAATCGTCTGGACGGATGATTGTTCAGCCGATTGAAGGGACTGAATGGAGGTCGTTTAATTGGGCGACTTATTAGTATCTGGGTTGGTCGGTTGGTAAATCGTTGAGTTATTCGGTAGGTTCAATTGGTGGATGATCCAGACGATTTCTCAGTCGGGTGGTGATTTATGATTTGTCTGAAAAGACGAAGGTTGTTTTCAAAGTTATAGGGTCGAGCAAGCGGTTGCTAAATATAAATGCAACAAAAGACAATTTTTCAGACGGTTGTAAATACGATGAGGTTTCTCTATCAGTTATAACTGGTAGTGCACGATCTGATAACTGACTTAGAAGGCATATAAGGGAAGTTACAACCGGCGAACGGACCGGACAAGTGGAAGGCTGGTAAGATGAGACGTAGCAGCAGGTGTGCAGGTCGGACGAAAAACAGTTTTAAGACGGTTGAGAGAAGTTACAACCGGCGAGCGGATATGAAGGCACGACCTGGATGTGACGGTTGACATAGGTTTTAAATAGGTCTGTTCATGACCTAAACAAACCATCTTCAATCGACATCAAATTCAGTGAATTTCTTTTGGGATCGCCATTTTACTTTTACAAGTCCTGTAGTATTTATTATTCCTATTTTATTTACGTATCGTACGGTATCTAGGGATTCTTAAATCTCAGACATTTTATTTTATCAAATTTGAAGATAATTTCTATTTTCGAGTTTTACATTTTATCATTGAAAATTGGCATCGATATATTTCAATTATTTTTAGAAAAAAAATAAATAAATTAAATTACCCAAAATACATTATAATGAAACGGAGGTTTTGTTAGGCCTTAATTGTTTATTTCTGAAAATTGGCACAAGGGTACCTATTGAACTGTTGATAATGTCGATATATAAAATAGAATACAGATGTGGAATAAAATGTTAGCATTTGATTTCAATAATTGCCCAATTCCAGAATAATAAATAAATAAATAAATATTACTAATTGTTTCGACATGCCTTGGCAAATTTGTTACCATGATGGTTTCATAATGGCAATGTAATAAATAGCACTGCTACCACACGTTACATGCCCGTACATCTGGTCTATTATTATTTTATTTATTTTATGCTTAAGCAACAATTTTTAGAATTTTGGTTTTATTTATTTTTTAAAATATTATTTCAATTTTAAGCAACAATTATCAGTATCACGCTGTGTAATTTAATCACTTGTCGGAAAAAACCATTCAAAATAAACTATTTAAAACAATTTATTTGATATACCAACAGACATATATCAATTATTTGTTGATTTATTGAAACAAGATAAGCATGTTGGGGCCAATAAAATTGGTGTTTAAGATAAACACACTTTTAGTGACAAATAAATACTATTCAAAATGGCCCATCTTATATGGCTTTGCTTACCACATTTTTAGCATATTATATTTTTTTTATATCAAAGTCTAAAAATATAGACTATATATATATATTTTTTTTATTTTCTGATTTAATTATGAAGTTGGGAAAAAATCTATCTAAATGAAGTCAAATATAAAATGCTTGCACTTAATAAAAAATTGTGTTTCTTGTAGCATAATTTTTTTTAAGAAAAAAAAATTAAATCACATATATATTAAAAAATAATTTTATATTTAAAATATCATATTAACATTTAAAAGCTTAAAGACAAAAATTACTTGGTTATGTCTATTTATGATTTTTTTTACTATTTAATTTATATATATTAAATAAAGTTTTACTATTATATTCAACAATTATTTTATTTCAAAATTCATGTTTTAAATCGACATATTTGAAAAACACAAAAAAAGATACAGTGAATCACGAATAAACAACCCATAAATGGTAATTTATTTAAAGCACGGAATATAATTATTTGTCGCATGAAAAATGTAAACGGAGATGACAAACTTTAATGAAAACTAATAAGTCCAATAAATTGGAGCATTCAAATTCTTACCATGCTTTAATAAGTTAGGTCCCAGGAGCTCGGCACCACTGCTTTGGCTCATATTGCGTATTTTATTATTCAATTTAATTTTTATAAAAATAGATTTTCTTCATCGTTGTTGTACAGATGTTTTATTACCATTATTATTATTATTATTATTATTATTATTTTGTATTGTTATTGTAATTAAAAAATATTACTCCACATGTTCAAAAGAGGGCGTAGGCATAATAAGTAAGAAATAATAATATTTAATAAAAAATTAATATAAAGTAAATATAAAAGACTAAAATGCTCAACGATTTTAAAAAATAAGTTAAAATAATAATTACGGATGATTTGTAAAAATAGAAATAATTTTATTATAAAATTGAGACCACAATTACTAAATAAGAAAATAAGATAATTATTTTGGGACGATCGAAAATAAAAAATAAAATAATTTTTTTTGGTCAGAAATAAAAGAAATATTAATTTTTAAATTTGATAATTATTTTTAAATTAAAATTAAATACTAAAATAATATTATAATTTATTAATTTATATTATCTAAATAATTGTTCCCAAGATCTGTCATTATCTAGCAAGAGAAGTATACTAATCTTAATTGGTCTCTTTTTTTAATCATTTTTTGTACTATGCTTTTTCCAAAAGAAAACATAAAATATTTTATCAAATATTATTTTAATAATCAACATAAACTAATTTTTTTCAAACTTAATCAAACAATTACACCATTTTTAAAAACATTTATAAAGTACTCTTTCTGTTTTATTTATTATATTTATTTTTTCATTTTTGTCTATCCATTTATTATGTTATTTTTAAAAAAAAATTATACATTTTAATTTTATTTTTAAAATTTTTTAATTTTTTAAATTTTAATTATACTAATAAATTATTTTAATTTTAATATAAAAATATTTTTATTATATAATAATTATTTTTATTAATTATTTATTAATTATATTTTTCATAAAATTTAGTGACTACAGTAAATAAGATACCGGACCGAAAGAGTATTAATTACGAGCAAAAATACCCTTTATAAAATATATGGCGTGGGCCCACACCTCTGACGTAAAATGTCCACTTCGACGAAAATAGTCTGTGACAGGAAGAGAGACTGTGCATGCTGACGCATCTTAATAAAATCTCCTTCACAGTTTGCTTATTTAAATAATTTTGTTATTTATTATTATTATTATTATTATTATGAAATACATAAAGAGTGTGTTTGTTTGAAGGATTTTGAAGGATTTCTATTATTCATTCAATTTTTTTCCTCCCAAAAATATCACATCAAACACCTATTTTTTATTTTTTATATTATACTAAAAATCAATTTTACATTCAAAATATCACATCAAACCCTATTTATATCACATCATACAACTATTCAAATTCAAAATTTTTACTATTCAAATCCCAATCCAAAATCCAAACCCCCAAACAAACACACCTAAAATATATTCTGTCTCTCTTTTATGTTTTTTCTGTTCCAAAACTTCTATAATATATAATGTGTATTTTGTTTTTACATAATTAAATATATTTTTGTTAAAAATTTGAAATTATATGTGAAGAATGTTCCTTTTGTTTGTATTTTAAAAATAAAAATTAATAAATAATAACAATATATATAAAAAAATAGCATTATTACTACTCCCTCCGTTTGGGATACCATGTCCACGTTGCCGTTTTTGTCCGTCTACTATGTCACTTTTCTTTTTTTAAAAATAATTACACACTTTAATCTCATTTTAAATTTTAATTTTTTTTTTTAATTTTAATTAAACTAATTAGTTATCTTAATCTTAATTTATAATTATTTATATCATAGAATAATTATTTTTACTAATATATTCTTAATTATCTACTAATTACACCCCTCCTAAAATACCGTGTCTACGGTGTAGAAGACACGGTATCTGGGACGGAGAGAGTAGCATTTAAACCCGTGCTATACACTGGTGTATATATAATTAAAATATGTTTAAAACAATATTGTAATATAATTATATATTTGATAAATTTTGCACATATAATTTATTTATAATTTATAAAATTAGTTTTATACTATATAAATAAAATTAGATAAAATATTGTAGATGGAATCCTATATAATATAAATCATAAAATTTAACTAAAAGTTATTTTATAAACTACGGACAAAAATATATAATTTCAAAAAAAATAAAAAAAAAATAGTTATAATTGTTAAGGTCTTTTCAAAATATGAGAATATTCTTCGCACAAATCTACGGTAATAACTTGAAATACCACACCGGAGATGGAACATCTGGTCTTACAAACGTTGCAAATGCAGTCAAATAATTTTTTTGCATTATTTTTCCATTTATATAAATATAAATAGATAAGAAATATATATTTATTTATTAGAAAAAAATAAGTAATTCAAATTTTTTAATTAATACATATGCATTATTATCTTTCTAAAAAATACTAGAACTATCTAAACAAATGTATAAATATATCTAAATTTTCTTCATAAAATTATCTAAAAAAAATATAAAGATACTAACAACCTTGATACTTTATATCATATATATATATATAAACACAATGATGTGCAAAATAAATTATTAAAAAAAAATTATAATTATTTATTTATAAAAAAAGAATCTTATTTGATGATGTTGCTTTAAACGAAGTTATATATTTATATATTTGTTTAGATAGTTTTAATATTTTTTAGAAAGATAATGCATATGTATTAATTAAAAATTTTGAATTACTTATTTTTTTCTAGTAAGTAAATATATATATATTTTTTTATCTATTTGTATTTCTATAAATGGAAAAATAATGCCAAAAAATTATTTGACTGTATTTGCAACGTTTGCAACCAGATACTCCATATTCGGTGTCTAAGTTATGACCTAGATTGGTGTGAAGAATATTCACATATTTCGAAAAGACTTTAACAATTATAACTATTTTTTTTCTTTTTTTTTTGGAATTATATATTTTTTTCGTAGTTTATAAAATAATTTTTACTTAAATGTTATAATTTATATTATATACGATTCCATCTACAATATTTTATTTACTTTTATTTATACAGTATAAAAATAATTTTATTATATATATTTATTTTATAAATATAAATAAATTATATATAAATTTTTTATCAAATATATAATTATATTATAATATTATTTTGAACATATTTTAATTATATATACACTATGGACGGATTTAAATGCTAACAATAATATAATTGAAAATTTATCCTCCATAAAAATCTAGAAAAAGACGCTTTTCACTATTATTATTACTCTACAATTAATATTTGACAAAAGGAGTATTTATTTATTGTTATTATTTTATTATTTTATTTTTATATATTCGCTCTATTCATTTCGCACACACACGTAAACTCTTCACTCTCTGTGCATCGCCAGCCTTTTCGCTCTCACAGAGTACACGCACTCCCGTCCCTCTCTTTCTCTCTCATCAACAGATTCCTCAAAAACAGAGAGAGAGAGACACTCATCCCTTTTTTCTCACAGATTTATTACCAAACAAACAATTCCCATTTCCATCCCTCGAAGCAAAAACACCCACACTGATTTTTCACTCCACTTCTGCTCATGCATTCATGAGTGGAATTGGAATCGATTGTTGGTCGGGGGGCTGTTGGTGGACGATAAACATCTGTTTGTTTGTCTGATTTATTTATTGTTATTTCGATTAAATGGGGTGTTTGGTGTCTCAGCTGGCGGCCAAATTCGCCTTCTTCCCACCAACGCCGCCGACTTATCAGGTGAAGAAAATGGACGACGGCAAGATGGTGGCCGTCGTGACCTCGTCGTCTCTGCCTATGGCCATTGATGATTCTTTTCTAGATGTTCTCTCCATCCAGACCAAGAGGGGCAACAAGATCGTCGCCTTTTACTTGAGGAACCCTTACGCCAGGCTTACCTTGCTCTACTCCCATGGCAATGCAGCTGATCTGGGCCAACTCTACGACCTCTTCGTTCAGCTTAAAACCAATCTCAGAGTCAATCTCCTTGGGTCTGCTTTCTAACCTTTTTTTTTTTTTGAGTTCTTAGTGAAAAATTTAACTTGGGGGTGAAAATGGATCTTGTTGCTCTCTATCCCCAGTTTTTCCTGCTTTCATTGACCTCTTTGTTCTTAATATCTTCCGTCTTATGCAGAATTTCCTGCTCTTGCTTTCCCCCTTCTGAATTTATTTCTGTATTATTAATAGGAAGTGTAATTTTGTTTCCTATACTGATTTTTACCTCCAATTTGGAAACGGGAATTTGACAGTCTGTGAAAATTGGGGTTTCCGTAAAGCGCCGCACAAAATTGTCATGCGTGTTGCTTAACTTTTTGGTTTGGTAACTTTTTTCATCTGTAAAAGTTTAGTGGTTTCTTTATGGCGTTTTGGGTGCCTATATTCTTTTCGCTATATGGTGAAACTTTTGCGAGCCTGTTTCTTTATTTCTAGGTTAGATCTGAGATTTGTATTGATGACAAAATGGCGATTGAGTCTATCTACTGCTTTTGCCAATTAGTTCATTGACTGATGATTATCTTTTCTGTCAAAATTGTCCGGCTGATAATTATGATGCTCGTTTCACTTTGATTGAATGTAAAGTAAATGATGTTGGTAACCCTTTTTCATTGTAGTTATGTTTATCATCTTGCGTGAAAGTGATGGGTTTCTGCAGCCACTCACCTATGATCGGCTAAAAGTATTTTGATGGGCCCTTTGGATAGTGACGTCCAGTGATTTCTCTACTTTGTTTTTGATCTTTATTTATCGGGTGTTCTTGATTTCTGTTTATCTGTGTTGTCATCGACTGTTTCACTTTTAGGTTTCAATCTTCGATAGCATTTCTTCTCAAATGCTCTTCCAGGGACAATTCAATTGTCTCTGTATTTGCACAATTTTTATAGACATTAGTGTGACATTGCCTGGTGATCAGCTTCTTTTAATGATGTTTATTATCGTGTCGGCTCGCCTTTTAATCTGTCGTTTTCTGTCTCTAATTCAATAAGTATAGGCTGATTTATATGCCATCTATGGGAACTTGTGTGACTTTACTGTAATTTAGCCTTTCATCCATGAATTTTATGTGACTTTTAAAGTGTATGCTTTGTTTTATTCATCGTTTGATTGATGTCAATGTCTTTTGGATTGCACTGTCTTTTCGTGTATAATGTAATAAATTGGCATGTGGTGTTGATGATTGTTTCACAATTGATTCTTCCATGAAACTTATGCGAATCTTGACGAGTATTTGAGATTGCTTGATCAACTTGCATTAGCATCCAACTTTTTTTTTGGCTGCATTAAAGTGAATATACCTATGGATCTCATAAAATGAAGATTATCGTGACTTTTCCACGGTTTTAACACGCCTTCTTCCACGTGTGAGTCTTGAAGTATGTTATTTATTCACTTGCCTTTTGCTTAAACCTTTTTCGACTTTAGTCCAATAAGTAGGAGAGTGATTGATGTCACTTTTCCCACAATGTGTATGTGAATCTTTGGGTTGTTACCTTCTTCGTTTTCCTTGTGATTGTGATTCCACATTTATATTAATGTTACTTTCTTGTTTGCCATCGGCATCTTTTATGAAGTTTACAGGAATCTTGAAGACATCACACCGACATATTTGCTCCTTGGCTTTCGATTATCCTGTTTTCTCTATAATGTATTTTCATATACATTATCTAGTGAACTTTTACATTGATACTGTGTTGGTTCTGATCCCACTTTGCAGGTATGATTATTCTGGTTATGGAGCTTCCACCGGTAAGGTAAAATCCGAGCCACTCTAATGGTCCCGGCATACATTCTAACTCTTGTTTTTACTTCCCTTTTTAATTTAGCTCTTCTAGGCAACAATAACTTTGTTTCTTGAAATCATTCAGCCAACTGAGTACGATACATACGCTGACATTGAGGCTGTATACGAGTGTCTTCAAACCGAGTATGGGATTGGCCAAGAAGATTTAATCCTCTATGGGCAATCCGTCGGAAGTGGCCCTACATTGCATTTAGCTGCTCGGTTGCCGAGGCTGAGAGGTGTGGTTCTTCACAGTGCCATTCTATCCGGCCTTCGTGTGCTCTGTCATGTAAACTTCACTCCCTGTTGTGATATTTACCAGGTTAGTACATAAGGTGCAAACTCTGTGATCCTGTTTATATCGAATTGTAATGAGATAAACAGTACATGGCGTTGCATCAAGCTCCTAATTTCATTTTACCTATGCAGAATGTAAAGAAGATCCGAAAGGTGAAGTGTCCTGTGCTCGTCATACATGTAAGCGTTATACGCGTAATATTTAGCAAGTATTGGATGTATTCCATTGATTTCTTGGAGGCCTGATAACCATTCCTACTGTGTGACTTCCAGGGCACAGATGACGATGTTGTAGATTGGCAGCACGGAAACGTGCTATGGAAAATGGCGAAGGATCCCTACGAGCCATTGTGGATTAAAGGCGGTGGGCACTGTAACTTGGAGCTGTATCCTGATTACATCCGTCATCTCTTCAAGTTCGTTCAAGAAATGGAGAATATGACCGCCAAAGATCTACTCAAGAAGTTCCGCGACAAAGACTCCTCTCTTCAGCAACACACAAAGGCTGGTTGCGGCATTTGCTGTTGCTGCCCAAATATATGCTGCAAATGTAAACTCAAAAGACCCAAATGCCCGCGCTGTCGATGGCCAAAATGCCCGAGTTGTTTCAAATCTTGCTGTGGATGCGCCAAATGCTCGGAATTCTTCAAATCTTGCTGCGGATGCACCAAATGCTCGAGTTGTTTCAGTTCTTGCTGCGGATGGCAGCGACCAAAGTGCATTGCGTGGAAGCCGAGCTGCTGTCTCGCTTGCTGCAGGCCCAGTTGCTCGATCCGCTGTAAAAAAGGCTCGTGCAAGTGCGCGACGTGTTTGTGCTCTTTCGACGCCAAGTGCTCGTGCTGCTGATATTTAATGCTTAGGGTATACAACAGAGAAAGATTTAGGTGAATCTGTGGGTAGAATTGCTGTACAGATTGCAGAAAGATGCTAACACCAATCTGTCCTATGTAATGAATAGTGAAATTGTGTTGGTATAAGGTGATCACAGCTAATGTAGACTCATTTCTTGCATTATATAGGTCGAAATTTTTATTAAATCTAAGGCCATTTTATTCAAGGCGAACCACAGCAAGTGTATTGCAGCGGCTGTAATGTAAAATTGAGTTTTGGGGCACAGTGTCTGTCTTATGAACACACAGACTTGATTTCATACTTTTAATCCTGTTGCAGCCTGCTTTATTTGTTCGATTGTGAAGACCCCAAACATGTCGTCATCGATGACAGCATTTACGGCAGCATAGGCGACATCATCTACGCTTACGGGAGGAGCCAGGAATAGATCCGAGGCAGGAAGAGAGTTCAAGGGTTTGGTGAAGCTCTCGACAGCTTTTAGGAGTTTCTCGATGGGCTCGCCTATCAGGTCGAGAGGGATCTCAAATCCATCGACTTTCCTCTTCCCATATATGAATCCAGGTCTCAAGACTACACCTGTTGAATTTGGGCAGTGAAAATTAATGCCACATTTCATATAAGTGCAAGTACAGAAGAAAAATTATCAATCCCAGTTGATACAATACAATAAAGTTATGCTGCTGTTACCTGTTGTTGGATATTTGGACAGTACCTCAGATTCAGCTTTCCTTTTACCGGTGAAGTAGGAGTTCGAGAGCACGAATGAGGGCAGATTATAATCATGGACTGAGATCAGTATGAACTTGGGAATGCCTGCAAAGATATGAAAAGAAACATATGCTCAAAGGGCGGGCGATATTCTATTGGTGAGTGACTGAAAATAGCAAAGGATGCGAAAGGCATTTGTAATTAATGAACAAGAAGATGACGAAGCACCTGGAATTAATACATGAGCAACAAAACTTAAAAATAAAAGCCAATTGCAGAATACAGTAATCATGTCCCGACACATGGTGAAAAATCGACAGTCTTGTCATTTAAAAGAGCTTCTGGGTCGATGAACAGCAAAAACATTTCAAAAATGGCATCATCTCCCAGCAAGTCTTAAAATAACTACCTTCAAACTAAATTATTGATGCTGTACAGCCAACTCTTGATTGGATGCGATAAGACCTATCTCGTAGAAGACAATAAAATAATATAATCGAAGACAGCCATCTTATCATAAATAGTTTAGAGTATGTATGCCATCATCCAAACTTTAGATCAAAATAAATGCAGGGGAAGTGGAGTCTATTCACCAACTCCTGTCTGCATGTGTAGTTCTCGACTCAATATAATCTTCAAGCTACTTAATAAAGATACTACTTAAAGAAGAAAATGCTCATGACAGGCCAAAACAATAGCATTAGAAAGAGTTATCCTTGGTAATCAGATGACTAGGTCAAAGAAAAGTATCGAGCAAATCTGAACAAACACGAGATGATTTGTAAAAACCAGTTGCAAACTGCATAAATTGAACCAGGGAGCAGGGAGATAAAAGAAGTTCTCACCAAAGTCTTTAGCTGCATTAACAGCTACAACATTAGCCTCGCCATTGATTCGTTGCATTTGCTCCTCACTGCCAAAACCTCCAAGAGTGGAGACAACTGCTGTAGCTCCAGGAAGCACTTCATCCCAATTTGCATAAAAAACATCCCCTGCATGTTTTAAAGATCCAAGTTTGTGATTCACGTAGAAGGTGATGAAGGGAATCCCGAGGTGGGTCGGCTGATCATCTTGTACTTTCGGATTAAAACCAAGGCAAATGCCAATGTTGCACGTATGCATAGACAAAAGGAAAAAAATAAATAAAAGAGGATTATGGCAGATAATCCTCAGGAAGAATTTGGGGAAGAGATTAAACTAATTTTCCTATTGTTCTGTAACAATCATTTTAATCTTATTTGTTTTGTTTTTCCAAGTACACATTATTGTTGCAGTAACACTTAAAAAGGGATACGATCTTTAAGTTTTGTTTCGAAACGAGTATGCATCTGATTTACAGGCTTATATATCTTATTGTGATAACTTACAGTGATTAGTAATGCAGTATCGCATGCCATGGTCCAAAGACCTAGATAGTGCATGCCATATAAAAGTTCAACACAAAATGATATGGTAAATGAAATATACTTATTGACAAATTTCATAAAAATATGTGGAGTTGGAGCTAATTTCACATAATTAAGAATAAACATATAACCTTCAATTTAAAATATTATCAAATTTCAAGTACAAATAGAAATCTCTATCCTGAAGTGTCTACCTGACTTGAAACAATAGAAAAGAAGAAAGATTTCTATAAGAAACAAGAAATGAAAAATTGTTACCCAGAATAAATGCATCCTTTGTCCTGCGCTTGGATCAAAAGTGCTAAAAACATATTTTACAAGTGTATGCTAGCCAATCAAACACCAAAATATAAAAGAAGCTCGAATCTTGTAATCCATCGTGCTAGATTAATGCCAAACATCATGGCATGGAACAAAGCACCCCATATAGTTTTAATAAATAAAAAGAACAAATGTGTCATAATTAGGAAATCAAAATCTATCTTAACTTAGGCATACGAGTACTTGATTGGCAAACTTGCACATTTTTTATTACAATTTAGAATTACAAAAGCTAAAAATGCAAGCACATTTGCCATTTCTTCTATTATAATAACATTTCCATGTCAACTGTAGTAGATCTAATCATAATATAATAGCACCATTTTTGCGTTTATATCTGTACAATATAATCCAGGAAGCATTCCAGTAAAATACCCGTTCGAAAAGCAGGTCAAAGCTTAATAAATTATTAATTGATTGGGCTGATGGGAAGACATAGTAAAAGAGGTTCATAATTCTTTGGGGTGTTTCATTATTAGTGAATGCTATCATTGGTGGCAATATGTAGTCTAGAAGTAATTGGCAATACATATTATACTCATATCACTTTTCAGAAGGGCCAACTTTAGTTTTGGGATTCAACAATCAATCTCACTCATTTGCTTAGTTCTTACACACAACAAATTCCTCAAATATTTCACAAGTACAATACTATAAGTTCATAAAAATATATTTGGTTTTATTATAGAGAAACAAAACCCTACCTTTCAGCCAAGTGACCTGATCTACCCACGAATCTGAGTAAGAAGGCCGCCCTGACCTGTAACACAAGCTTTCAAAATCGATAAGCAGATGGATACTACCACAGTGAAAGCAGTGACTTCCAGCTCTATTTGCTGAATAACAATAGTAAAATCCATTTCATAAGACTACTTTGTGTGAGAACTATAGCATCTTTGTAAAAAAGTCATGAGAGGCATTTCACACCTGCTTAGACTAATGACCTCTATACCCTTTGATACTGCAGCTTTGCATATTGCAGAACCCACAAAGCCATTGCCTCCTAATACAACAATCTGAAACAGAATAGGTAATCCAGAGTTAATTTACAATGCTATAACAAGTACATGCTGTGTCGAAAGAAGAGTAACAAGATCAATCTCAAGATCAGACTCGCTCAGGTTTAACATCAGCTACAACATCAATTGTTCCAACATTATAGCTGCCCTTAATGTTGGGGTCAGCATAACTGCATCTGAAACTAACCCTGCTTGATCTGCAATACAATAAGCAAATATAAATTAAATGAACTAACACTTGTTTGCAATATCAAAGAAAATAGACACTGAAGAGCATGCTCCCCCTCCTCATCACAACCATGTCGACAAAAAACTCAGCAGAAGCTATTTACAGGCTTATCATGGTATAGGGAATGACATAACAAAAGTGTAAAATCAGGATCAATTGCAAACTCAAATCACCAAACCATTCCCCCTTCAACTTGACAATTGCCAGCCTCACAAAATGCACAAAATTGGGCCATCCACAATTCCAAATGTAATAGGACAAGAAAACCAACCGAGGAGAAGAGAAGCTGACAATATTAGGGTTCCCCAAAAGTGGAGCAAGCAGCGTCCCGCTAGACCGTAAAGAAGTTGGGGAAATGGCTGAGGTAAAAGAAACAGATGCCATCCCTCGGCCGTGCACAATCGCTGCGGAAGCTCTATCTGATTAATTCTGGCGGTGAACGTAAGGCAATGAGACAGTACTGCGAGGCGGCAATCACCAGATTCTCACGCACGCATCGTTTAATGAAATCTCATACACCTATGTGCATATCTCGAAGCTTTTTCCTCCTCTGAATGGAGAAGAACATGGCATTCAAAACTTACAATTGTGGACCCTTTTAAGCCAACATTTCACGACAATCTCGTTCAAGAATTTCAGTGGAAAAATTTTCCAATGCAAAGGTTCATTTTTTATATTTTTGCAGTCTTTTCTCTCTCACAAACACACACACACACACACACGTAATATCCCTCTCCATATTTTTATTGGGCTGAAATGATTGGCTCAAATAAAATTAATGGGCCTTGAAAGGTGTCATTTTTGTTCGGGCTTATATTAAATGGGCTCAGAGAAATATTTATTCGCCCTTCGTTGGTTGCACACAGACAGGTATTGGGTGCGACTTTCTGTCCTTTGCACAGGGAGACGGAGATCTGATTGCGGGAATGGGGAAATCTTCGACGTCTACGAGGGATGCGCAGGACCTCTTCCGTTCTCTGCGGTCTGCTTACGCTGCGACTCCAACAAACCTGAAGGTAGCCTGGGTGATTCTATGAGTAGATTTTGTGTGTCAGCGGTTTGTGTTTTTGAAATGTGAGGTTATTGTTATGATTGTGGATTTGCAGATCATTGATGTTTACATCGGTTTTGCAGTCGCCACGGCCTTGATTCAGGTACTGTTCGTTTGTTTATGCTACGTTCGTGTTTTATTTTTGAGTCGTATGGCATGGTGTTTTTTGTTGACGAGCGATCTCGACTTCATTTAAAGATTTCTGCTTGATTTACTTGTGTCTGGTGTAATAGCTTCTAAATTTCGTGTTTGATGGGGTGACGGTGGAGAATTGGTGCTTATTTAGATAAGACAATTTAGGTTTTCTTTTTTGAATGTCTTGAGCTAGTGATGTGTTGCATTGGTGGTTAATTTTGTAGACATTTGTTAGCTCAGAATCTTGTTGATAGAGAGTTTGGAATGTAGACATGGTTTGGGTTCTATTGGACATTATCAGAACCTAAGGGGAAGCATAAACAGAAGTTCCAGTTTGAGTGTCTTAAACGTAGAATTATAATTGATATTTTGGTTTTTATCTGGATAATAATTCAAAAAGGGGAATTAATAGAATCGGAACAGACAATCAATTTGTTCAGCAATGCACATGTTTTAATGAAAATGATTGATAATCAATACATACTTTGATATTCTAATTTATTTCAAACAAAAACATCATGTCTTGTTTTCCCACCTTTACTTTTCAGAAAATTTGAATCACTTATATCTGCCTTCATAAAGTAAAATAAAATAACGAATTGGTTTCTTTAAATGTTCTGTTAAATTGTTTTTCTATTAGAATTTGTGAGAGAGCACTTAGATGTAACTGTGTCAAACTATAACCAGAACCAATGAAGAAAAGGGATCAAAGCTATCGGTTCTGTAGTTGGATATGCTAAAATTTCAATTGATAATCTATCTTCAAAATTGTGGCTGCGTGTTAATGCATAGTAGCATATCATGCAAACAGGCTGTTCTGGTGCTCTGTGCTCTACCTGGTCTTGGTGTAGGGGATTGGTGCGGATTCTCTATTGGGAGGATGAGCATTTCATGTGGTGTTCATAGGAAATTTATTATCATGGGTTGTTAATTTATTGTGCCATCTGTTGAGAACATCAAGCTGTCCAATAATATGATGGCTCTGGTACAATCCTTAATATTTCATGCCCCAGGATTAGATCCAGTCTCTTATAAATGTATATGATTGAGCAAAACTTTTTTTTGATTGATTTTCTTTGATTTTTGCTCCATGATTTGGGAAACTTTACAACTTGTTTATAAGTTATAAAACCATATTCTTATATTCTGATTTCCTTGTTAGTCACTGAAAGAGCAAAGGGGAAGATGATGATTTGCTGTTTCTTTTTATACTCTGGTAACAGGTAGTTTATATGGCCATTGTTGGGTCATTCCCCTTCAACTCCTTCCTTTCAGGGGTTCTTTCGTGTGTCGGGACTGCTGTCCTTGCTGGTGAGTTGCTTCCATATTTTCCTTCTACTGAAATGTATATAAAATATATTCAACTGATGTATTCTCTAATTACAGTGTGTCTACGAATTCAAGTGAACAAAGAAAACAAGGAATTCAAGGTAATGTTTCTTGGTGCAAAATTCGTTACATTCAATTCAAAATGCAATCATTTAAACAGAAGAATAAGATGTTTGACACTATAGGTCTGTAGTTTCATCTTTCCTGCTTAGTGCTTAGTGAATTGTTTTCACTGCATTATAATGGTGGATTTATTTATTTTTACAAGTATTCATCCGAGCTAAAGATTCTCTTGTTTCTAATCACATTTAATTGTTCTCTTCATTCATAGGATTTACCTCCAGAACGAGCTTTTGCAGATTTCATACTGAGCAACCTGGTGCTTCATCTGGTCATCATGAACTTCCTCGGATAAAGCCGGCAAGACAATACAGAGTTGGATAAAAAAATGGTTAGGAAGACTTTCCAATACTGCTGGTAATCAATCAATCAATTAGGGGGGGAATATTAATTTGCATACAAGATAGATTTTTGTGCATGATATGATATGATATTTCCTGTGTTGGAGATTTTTTGCTATATATCATCAAGTGAGAGCACATTTCTGGACAAGTATTATTTCAGGCGTTATCCATCATGACTGCAGATTTTGAAATCCCTTTTTTTTTTTTTTTTTATATTGGCATGATAAATTTGTTGATTACGTACTTGCACACAACCGGTCTGGAGAATGTGTAATTGTGGTATGAATCATTTCCTAATTTCACGATTTTATCTGCCACTATTTGGAAGCTTGAAATATTTGATTCTTTGCTTTTTATGCTACGGTGTGTGAATTGTTGTCTTGTTTTTATAGAGAACCATAGGGCCCGATATTTTGTTGGGGTTCTCAGTTGTGGGCCGTCAGATATGCACCAAAAAAATAAAAGAATGTCCTCCTCTAAACATATATAGTAATATTGATTTATTGAACTACGTACATATATCTTTTACATATTTATTTATTGTGTGTGTGTGTGTGTGTGTGAGTGAGAGAGAGTAGAGGGGTGGGGTGGAGCAGCTGTCCCCATCCCGTGTCAACTGGTGGTCATGCAATGAATTGGATTGACGGACAGACGAGGAGGACGACATCTCTGCACCTCATCAACCTGTCCCCTTAAATCCATTAATTGGAGGTTGAAGAATATAATGCTTACTAGTAATTATAATGTGGGAGGGGAGGTGCAGTAAGAGTGAGAGTAATAGATAGAGAAGGGAACTAGCTAGCTAGGGCCTAGGCCTAGGCAGATCCAGTCCAGTATTAGATAGATTAGACGGATGGACATATATAGATAGCAGCGATTTAACAGCAGCGGCCACAACATTAAAAATTGGTTGGTGTACTAGTAGTAGTACAACATTTCGTAGAATAGAATTGATTAATTATTTCATTGTTGTTGAGCATCACATCACATCCAGAGGAGAGGAGAGGAGACAATAATGTGTATCTGTGTGAGTGTCTATCGATGGATTATGATGAACTGATGATCATCCCCCAAATTCGGTCACTCATCACCATCATCATCATGTTGTGTTGTTGTTAGAGTGAGCAGCAGCAGCTAGTGTTTGCCTCTTCTTCCAACATTGTCCTCTCTCTCTCTCTCTCTCTCTCTCTCTCTCTCTCTCTCTCTCTCTCTCATGTGAGTGTGAGTGTGAGTGTGAGTGTGAGTGTGCAGGTAAGTAACTAAAATTCCACAAAAACGAAATACTAACAATGAATCAATGTCGATAATATATATATATACACTAGCAGGCAGGGCAGGGCAGGGCAGGGCAGGGCAGCAAGCGAATTAGCAAAAGTGATTGGCGGAGTGTGTGTAGCCTAGGTATGGAGTTGAGATAGAAGAGTTAGAGTTCATCACCAAAAACACTGACAGACAGACAGACATACAAACAATCAATCCTCCCTTAAGAGAGAAAGAGAGAGAGGAGTAGAGAATAATCAATGAATGAATCAATCAGAGCTCACCGTCACCACCACGGTTGCAAGTTAAATTAAATTAAAGTTGGGAGGAGTGATTCCATTACAATGTTGAAGAAGAAGGTCAACAACAACAACAACAGCAACTTTTCCAGACCAGAGTGAGCGAGTGCCTCGACTACTACGCGCGACAGTAGTAATGTAATGGCTGTCCTGAAAAAGCATACCTACACCTACATCTACATCTACATCTGCATACATACCTATTTATATACTCCATCATGATGATGATGAATTGATGATGATGGTGCAGTGCAGTGCAGTGCAGTGAGCAGAGAGAGAGAGAGGAGCAGGAGCAGCAGCAGGTGCAGGTCGTCGTCGTCTCGTCTGGCCATATTTTATTTCTCTGTTGTTTGTTTGTTGGCCCCCCGCAAAAAGAGCCATAGCTCACCTCATGTCATCTCATCTGGACGCGTGTGTCGTGTAGGAACAGATAGATATGCAGCAGCAGTAGCACATCACGTGCATGGGTCGAGAATGAATGAAATTTGAATCATAGTGTAATCATGCTTTAATAATTACTATATAATATCATTATATCACTTTCTCTCTCTCTCTCTACACTCTGTCCCATCATTTCCACACTTTGTTGCAATGGTTGGTGGTGTAGGGATTGGATATGTGACCGTAAAATCATGGGTTCAAATACCCGACGCTTCAAGTCACCCACCACACATAATTCGCTTAATATGACTTGCTTGTCGGATATAGTTTGCATAATTTTAGATTCGACCAAAGGCTTATTCGGTGTGCACTTTCGGATAGCGGCTGCGGATTCCCGTATCATAAAAAAAAATAAAAAAATAAACAAAATACGTACATGCACTACAAAATACATACATATATTGTATATATATGTATACTATTCTTTTTATTCGATAAAGTGTTTTTTATTTTTTTCTATTTCAATTTGTTAACATAATTTGTCTATTTTTAAAATTTTATTTCTAGAGGAGGGAGTACTTTTTTTTAGTTTTTATAGTACTAAGGAGTACTATATATATACCACTAATGGTTGCAGTGCAGTCAAATCTAGCAAATTACTTGTGTACTACCTTCCCACTTTATGTCCTCCTACTACTAATACTCATTACTCAACAAACACAACTCAAAACTTCTCCTTTTTAAAAAATAAATAAATAAAAAGTACATCTTTTATACTCCCTCTGTTCCACATAATTTTTCCCTATTTTTTATTCGTCTGTCCCACATAATTTATCATTTCTTTTTTTGAAAAATTAATTATACACTTTAATCATATTTTAAAATTTAAAATTAAAATTTTTTTAATCTTAATTAAACTATTTAGTTATCTTAGTCTTAGAGTGTGTTTGTTTGGGGATTGGATTTAATTTCTACTATTCATCCCATTTTTTCCCCCAAAAATATCAAATCAAACACCTATTTTTTATTTTTTATATTATACTAAAAATCAATTTTACATTCAAAACATCACATCAATACCTATTTATATCACATCATACAACTATTTAAATTCAAAATTTTTACAATTCAAAATCCAAAGCCCCAAACAAACGCACCCTTAATTTATAATTATTTTTACTAAATAATAATTATTTTTACTAATACATTTCTTAATTGCTTACTACTAATTATACCCGTGTGTACAATAATAAACCCATATTATATGGGATGGAGGGAGTAATATTTTTGTAAAAAAAACAAAGAAATTATCGTTAATAAATAGTATAAAAATTATATATCTATATAAACAAAACTAATATTTTTACTTCTTTTACATTAGTTGTATTAATTCTATGATCTTAACCACTATTTAAAATTGCAAATAAATTATTATCTAAAATATATATAAACAGAGTAATTAATCAAATTATTATTCCATCCATCACCCCATTTTTGTTCATTTCACATCTCCTATCCTTTTTTTTTTTTGGCAAAATATTTACATTTTAATTATATTTTAGAATCTTATAATTATATTAATTTTAATTAAATTAATTAATTATTCTAATTTTAATCTATAATTACTCAAAAGAGTGCAAATAAAACATAATATATAAACAGACATCACAAATCTATGTTAATATATATATATATATAATACAAATTCAAAGCATAAACTATACACATTATTTTCATATGTTGAATACAAAAGTGCCTCATGTATTATAATTATTACCAAAATTTGTTTTTAAATAAATAAAATTTGTTGAAATAATATTTTGATATAATATAAATAAATGTTGAAGCTTAATAAGGGTGTAACATATAAGATTAAATTATGTTCAACAAAAAATTTAATATAAAAAGGGCTTCATAGACGCAGGCGTGATATTTTCAATATAAAATTAATTTTACTATAATATAAAAAAAAAATATATAAAGATTTAGTTTGTTGTTTTTGAGTATGCATAAAGGAAATCCACCAAAAGCTTTGGAACAATTTAATTCTTAACAAGAACCCTAAATCACTGATCACCATTGTATATATTAATTTAATTACACAAAGCTTAATTTTCCAGCCCCAACTCCTTTTTCCCAAAGTGCACAACAGAAACAAAAATCTATTACAATTTTAAATCATTTACTCAACTAATAATAATAATAATAATAATAATAATAATTAACTTTTGACAACAACTCATCAAGCACACATGTCTTTAGTGAGAAATTTTCTTTCTTTCTTTCTTCCTTTTGTGTGCTTTCTTGTCTCCATGCATGTTTTTCTTTGGCTTTTACATCAATACATATATATATATATATATAAGAAATTTTCCATCTTCTACTGTAATATTAATTATTTTGAAAGTGTGTAGTAGAGGGTAGAGTAGTGAGAAATTGGATGATCAGATTTTAATCGATCATACATATATATATATATATATATCAGTGTGGTCTCCCAAGGGTGAACTCCAAATTAGGCTTCTTGGGACTTGTCTCTGATACACTAGTCGATGAACTTGCCTCTGATATTCTGTCTTGACTATGGCTTTCTCGTTCCATTTCTTTCTGCACACACAAAAATATTAATTAATTATAATGGACAAAAAAGAATATGTATGCATGTAATAATTCAACCAAAACATCAGATTATTATATCCATAATGTCATGCTGCAAAGATTAATCACTAGTAGCTTTGTAAAGCCATGTCGTTTTTGTTCTAAAGGGACAGGGAAATAAAATATAAAGCTTGTATGGTCTCTTTATTTAAAATAAAATAAAATTAAGCATGTATAATTACACTACTTTCTTTCATAATTAATTAATTTAACAAAGTGGATGGTATATCAAGTACGAGGAAAATGGCTTTTTTATTGATTAAGTAGTGCATTTCCCCCTTTTGCAAAAGAAATATATTTCAATTTCTTTGCAACAAAAGCTGCCCAATTAACACACACATCTGAAAATTTATATATATATTTTAAGTTATCATATATAATGTGTGTGTGCATTTTAATTCATTCCCATTCTCTAAGAAGATTTTTGGCTACTTTTTTTTCCATCTCTCCTTTTTATCTCATTACCTCTGTGTGTAAAGAGAAAAAAAAAAGAAAGAGATTTGCAAGTGACTTTATTCACAAATATCTATATAAATACAAAGCACCAAAAACAACACACTAAATTAAAGCTGTGTAGGTAGCTAGCTAATAATTTTAAATTTATCTTTTTGCACACACATGGACATCACAACACCAATATTATACTATATAATAAACATTATAAATTAATATTATTATTAGTATTATTAAAAAATAAGAGTAGTATTAGTGTGTGTATGCATGCATGTCTTGTTTGTACGTACCTCAAGAGATTGTGTGTGTCCTGCACCACCACCTCCACAGTCCTTTATTATCCCATGCAACCAAGCTTCTCTTCTACATGCATTTTCCAAAGAATATTTGCAGTTAGAGAGAGAGAGAAAGAAAGAGAGAGAGAGACAACTTTAATTTGTAGTGTGTCTTATAATTCACACTTCTTCCTACATCCATCTTTTTACTATGTCCTATATGCAAAGTAAAGTGCAAAACCCATGTGACAACCATGGCTAAACCCATTCATGTTCATTAAATCAAATTGCAATATATATATATATATATTCGAATCTTTTTTCTAGGTATCCAACACAAACATCCAATGTAATATCAACCCTTGAAATAATATTGCCATTGGAGACTTGTTCCACAGTCAAAAGAAAAGAAAATAGAATAATTCCACAAATAGCAACGTAACACACAATGCATTGCAGGGTTAATTTAATTTAATTTAATTTAATTAAATTGGTTGCTGAGTTAGTATTGGGTTGAGTGACGAATTTATTTCTTAGCAGCTCTATTCAATAAATGGTTCTATATATATGTATGATTTATTGACCCTTTGAATTGAATGTGGCGTTGTATTACACTTATAACAACGTAAAAAAATTTAATTTTATTGCCACATTGAATGCAAATCAAAGCCCTAGAATTTTATAGCTTAGATTTCTCTTCTTCTTCCTTTCCTTAATTTCCTTTCGTCTATTCTACCCACAAACACCTAAAGGCTACCCATTGTGGCCTGCAGATTAATGTCCCTTTTAATGTTTCATTACCACAATAAATTATCAACTATATAGGTAGGTTTCATTTCGAACATTACAATCTTAAATCTTACAACCCAAAATAACAAAAAAACAAAAAAACAAGTGTTTCACCTAATGCTAGCTATGAATTCTTTATGTGGTGGATCTTGTTGTAACTCCAAAATCTGTATATATATATATATAATGCAAGAACTAATTTTTTATTTTGTTTTATCAGCAAAAAACTAAATAAGATAATCCAAATTACTCCTAAGTACGTAATCAAGCAGTTATGTAGTGTTATTTCATTTATTTATTCTTTTATTACCACATTGCCCTAATTAATAATACTCCTAATCGGATTATGATTATGATGTATTTGACAACACAGAGAGTATGTATATATAGACGACACTGCCAAGAAATTCACGGGCTAGCTAGTCGAGACAAACTGCATTAAAGACTGTGGGGCTGTCTGTAAATAATAGTATACTAGTATTTTTGTTTGAGAAATTATTCTTGGAAAGTTGGAGAACAGATGACTACTACTTATTACTGCAGTGGGTAGAACTTAATTAAAATCAGAGATTATTTATTTATTTAATTAAATCATTACCTTGAGGAATTGCTCCATTGGGCATGAAAACCCTTGTCCTGATGATGATTCACAAGCATTTGTCTTCCCTGTTGAACTGATGAAGCTTCTGACTTTTGAGGATTATGGATGTCGAATAGAAAGTCGTCGGAATTGTCGCCGGACGACGCGTTTTCGAACACCTCCGATTGCCCTAATTCATATTCACAGGATGCATAAGTACAATCAAACTTATATATATATATATATATCCAAAAAGAAAAAGGGAAGAAGGATTGTGGATTAATTTAATTAAATTCAAATCAAGATTTAAAATTTATTGATAGTAAAATTGAATTAAAATGGATAAACCTGAAGTAGCAGCTGGCCTATCAGTGGATTTCACGGTTCTATACATCTGCAAGAAAATGTGAAGAAAGATATTATTTATTAATTAAATTATTGCTTAGAAATTAAGTAATGTAGATTCTTCTGGTAAAGGAAGACAGTACGACATTTTTAGTAACAGCTTGAAAATACGTATATATATATATGTGTATACGTACAGATATACTTATTACATATTCATAGAGAGAGATAAACATGCATGCAGTTGTTGTACTGATCATTTATGTTTTCGAGGTTAACCATGGTTTTGTCAAAGGGTAGTTGGGGTTTTGCCTTTTAACAAAGGGCATGCAGATATAAATAAACAAATAAATATATAAATATGAGTGTGTGTGTATATATCATTGTGTCATGATGGAGTTTCTGTACTGTTCGAAACCGTGTGTACTTTTTGTAATGAACTGTTTTCAACTCCTTGTCTTATTGCTACGAGACTTTCTAATTAAATATTTATTTCCCACTCTCTGTGACTCTCTGCCCATATTTTCCATCCTTTTACTTTACTTGGATGGTTCATTCTTCCAAGCAAAAAAGCTGGTTTGGTAGCTTGCAGAGCCTTCAATTCAGATCTACTTGAAAATACCCACAAAAAAATAAATGGAAAAAGAAAGAAGCAGACTATTGCTGAAAATCTTGAGGATACAAAAAAAATTATTGGGTACTTGAATTTGAAGTTAAAATGTTTGTTAATTATCCACACATCTTTAACTTTTGTTTTCTTACAAAGATAAAATTTTTTTGAGGGTTTTGACATAGCTCAAAGCATCATAGTTTTTAAGAATGTAAAGAAGGGATAATGTAAGTAAAAATTTGTCTGAAAGAAGGGTTTCTTCTTCTTCTTCTTTAAAAAAAAATTAAGAAAAAAAAATAGAAGAGTTCATAGTTGTAATTAGTACCTGCAAATGGGACTTGACATGTGCTAAGGTGAGATCTTTGACATCCATGAGCTCAAGAACTGATTTGGGCGTAGCTCCTATACATACAAACATATGTATATATTATATGTATGTATTTTAGACAACATTATTTCAGACATTCGCCTATAATAGCTCAATTAATCAGTTGTAATTTCCAACATTAATTCGATTATAAAAAAAAAAAAAGAAAAAAAGCAAATGAAAAATGCAGTACTGGGATGTGGAGACAATTGTAGAGACTCCATAATTTGATCAAATTAAATTAAATTTGTTTAAAAAGTCAATCAATCGAAGTTGTAAGAGATTCCACTCTGGCTTACTTTCATGGCCGCCCAAGAGCTCGACGGCGTGTACGAACCGGGCATGGAGGGTGGTCGTCCACCGCATCCGCGGCGCCCTGACGCTGCGTTTGGCCGGAAACCTCGTGAGGAACCGCGATCGCATGAACCCTGCCGTCTGTTGGTGGTTGTGGTGAAAATTTGAAGCCGATGAATGGGCCCCGGCGAAACTAGTGGCGGCGGAAGACGGCGGCATTGACGGGTCCACGTGGCGGTGGTGGGGAGGGATTAATGGGAACGGCGGCGAAGCCGCCGCCGGGTGGTTTTGGTAGACCGGAATTCCTCTTATAGGTCTCAAGAAGTTGAGCTGATCTTGGTGGGGCTGGTGATGGTGGAGGAAATAGTGCCCGCCGGAGCCGGCGGCAGCGGCGGCGGCGCCGCCTTGGAGAATATGATGGGGTGTGTCGGAATCCCAAGTGGAATTGGGGGTGGAGGAGACGGGGTTTGGTGGGTGGAGAGATCTTTTGAGGAAGGCCAAATTGTCGGCCATTTCGTGGTGATCGTCGCCGGCGGCGGCGGCGGCGGCGTTTCGTCTGATCCAGCTGGTGGCGGATGAGTTTGGAGGGCTGATTTGGAGGGATAGGTCTGGCTGTGCTGCTGGAAAGAGCTCCATCGATGATGACGATTTATCCTTATCTTGTTAATTAATTCTCTTCGATGGTGGTCGTCTTCTTCTTCTTCTTCTTGAATTGATTTCTTGCAAGTGTGGTGTAATGAAGTTGCAGGTTTTTCTAATCTAGGGTTTGTAAGAACAGGTAGCAGAGATTAATTGGGAGGTTAGGATATGGGGTTTTGATGAGAATTGTGGGTAGTGGTTGCAGAGATATTGGGATTGTGATGGAGAGAGAGAGAAAGAGAGAGGAATTTGTAGAGAGAGAGAGAGAGAGAGAGAGAGAGAGAGAGAGAGAAAGGAGGTGACAAAGGTATGAAGAGAATGGCTGTTTCTTTTGTGTGAAGTATATGTAAGAAAGTGACACTTTGGAAAGGGTTAGAGAGTTAGGCCTATTTGATTACCTTATAATATTACAAGAGTAGTGTGATTTATTAATTTCAAGAAAATAAATAACTAATTAAATATTACCCCCAAAAAATAGAGAATAATTAGTGGGGTTAAATATCTTTCCAAGAAAACAGATTAGATATGTTGCAAAATCGAGTGTATATATATATATATTTAAAAAAATATAATAATAATATTACTTAATTACATATTGGTTGGGATTGAAAAGATAACACAATATTTTCCTCACTTTTTGTGAGAATATAATAAAAATTGAACCTTTGAACAAGGGATATTAAAGTTAAAGTAAAAAGCTTTTTTAAACTTAGGCATTTGTCCCCCAATAACTCATACCTCTATAGCTTACTTAGTGTATATACATACATATATATATTTATATTCATAATTACAGCTAATTTTTAAGAAAGTTGTGTTAATTAATCCTTAGTTATTCATAATTTTTTCTTATTAATTTTTAAAGTGTCATCTTCACAATTTTCAATTACACTATATATATTAAATGATCACTTTTGGTGTGTTTGGTTTTAGGTGTTTGTTTATATTATTTTTTTGGGTAAAATAATAATTTGATATGATATTACATAAAAAAGTAAATATGTTTTTATTGAAAATAACAAAAGTACATTTGTAAAAAAATTGAATATATATATATGTAAAACAATAATAGAGCTATTTAAATTAAATAATTTATTCAACTTAATTAAATTTAGGCATGCCTTAATTTTAATTCAAAAGAAAAAACAAAATAGGGTTTTAATTCTTGGTCGAAATTGCAATTAATTTTGGTTGGTTCTCAATTGATTGACACTGTAAAAAAAATGATTTAATTGCAGTTACATAACATAATTCTCTTTAATCAAATTTAGTCCAAACTCTGTTCCTATGTATAAATATCTATTTTAAATTGGGAATTTTAGAGGATGAATAAGAATATAAATATATATATATATATATATAATCATGCAATAATGAATGATATCATTGATCCACATTCAATAATTTAAGTTAAAATTGACCAAATCCCATCACCTAAAAATTAATTAAACCACCTTTTCTATTAAAAGAAAAAAAAAAATATTTAAAACATTGATTTAATTAGCTATATACTGTTATGTAATAATATTAGCCACCTACATATGTAGGAAGCAGCTGACAGTCAAACTAGGGGTTGAGATTGTATAAGAAATAAATTAAATGATAACACATGACTATAATCTTACTTTTAAAAAATAAAATAAAATTGCAATCATTGATATCTATAGTTTATTAATAGTAACCCTGATCTGCTAATTATATTTTGTTTATTTTTATACAAATCAATTTGTATTATAAATTATTGGATGGGCAAATAATAATTAATAAAAAGGTAGAGAGCATGATCGATCAGCATCAAGTGAATAATTTTTGTAGCACACAATTCATTCAAACTGTCCCAATAAAATTAAATGAAATGTCCTTGTGCTAATATTGATATAAAATAAATTTTTAATTTATGCTGATTATGAATGGATGGGCAAAAGGCATATTGTAATAAAGCTTGGTGGTTATTCTATTTATTGTAGAATTAAATACTCCACTGAATAATATCAAGGGATTCCACATTAAATAAATCTGGAGAAAAAAAAATTCCAAGATTAAATAATGGATGCTGTGTAACATTTAATTGATTTAATTTTTTATTGAAATATATATATATATATATATATAATCAAGAAGTGTGATTATTGTCTGCCCAGATCAGAATTATTTTGATTATTCAATTTTCGCGGCGTAAATATATATTGAGAGACTTCAATTTAATTTAATTTAATTTTGCAGGTTTGTTGGTGGGATTATTCAGCACTCCCATTGAAGGATTGATTAGATATATAATTGAGATAAATATTAAATTCAACATCACATTTAAAGTAATATCTTCAAATTTTTTTGTAGATTAATTTTTTTTATATAAAAATAACATATAGTAGTAGTAAATTATTCGAAAACAACACCCCCATAAGTGTATAATAGACATGGGTCATCTGAATCATTTACTGTGGATACTTTTTAGCTACAAAAAGTCAGTGAAAACTTTTATTACTTTGGACCCAATAATGCCAGAACATTTAATTTAATGCAGCTGCAAATTAGGGTAAGAAAATTCAATAAAATCCACTACTCCTATATATATATATATATATATATATAATTTCATTACTATACAATAACAAGGTTCTGTGATAAGGATAGAATTAGATTCAGTTGTATATGTACATAACTCTTCATCTTCAATGCACAAATCAAACACAAGATTCCCTTGTGATTTCTAATATCCTTTTCAACAAACACTACACAGCAAAGGAATGATTCCAAGTGGTCTTTCCTTAAGTAACAAAAAAATGTTCATCAAACTGTGACTTTACTCGGAAAGTAGAAAGAATTTAGCCGATAGAACAAGAATATATCAATCACGTGAAATCTCAGAAACATAAAACATTCTATACCACACTCACATGTATACATAAATGTATCGGGCGAAAAGAGAAGATGGAACAATACATACAATACAATAGGAATCTTTTCCAAGACTTTTGAGGCAAACAAATATCCAAGAACTCAACATACTTGACAAAATATTCTCCATTTTTTGTTGTTTTTATTCCCTTTTCTCCTTTAGCTCACTTCAATCAAACTTTGTCACATTTCGATAATATATACTATCAAATGTCGGGCCCCATAAGTGGTGAGGTAGGCTTTTCAATCAAATTAACTCCTGTGGCACCTAAATGATTCATTTTGAAGAAAGCCCGGTAAAAAATATAGCAATATGCTTCAGATTCAATAACCATTAACAGCTACCAAAGCTCAATTGTAGGATTATTCTCTAGACTAATCAAATTTGTGGATGAAGCTTACAGAGAAAGAAAGAATACGAACAACGTAGACATTAAACACTGGAGGCCATAATGCATAATGAACACTGACATTACTAAACGCAAGACTAGCAAAGAATGTAATGTGAAAAATCGGATCTCAAAGTAAGAGACTATCCCCCAGGCATTCAAAGCATCTCCCAGGCATTCAAAGCAAGTGCTGAAGAATACACAAGTAGAAACCATAGAAACAGAAATACTTGAGCACATGAATAACACGATACCAGCTATTTTGTCACTGCTACATAAAAGAATTTTCATAGAAGATATGTCAATTTAAATTGTTGGGTAGCTCACATGCTTGGAAGAACGGGGCATTTTAATCTCCAACTGAAAGCCTCATAGACTACTATATTTTAAAACTAGTTATTGAGATATTTGCTAAAGGCAGTTAACTAAAAATGGGCAGTCACAGGACTAAATTTTGCCAGTTTATACAGTAGGGTATACTAAAATTGTCCAAGTGCCATGAAGTGAAACAAGAATGCTTACACACAAATTGTCCAAGTGCCATGAAGTGAAACAAGAATCGAAACTCATACAATAGCTTCCTTCTATGTCAAATATGCACATCAACGTATACAGTGACCTATATCTTATGAACTTATAGTCTACTTTGGATTGATATCATGCAGTAAATGAGTTTTCAATTTTCAAATTTGATACGTGTAATAGACAAGTGCCTGTAAAACATTAATAAAAAAATAAAAGCAACACCACAGAGCCAATATCAGGAATACAGATACATCGTGAATAATAAGCATGTTTCCACTTCGAGAGATGCTATAGCACATGAAAATAGCATTGATAAGTAAGGGTTGAACAGATGTTATAAATCAAGGAACAAGCATTTCAAGAATCCGACAAATAGTGCAAAAACAACCAGCTAGAGCATATACATTCACAAGCATATATTAACATCCAAAACAATTCCAGTAAAACTCATAAGGTAAACATTATGGCTGCTATGAACACATGGCAATGAAAGGCCTTGTGAGTCTCAAACTGCTGCTATGTTCAAGACGATAAACGACTTTAGTCAATTCAAGAGGCTGACAAACAATTCCCAAATCTAAATATACAGTTGCTGAAGAGCAAAACATAGTAATTTCTAAAACACTTTCAGAGTCCCCAAGAATTACCTATCTCCATAGAAAAGGACCTGTCTCAGCAACTGGAATGCACCCGATTGACATGGAGCCGAACTTCATCTGCATTGGCAGCAGATCCAAAGCAATTAAACCTACTTATTAACTACTCATTGACCACTCAATCTTGCGCTGATCCAGTGCGGAAGGTTCATAAGCCGACAAACGATAGAATGAACGAATCATATTGTCCCAGATGTCACTTGAAAGCCCCACACTCCTCCCGCGCAATTTCCTAAACTTGAATTGTGTCCTCTTTTGCGTCACGCTTTAGCGGCGAAATGGGAAGATTCAAAGCCCCATCATCCTCCCCATAACTAACATTACTCATCAGCATCCTCACTTTCTGCTCACAAGGAATCTGCATCACACTATCCGAATTCACATCCTTCTTACCATCGTCCTTTTCACTTAACACGTCATAGAAGAAGCTTGTCAAAACATGCTCATAGCTCGGCATCTTCGCATACCCAGGGAAATAGTTGATGTCGATCACAAGGTACCTGTTCCCGATGCTAGTGTCCCTAATTACATCAAAATTAAACAAATGCAACCCCATTGCTCGGCGAAGACCCCTCGCAATAACCACCAGCAAGTCCATGGGAGGATTCTCCGTCTTGCCATCCTCCCAATCGATCATCCTATAGTAAGCATCGCCTCTCCTTTCCAGGCTATTTAGGTTCGAAACCTGAGAAAACGACAACGAGCTCTTTAGATTCCCCAAATTCTCCACATTCACATCGGGCAGAGACTTCCGTTTCACGCATTTGACATACTCCCCAACGACATACACCTTGAATATAACCCCTCCATGATTCACGAACTCCTGCAGCACCACCGGCGGCTTCAGCTTACTCAGCCCATCCCTATTGTACACCAACGACATCTTATGCGACTTGGCGCTGCCATCCGCCACCAAGGGCTTCGCCACCACCGGAAACTTCAGCCCTTCGCCCTCCACATCCAACTCCCCCACGGCACTCGCGTCGTATACCGCAGTCTGCTTCGGGATGCCAAACGACACCCTATCGCATTCAACAACGTTCAAATCCGTAACCACCTGCAGCATTGATATGCGATTGTGGAGCCTCTCAATTGCATCGGGGGAATCGATTATCAAAACGTCGGGATTCTTGCTGGAGTAGTCGGCCAGCTGTTGCCTCCACTCGTCGCCATAGATTTTGTGGAGGACCAAATCGAAGGGTCCCTGCTCGATTAAGGGCTTTTCCAAATCGATCTTGACGAGATCGATGCCCTTCTCCCTCGCGGCATTTATCAGAGAAATTTGAATGAAACTCGCCTGCTTCTTCGAAGACAGAGCGTAGCCGACTGCGAATCTTCGCCCCATTGGTTCCTCCATCGAAACTTATCCCCAAATAATTGGATTTACAGCCAAAACGACCTCGTCACCATTCAAATCCAGGCTCCTTCGAAATGGTTCCAACACAAGAAAGTAAGATTGGCGTAAACCTGAACGTACCCGATGCATTCAGCAGATTTATCCGCAGCTCTGCGTGCTTGTATCGTGTTCGTGAGCGATCGAAATTTTCGAGAGAGCGAAAAGGAAAACACACAGAAGGGATGCGTTCTTCGAAAGGGGCAGCTGATACGCATACGCGTATTCCCTAAAATTAGAATAAATAAAATAATATTATAAATGAAATCATTAATATTTATTTATTTTATTTTTTTTCAGAAATTTTATAAATTATCGCTTGAAATACAAATTATTTAAGGCTGCCTGTGGTTTTCCAATTTTAATTGGCATTGTGTTTGTTATCGAATTTTTTAGAATCTTTAAAATATTATTACTTTTATTATTTAGTCTTCATATCTAATTAAATTTACACAATTTTAAAATATTTAATTATATATTCCATTGGTCTTATTGTAACATAAGAGTTGGTTTGTGATATGATATTTAAGTTAATTAAATTAAGTAAATTAATTATAATGAATTATAATTATATATATAGAATTATTAACAAAATAATTTTTTATTTCAATTTAATGGAATTTTCAATCACAAACACATTAACAATAAATAAATAAAAGAATTAGACAATGAAAGAAACATTGCAGATTTTTTATTTAGTGAAATAATTTTTAAAAAATATATTATTTTATAGGAATTATTGAGAATTATTTAAATCATATAAAAATAATAAATATGGAAAAAAATATTTTTGAGAAATTGTGTTTTTTATAAAAAGAATCCACCCACTTTTTACAATTTTCACTAATTAAAATTAACATATTATATAATTTTATAGTTTCAATATATATATTACATTAAATATATTATTTTAAAGATAAAACTCAATAAATAAATAACCCGAAATGATTATTTATGCATTTAGGGAATGATACTTTGAATTTTATTTGTTACTTAAAACTTAAATAAGCAATTAAATTAAGCAGCTACTACTTAAAATATCATAAATAAAATAAAATAAAAATAAAATTCGGTTAGCGGGCGGATTCCTACATAAAAAAAAAAAAAAAAAAAACTGTAAAATAGTAAATTTAAATTTTTGTCTCATCCAACTATCATTTAATCAATTTAAATCTCATAATGAATTTTTCATCAAAATTAATCTCAATCAAAAAAATAAATAAATAATGATCATTATTCTTCCACTATTAAAATTTTGATGAAATATGGTAACAAGAATAAATAAAATTTACCCAAAAGTGTAAATTAATACTCCAAAAAAGAATTTATTATTATTTCTTTTTTGTTTATTATTTTTATTGTTATAAATTCACAACATTATTATTGTAATGATAAAAGGAAAATATCTCACACATAATATAATTTTATAAAAAGATTTCACAAAAAATTATATATTACTAATAAAGTATAATTTTGTTTTGGATTGAAGAGAATAAAAAATACTATAAAATTAGTTGGATAAGGATATTGTGATCCTCTACGTGGATATATATATATATAGTAAAAAAAATATTAGTGTGACTTGTTTTGTCGGACGCATTAAAAAATAAAATACTTTTTTCATTTCATATACCATGTCCACGTTGCCGTTTCTTTCCGTCCCACATATCATGTTATTTTTTAAAAAAAAAAAAATGATTACACACTTTAATTTTATTTTAAACTTTTTAATTTATTTATTTTTATTTTAATTAAACTAATTAGTTATCTTAATCTTAATTTATAATTATTTATATTATAGGATAATTATTTTCACTAATATATTCTTAATTATGTACTAATTATACCCCTCTTAGTCTACAGTGTAGCAGACACGGTATGTGGGACGGACGTAGTAGTATTTTTATTTTGTAAAATAATTTGAACATATATTCTTTTATAGTGTTTTTGTTTTATAAAATAATTTGAAAGTATATTATTTTTAAGTATATTTTTTTTAAATATAAATATAGATAATTGTGTAAATAATATAAAAATAATAAATATACATAAATATATTAATTTGTTCAAAATAATACATGAAAAAAAAAGGACATATCCTAAGAAAAAATTGGAACAAAAATTAACAAAATGGTTTGCTACATAATTTGAGAGTTTTCTTTATTTACTTTTTAAAAAAATATATATATTTTATTTTTATATTTTAAAAATAAATTTAATTTTATTAATATAATAGTATTTAAAATACAGAACTTTCCTAAAAAAAAAAGAAATATATAATATAAAAGAATTGAAAATAGAAATAATTAACTATCTGTTTTTGTGTGTGTATGTATTATTGATGAATATCACATTAGTTTCATTCAAAACTTTACACTCCATATATAAACAATTTTAATAAATTTAAATTTATAAACTATTTTATAATTAAAAATCCTATCATCTATAAAAATAAATATTGGTTAGTTTTTTAGTTTTTACAATTTGTGGTCTACATTTTCAAATATATATACATAATGTATCGTATCAAATATTATTTAATATGAAAATTCAAATTAAATCTTTTAAATTCAAATCAAAGACACACTTTTTATGTTGAGAATATATATATATATGTTGAAACGTGACTTGGATTTAGCGGTCTATCCGACCCTAAATCAAAGTGAAAGGGCTGTTTCAATTGGCAGGGTTCCTTTTGGGCTTATCCTAATTTATAACAAATAGGCTTACGGTTTAGGGTGTTGTGTGGTGCTTATAAATAGACAACTATGGTTCTTAGTCGGATGACACATTGTAAATCTCTAAATCAGTATAATAAAATCTCTCCGGTTCCTGCCCGTGGACGTAGGTTGACATACTGTCACCGAACCACGTAAAACCTCTGTGTTCTTTATTTGTTTTCTTTCTCGTTTTCTCATAACAAGTGGTATCTCCACCTTGACTTGGAGTTTCTCCAACTGCCAAAGGTTCGTCAGTATCTCTCAGTCGTCTCCTTCCTGCCAGATGCCCCGAGAGGGCTTTACCTCCTACGAATATTCACCAAGTTCAAGCAGTGCTCAAACTTCTCCGTCGGTAGCGCCTTTGTCAACATATCAGCTGGATTGTGCTCTGTAGCTATTTTCTGAATAGAAAACTTGTCTTCCTCCAGAACATCACGGATAAAATTCAACCTTACATCAATATGTTTGGTTCTCTCATGATACACTGGATTTTTAGCCAAACGCAAAGCACTTTGACTATCACAGAATAACACCGGTTTTTCCACCTTCAGACCCAAACTCTGCACCAGACCATGTAACCAGATACCCTCCTTAATACCTTCAGTCATTGACATGTATTCCGCCTCAGTCGTCGACAATGCAACCGTAGGTTGTAAAGTAAACTTCCAACTGACTGCACATCCAAACAAAGTGAAGATAAAACAAGTTAGTGATCTTCGTTTCTCCAAGTCACCCCCGTAATCAGAGTCTGCATAGCCAACAAGACCATCACCATGGCCTTTATCATCATATACCAGACAAATATCAGACGCTCCTTTCAAATATCGCAAGATCCACTTTACAGCTCCCCAGTGAGCTTTACCCGGATTAGCCATAAACCTGCTCACCACACTAACCGCATAAGCGAGATCCGGTCTCGTACATACCATCGCATACATAAGACTTCCAACTGCACTTGAATATGGAACCATCTTCATGTAATTAACCTCTTCATCTGTAGCCGGTATAGTGCTTCGATCAAGTTTAAAGTGTGCCGCCAAAGGGGTACTTACCGGTTTGGACTGATCAACAGAGAATGCCTGCAAAACTTTCTCAATATACTTTTCTTGAGAAACCCATAACCGTCTTGCTTCTCTATCACGCCAGATCTCCATACCAAGTATTTTCTTTGCCGCACCCAAATCCTTCATCTCAAACTCACCCTTTAGTAGAGCCTTCAAGTCATTAATTACAGTCATGTTCTTAGCTGCAATTAACATATCATCCACATACAACAGCAGATACACAAAGGAATCAGTAGAAACTTTCTTCGAGTAAACACAGTTATTAAACTGATTACGAGCATAACCATTAGACACCATGAATGAGTCAAATCTCTTGTACCATTGCCTCGGAGACTGCTTCAAGCCATACAAAGATTTCTTTAACAAGCATACCTGGTCCCCTTTAGAACTGTAGAACCCCTCCAGTTGAGACATGTAAATCTGTTCTTCTAGATTACCATGAAGGAATGCTGTTTTTACATCAAGCTGCTCCAGCTCCAGATCAAAAGCACCCACCATTGCCAAAAGAACCCGAATGATTTTGTGTTTCACCACAGGAGAAAAGACTTCATGGTAATCGATTCCTTCCTTCTGTGAAAACCCTTTTGCCACCAATCTCGCCTTGAACCTAGCAGGTTCAACACCAGGAATTCCCTCATTTCTTTTAAAGACCCACTTGCATCCCACTGGCTTCACCCCTTTTGGTAGTGCAACAAGATCCCAAGTCTTGTTCTTTTCAAGAGACTGCATCTCTTCATTCATTGTCATAATCCAGGTTTCTGCATCTTTACTCGCCACAGCTTCTTTATATGTCTTTGGCTCATCAGAGCCAAGATCATCACCAACCACTAGTGCATAAGCAACAGAATCCATGTCACACGTATTGACACATCCTGCAAACCTAGCTGGTTTCTGAATATTTCTCTTTCCCTTTCTTGCTGCTATGAAATCTTCAACCCCAGTACCAGCGTCATCAGCTTCCCCCTCAACCGGTTTCCCTTGAGGTTTTGACTGATCTGGTTGATCGGATTGATCAATAGTATTATTCTGCTGCTCTTCCTCTAACACAACTCTGTCAGGAGTCTCAAACTCCACTCTCTGGTTAGCACCACAATCTTTTGTACTTGCAATACTTTCACAACCTCTACTTTGATCAAGCATAGCAGATTCATCAAAGGTTACATCTCTGCTAATAAGAAATTTACCAGGATTTTTACCTTCTGTACACCACAGTCGATAACCTTTTACTCCTGTTGCATACCCTAGAAATATGCATTTTACCGCCCTCGGCTCCAGCTTACCATCATTCACATGAGCGTATCCAAATATTCTTAGATTAGAGTAATAAGAGGGTTTACCGGACCATACCTCTTGAGGAGTCTTTAAGTCAATTGCAGTTGATGGAGATCTATTAACCAGATAGCTAGCAGTGTTTACTGCTTCAGCCCAGAATTGCTTAGACAAGCCAGCAAATATGCGCATACACCTAGCACGCGCCATGAGGGTTTGGTTCATTCGCTCTGCAACTCCATTTTGCTGTGGTGTGTGTCGTACAGTGCGGTGCTTCACTATACCTTCTTTCTTGCAGAAATCATCAAATGGAGCGTTGCAGAACTCCAACCCATTATCAGTTCTTAGAGTCTTGACCTGTTTACCCGTCCGTTTTTCAACCATGGTCTTCCACTCCTTGAACTTCCCAAACACCTCATCTTTAGTTTTCAGAAAGTACAACCAGACTTTTCTCGAATAATCATCTATGAAAGTGACAAAGTAAGAACACCCGCCCTGCGATTTCACCGGAGAGGGACCCCATAGATCTGAATGAACATACTCCAGAATTTCTTTTGAAGTGTGATGACCGGTACTAAACCTCACCCTGCGTTGCTTCCCTTTGACACAAGCCTCACAGAATTGAATTTTACCTATCACATCTCCACCAAATAAACCCTGCTTGCTCAACACAGACAACCCTAACTCACTCATGTGACCTAATCGCCGGTGCCACAAATTTGTCCTATCATCATGTTTATCCAAGGACTGGGATACCGCCGCCGTTCCCATCACTGAACTGCCCTGTAGAAAATAAATTCCATGCTACAGTTTTCCCGTCATCATTACCAGCGCACCTTTCAGGACTTTCACCCATTCACCTTCACCATGATATTTTAAACCATTCTTGGCTAAGGTGCCAAGAGAAATCAAATTTTTTATGAGTTCAGGAACATACCAACAGTCAAATTTCCTGACAGTACCGTTATGCAATTTTATCTGCACTACCCCGCTCCCTTTTATGGCTAGAACCCCATCATCACCTAACTTCACCGTTCCATTCCACTCCTTAAAAGAAGTGAGTAGATCACGAGAGAACGTCATATGGTGAGAAGCACCGGTATCCATAATCCAGGAATCAGTAGTACTAGCACTACACGCTGTCAGAACTTCACCAAAGTCCCCATCATCAGAATTGTCTTGTACCACAGTAGCATTGCTGCCACTGTTACTAGAATCAACTTTTGTATTTCCCTTCTTTTGTGGACAATCCCTTTTAACGTGCCATTTCTCCTTGCAAAGATAACACTTAACTTTGCTAGAGGATTTTGATTTTGAACGCGACCTCCCATTCCCGTTACCCCTCTTCTGTGGTCTTCCCCTATCTGCAAACAGACCTGAACCAGAATCCTCTTCCAGAGAAACCTTTCTTTTCATTCTTTGGACATAAGGGCATCTTTCACATCATTAACAGAAATTGTAATTCTACCATATAACATAGTATCTACAAAATTCTCATATGAACCAGGTAGTGAACACAGTAAAATTAGGGCTTGATCTTCATCATCTACTTTAACCTCAACTCCTTGAAGATCAAGAATGATACGGTTAAAGGTATCAAGATGATCCTTTACCCGAGTACTTTCGGACATCCGGAGGGTGTAAAGACGTTGCTTCTGATATAGCCTGTTCGTGAGAGAGTTGTTTTGGTACTTCTCACACAGTTTATTCCATAACCCAAAAGCCGTTGTCTGATCTACAACCTCCCGTTACACCTCATCAGTAACTGACAGCAAGATCGCGGAATGAGCCCTTGCCAAAATCTCCTTATTTACCTCCTCCTTCGTGTCTTTAGGAAACTTGTCTTCTCCCTCCAACGCAGCCGCACATCCTTGTTGAAGTGCCCTCATCTTGACCTTCCAGAGCGTGAAGTCATTCGACCCATTAAACTTCTCCAGATCAAACTTATACGAGGACATCTTCAATCAATGAGATATGGCTTTGATACCACTTGTTATGAGAAAACGAGAAAGAAAGCAAATAAAGAACACAGAGGTTTTACGTGGTTCGGTGACAGTATGTCAACCTACGTCCACGGGCAGGAACCGGAGAGATTTTATTATACTGATTTAGAGATTTACAATGTGTCATCCGACTAAGAACCATAGTTGTCTATTTATAAGTACCCCAAAACACCCTAAACCGTAAGCCTATTTGTTATAAATTAGGATAAGCCCAAAAGGAACCCTGCCAATTGAAACAGCCCTTTCGCTTTGGTTTAGGGTCGGATAGACCGCTAAATCCAAGTCACGCTTCAACAATATATATATTTGGTTATTAGTTATTTTTTAAATTTAATTTATTTATTTTTATTATATTGTTATCATTTTAATACAAACACAAAATTTTATTATAAAATATCATGCCCAATTCAAATAATATATATATAATATATAATATTATATATATACATTTTTATTAAGTTTATGTTCATTTGAGCTGAATAAGTATTTTAATAAATTAATATTCATTTTGTTAGAGTAATATGTATCTATTTACTTTTTACAAATTGATTTTAATATATTAATATTTTGTCAATAATGCAATAAAAAAATAGAAAAATAATTTTACTCTTATTCATTACCTGTTTTAGTGACTTTTAATTTGTAATATTCTAAAGTTTAGCATTATATTTGAGTTAGACAAGAATAACAAAATAGTTACATATTACTTGAACATAAAAAAAATATTATATTGATTGATTGTATTATAAAAAGAAAAATATTTTAGTGTGTAAATAATTTGTAAATAAAATAATATTGAAAAATATAAATTAAAAATTATTTATTATAAATAAAATATACATATTTTTGTAAATGAATAGATAGTATATTTTTGGAGCCTGTTGTGGATTTTAATGGAAGCATGTGTTTTCTTGAATTTGGGCTGAACTATCCATAGCCCATTTTATCAGAGCCCAGTCCATTAAGAAATTTTGAATTTGGTTGAATTGAATCAGGCCCAGTCCATTAAGAAATTTCGAATTTGGTTGAATTGAATTGAATTAAGCCTCTTTACCTATAGCCTATAGGCAGATGTATTCTTCTTTCCTACATTTATTCAAGAACGGTCTGGTCAATATGTTTGTGAACGAAGAAGAAGAATAGATGCGGTAGCAGAAACAGATTAACGATAAGCCCATCGCGTTTTGACTTCGTCGTCTTGTGTTGAGCGTGTGGAAAGACGAATTTAATGCTCCTTGGGTGTATGTATGTATAAACATCGCGGAATTTGGCGTTGGGGTTTTGAACTGCGGAATTGATTCATGGCTGCGTCTTCAAGTAGAAGTGGTTATAGTAGGGGTTCGCGTCATCAGCGTTGGGAATCTGATGAAGGCTACGCCGCCAGACCTATTCTCGATCGCGGCGAGAGCTCTTCTTCAGCAACGACGGCATCGCGGGGTTTCTTTACAAGTTCGCGTGCCGGAGGACGGACGCGTCCTCGCGGTAGCGGGAATTCGAGGTCGGCGACTCGGAATCGCGGTGGGAGATCATGGTTAGTGAAGAATCTGGAGAAAGAACGGCCGGCGGATTCTGGTGGTGAGTCGAGCACGATAGAACGGCGGGAGGATCCTTGTCGTGAGTCGAGCACGATTCCGAAACTTGATCTGGATCGCGGTTGTGTGGACGGCGGCGATGGAGTTTCTGGCAGTGCGTCGGGATTAGATCGAGATTCTGATAATGGTGAAATTAGGGCGGGTGGAAGGTCAGGTTCGGTTGATGTGTTCGACGAGGATAAGTCTATCAGAAGACTGGAGGAGCTCAGACTGAGAGCCGGAGAAGCACCGGAGTTGTCGGAGGAGATGCTGAGCGCCAACAAACAGCTACAGGAAGATGAGGTAATAATTTGTAGTGCTTGAAATATGTTGAACTCCGAGAATACAATATCTTGTTGGTTCTTGTCAGCTAATCGAACTTTTATCCAATGAGCATGCTTCTTTAATGTGTTGTGTTAATTGTGATTTCTTCACATCAAATATCGAAGAATAATTCCACGTTATTAAAAGTTAAACACGAATGGCAATTCATGATCACAAACATGGCTACTTGATTGTTTCCTATGTTTGTGGAAATGATATTTCAATTTAAGTATTCATACATGAATGCCTGTAGTCAATTAGGGACTGTTAAGATTGAGGTTTTGTCTAATGTTTCTTGGCTGTAGATATCTTTTGCCCAGTTAAGTCATATTATTTTTCCATGAAGCAGAAGAATGGAATGCGTAACATGGAATTTGACCCTTGGTTGTGGTTAGATGTTCTAGTGCACAAAAAAGTATTAGGGTAGGAGAGAGGAAAAAACTGAAAACGTTATTAGGGTTTAGGGTTTAGAGTTTAGGACAGCATGATTATCACTTTCCACCATGTACACGTTAATCTGTTGTTTCTTAAACACCTAACATGAATTAAGGGAAGCTTTAGAATCAACCAGATGCATACCTATGGGCAATTGCTCAACTTGAGAATACCCATGATGAGTTGTTTATGATGGGCCGGATTTTCTTTTAATAATGTATTCTCATGCTAATGAGCAGAATACTTATTATTGCGACAAAATATTGATGTCTTGGTGCAATTATAGTACTAAATGAAAGGGAATAGTATGATGTTCCCATAATGAACAGAAGACCATGCATAGAAGTAATGGTAGACAAGAGCAGCATTGGTCGCAAAATTATATCAAGTATGCTTGTGAAATATTGCTAAAATCACTAATAATGACTTTCTTGTTTCCTTGTATTTGGGAGCATTGGAGATAAAGTTTTAAAAGCATTCATTTACCCTTAATCTATGAGCCAAGCAGGATTCAAAAGTCAGAATTGAAATATTGGTTAGAGGCAAGACTGCGACTCTGAATTTCAAAGTCTTGGCCATTAATGAGGACCAAAACATAATAACTTACTGACTCCGTTGTATCTGATTAAGATCACTTGAAAAGGTTTGGAAATGAATGCAAATACAGATGCGAACACTGAACAGGGTAATCAGAGCAAGAAAAATTCAACAAGCCCTTAATTGCTCTTTTGCATTCTATGGTTCTCTATGCCTGTTGCCATCTTCATGTGTGTCTCTGGGATGCTGTTTGTCTGTACATTCTTCACTCACCAGTTCATATTTGCTGTTGTTGGCAGCTATTAGCCCTGGAATCTATTTATGTTGACAACATTTTCATCCTGGATGATCAAAGTGGCTTAAAGTGTTTCCAGGTATTAAGCCATTTAAACAGTTAATTTGCTAGAAAGGGACTGCAATGGTGAATTACTGATTATATTACAGGTTCATATTCATGTTGAAGCACCCAAAGGACTTAAAATCACTGCAAAGTTTGACTCCTCCAGTTTCCAGGGGAAAAGAGATGATGATTCGTCCGATTTTTCATACTCTTTTCAAGTTGAATATCTCTCACCAATTATATTAACATGTCTATTACCTAAACTGTACCCAAGCAAATGCCCTCCTTTGTTTACCATATACGTTCCGTGGTTGAGATCTTCTAAAATTTCTGAACTCTGCTACAAGCTAGATTTAATCTCAGCTGAACAGGGTGGGCAGGAAGTTATATATCAATGGGTGGAATGGTTGCACAGTAGCACCCTCTCTTACCTTGGTTTTGAAGATGGGATAGTTCTTGGACCATATGGGGTAAGACATGATGCCGATCGAAGAGCCATTTCAGGCAGTGTTTCCTTGGACATTGATATTCCTTCAATAAAATGCTACAATGACGAGCAGCACCTTGAGAATTTCTCCAGAAACATTAAAAAATGCTGCATATGTTTGAGTGAATTTTCTGGTAAGTCATTAATGTATTCGAGTACACTAGTGTTTAAAGTTGAGAATTAGTATCCGCAGATTAGGAAACCCCAAATCTAGATTCTTGAGGTTAACATAGTCAAGTAAACTGATTATATGGCATTACCTTGGTGGGAAGGTTATATGCTTTCATGCTTATTGCTGAAACTGTTTTGCATTAATTCTTGAATTTGCATCGTGCGTACTTTCTCATGGTCAGTTCTCTATCTCGAAATCGAACATCAAATACTGTGGTGTGAAGCTTTTCTTTAGCATTTGTTGTGACACATTTAACTGGTTTTGATGCTTTCAGGTTCTGAGTTCATCAGGCTGCCATGTCAGCACTTCTTTTGTGAAAAATGCATGAAAACATTTTCCGATATTCATGTCAAGGAAGGGATGATAATAAAACTAAAATGCCCGGAACAGAAATGTGAAGGGATGATTCCCCCTGGTTTGCTTAAAAGATTACTCGGTGATGAAGAGTTTGAACGCTGGGAGTCACTGATGTTGCAAAAGACACTGGAATCAATGAAGGACGTCTTTTACTGCCCCAGATGCGAAACTGCCTGTCTGGAGGATGAAGACAATCATGCGCAATGCTCAAAGTGCTTCTACAGCTTCTGTACACTTTGCAGGGAGCGGCGCCATGTTGGGGTTACATGCGTGACACCAGAAATGAAGCTATTGATTTTACAGGTACTACATGAATACTCCTCGTAAAAGAATGTTTAATAGAAGTGAACTTACAATCCTGTATCTGCATCAGGAGAGGCAAAACTCAACTTTAATGAAAGATGAACAGAGGCGGCGAGAGCAAGATATGATCAATCAGCTTCTGAGCATGAAGGAGATAAACGAAACTACAAAACAATGCCCTTCTTGCAAGATGGCCATATCTCGATCCGGAGGTTGCAATAAGATGGTGTGCGATAATTGCGGGCAATACTTCTGCTACCGCTGTAACAAGGCCATCTCCGGATACGAGCACTTCAGGTTCCCTGCAAATAATCGACCACATTTGTGCATACAAATCATTTCTTTTACTCACTCCATATTTTCTCGACCCCCTGCAGGGACGGGACATGTGAACTATTCCCGGTGCAGGAGATTCGACAGTGGGAAGAAAGGATGAATCCTCAGCAAATTGTTGGTCAAATTGTGGCTGGCCTAAACCCGGAGCGCGCCCAGCTGTGCCCTAATTGTCGACAGCCCAACGCCAAGGTGAGTTCATGACACGGATCCATCCATCGCTCGACATTCTTACAGATTGTTAATGTTTGTTTGATTTGAATTTGACGTTAACTAACTAACAGGTAGGCAACAACAATCATATATTCTGCTGGTCGTGCCAAAACCATTACTGCTACTTGTGTAAGAAGATGGTGAGGCGCAGCTCGCAGCATTACGGCCCCAAGGCTTGCAAGCAACACACCCCCGACTAAATATTGGCTATTGTACGTATTGTATTGTTTATCATGTCATCATTACATCATTGTTCTCAATAAAACTATAAATATATTGCATTCAATCAGAAAAAAAATAAAAAATAAATAAAAGCATGAACAGAGCTATCAAATATTGTATTTTTGTATGTAATATTTTGTTTGAAGAAACAGGGTATTTTTAAAATAATGCTCTCTATATCAATTGAAAGTAGTTTTTACATTAATAAGAAATAATATTAAGAAAGCTACCATTCATTAACATTATTTTAAATATGTAGAATACAATTAGAAGTAAAATATTTATTAAAGTTACAAACATAAAAAGTTTTATTTATGTTTAAATTGTAATTTAAATAATAGTCCCTCAAATATCCATTTTCTTTTGACTGTAAAGAAATGGATGATTTGTTATGCGAGTTAAAATGAAAAAATAGATAATTTGTTATGGCACAGGCGGATAATTTTTTTTAAGAAAATAATAATATTACTTTATAAAAAGCCATCAAAATTACCTCCAATTGCCGTATTCATACACTAAAAAATTTATATAGTAATGGAACCCAATCAAATTAGTAACTCAATTTATATTTAACATAACAAGGCTACTACTAGACTTGTTCAAATGTTTAGAATTTTGATTTATAAAAAAAAAAAAAAAAAATCAAATCGAAAGTGAATTTTCTAAGTCACAGTTTTAGTTTGTAATTATTGATTTCGATTTTTATTTTTATTTTTATTTTTAAAATTCTAACTATTCCGAGTTAAAAATTGTTTATATTAATTTGTTTATTTTAAAATTTTATTCAAAATCATTAAATTTAATTCGAAACGGAACCGGTATTGCTCCGGTTTGAAAGTATTCGGCCGAACTGGCGGTTCGAACCGCATAGGCAAGTGGCCCAACACAACCAAAACTAAACTAAACACATCGCGGCCGTCTTCTTCGATTGAACAATCGTCATCGTTGTCTGATTTGGCGAACAACCTCTTCCGCTTAAAATCGGCTTCAAATTTCAGGTAGTCTTAATTGTGTTGGTTGCTCCAGATCCTGCTTTGTCAATTAGTCGGGTTATTATTATTATTTTTTTTTTTCTCACTTTGCGGTCGAGATGGATTTGTTTGATGGAATTCATGGTTCGGGGTTTGCCAATCTGCAAAGTATCTGGCGTAAAAATTTGCGACTTGTAGGCTTTCGTTAATTGGTTGAATTCATGAGTTCTAGACGGGTGAGAACTGACGCAAATTGCAACGATCTTTTCTACTTTTTGAAATCGATTTCAATGGCCGTCGCCCTATGAGGGTTTTGGTGGTTTGTTCTGTTTGACATTATCCTCTTATGTTTTAATTGACTTCGAGTAACAATTTTTATTAGAAATTGTGATTTGTGAGGATGCTTTGATCCTTATACGAATCATTGTTCTGGCGGATGTAGAGATATTTTGTTCAAATTCTACGTTTATATTCAACAATATAATTGGGAAATATTCTAGTAGTTTTCTTCAGGCGTTTTCTCAAGATAAAATCCATCCTATGCTTGTGAAATTCAAAATTGGAAACCAAACTAAATTCCATTGCAATGTTTGCTTGAGAAGGGGTAAAGAATGCTATCACACTGATAATGCAGAAATCTTTCACATACTTCATTTCCATTCCTAATGATGTGAATTTGATCTTTTGATTTATTTGCTATATTCAACATCCGTAATTCTATATATTCCTCATAGGCAGCTGCTTAATTTAGTAAATGAGATTCCATTTCCTAGTGTAATATGCCAATGTATTCTACGCATATAGCTTGTGCATCGGCATTATATCAACGCTTTAAAAGTTAGTTGAAATGTTAGCTTGTTTACTCATCATGCCACTCCGACTCATATATGAGTCTCTTAGTTACTTCAGGTTGAAAGTTGGAACTATAGGCATAATAATTGGTTTACACTAGTCTATCAGCTTCCATCCAAATATCTAAATGAGTGATTCTTAGGTTTTTATATTGTGTCAGGTAAAATTTCATGGATGCAGATGTGAAGAACATCAAGAAATGGGTTGTCTTTTACCCAATTTACATAAATGCAAAGAAAACTCTTGCTGAAGGTCGAAGAATCAATGCCAGCAAAGCATGTGAAAACCCTACTTGTACCGAGATTTACGATTGCTGTGCTCACCTGAAGCTCCCGTGTGCAATTGAGGTTTCTCTTTTTATTTCTGGTTTTCTCTTTTAGCCTCTTGTCAGTAATGTGATTTTGAAAGTAGTTTTTTGAATTTCCAGCATCTGTTTTGAAGATTAGGAATTTTTTAGTACCCTCATGAAATTAATCTCTATGTAAATTTCCCTACCAAGCCTCACTTCAAAGATAATGCCTCAATTATTGTCACATGTAAATCTTTTATTTATTTATTTTTATTTTTTTTTGTATAATAAATATTAGAGCGAGAAGGCATATCCCCGAGATTTTATGCAAAGAGGGAGAGTGAGGGTTTTGTTGAATAGGGAAGATGGGAGTCTCTACAACCCTGCCATATCTTCAAGTAAGTACTTTGGTTCTTGTTCCAAGAAATTTGTATAATTTATTATTGTCTAGTTGATTGCATGCATTGGGATGTTTTGCATTTTGTTATTTTTGTCTTTTTGTTAATGACGAACTTCTAATTTGAAATGCAGTATATGCATGATAGAACAACAAATCATGTGTGGCATTTTCAGTGAATTTAGTTTACAGTGTGAAAAATAGATCGTGAGAATCTTAGATGTGTTTAGTTTAAAGTGCTATATGTTGAGTTAATCTTACTGTTAATATCTAGTTCTAGAGGGTGTGCCATCATTCATAAATCTAAGCTCTGCATACATATATGGGTAAAGGAAGTAATGATCCAAATTATTGTGCCTAATCTAGGGTGAATGATCCATATCAAGAAGTATGAGGCATAGATAGGTCTGTGTTTGTACAAAGTCTAGAAAATAATAGCAATTGCTTGCCATTATTAGAATTTTATAAATATGCTATTGTAAAGTGTACTACTTTTGGATTCTGTGATTGATGGTTGGCTCTCTTGCATCTTGAGCTGCTAATGAGTTGAACTAAATCGAACTTTTCAAATTGCTTTTTTTTTTTTTTTTTTTTTCCCGCAGCTTCACTTACATCCTATGACTTTGCATAACCAGTGTATTTAACGATTGTCCGGCGCCTGTCTAATTGTCATTGGATGTCATTGCAGGGAAGCAGCTAATGCTTCATGTTGCAGAGTTGGTGCCTCGACACCCTGGACGAACCAAGAAGCAGGAACCCCCCTCCACCTCGACAACTGGTGGCTCCAAATCTGGGAAGGGCGGCAAGAAGAAGCGGTAGTTGAAGGCTTTTCAAACCGATCTACCTCACCGCAACAGCCCAGAATGATCAGCTATCTTGGTTTGCAAGATTGACTTAACTCTGTATTTCAATCTTTCTCCTGCCCTATTCTTGGATAGGTTGGTTACTCGGACAATTCTTTACTTGGGATATAACTACAAACATTCTCTGTTGTGCTGAAGTCCCTGAATTTTGAATCATGAATTTGTGAAAAATGGATAATTTATTATATCTAACTTTGTTATTACAATTGCTGGATGTCTTTGCATCTTCAGTTGGATGATTTTGTTGCCAGGCTACATAACTTCATTTTGAAAAGGGATGGGTTAGGCCAACTGATTTTCCTTAATTAGCACATAAATCGTCAATTTAGATTTGTTAAAATATTAAAATCATAACTTTGGTTTTGGTTTCAATGGTTTGATTTAAAAACTATCGGGGTTTGAACTGTGCCAATTTATATTTATTTATTTATTTTCAAATTTATTCCAAAACTTTTAATTTAGTGTCAATTTTATTTAGATATATATTTATTTTTTTGTGTAAACTTATAAAAAGGATATATAGATTATATTGTTACAAGATAAAAAAATAATAAACACAAATTCAGCAAATAGTTAAATTAAATATTAAATTACAATTAAAAAAAATTAATTAATATAATTTATAATAGCGCTGTATTTTCATATGCACTTTAGTTAATGTTCGAACCGGAGATATTCTGTGCGGAGAAAATAGGACCGTGTGAACCAGTTTTGCTTTCGGTTCGGTGGCGGTTCCGGTTTGAACCTGAACGACCGGTTTGAATTCGCCGTTGGAACCACCGGTTGGGAAGTCTACATACAGAGGTTGAAATATGAATGTTGATAGAACTAAGGGGGTAATGTGTAATTTTTCCGATTAAATATTTCATGATTTCATCCCTGTTGCACAAAATCTCCAACCTTCAGCGCCTCGAACAACGCCCTTTCGCCCAAAATCTGCTTTCAATTTCAGGTAGTTGAATTAATTGTGTTTGTTTGTCCAGATCGACTTTAATGAATGTCCTCGTATGATGTGGTTCCTCTGTTTGATATTGTTCTCTTTGTTTTAATTGACTGTTAGTGACATCGTTTATGTGAAATTGCGCTTGGTGCGGGTGCTTTGATGTTTTTACGAATCATTGTTCTGGCCTTGTGTACAAATTTTATGTTTATCTTCAAAATTTTAATTGGAATATGTTGTTATGATTTCCCTTCAGGTGTTTTCACAGGGGAAAATCGATCCTATGCCTGTGAAATTCGAAATTGAAATTCAAAATTCCATTGCAATGTTTGCTTGAGAAAAAGGGCTAAATAATGCTTTCACACTTATAATCCAGAAATCTTTCACATAGTTCATTCCATGCGTAATGATGTGAAGGCTAAATAATGCTTTCACACTTATAATCCAGAAATCTTTCACATAGTTCATTCCATGCGTAATGATGTGAAGTTGATCTCTTGATTTAGTTGGCTATATTCAACATCCATAATTCTAAGTATGCCTCATAAGCAACTGCTTAATTTACTAAATGAGATTCCATTCCTAGTGTACTTAGAATATGCCAATGTATTCTATGCATATGGCTTGTGCTTCAGCATCAAATCAAAGTTTTAGAATTTAGTTCTAATGTTATTTTATTTACTCATCAACGACACTCTGGTTCATCATATCTATGTCGTTTCAGGTTGAAAGATGGAACCATGGGTATAATAATTGGTTTACACTACTCTAGCAGTTTCCTTCAAAGTGTCTAAAACATTCTTCTTTTCCCTTTTCTGTTCTATAAATTGCTGGCTTTATTCTGTCTGTAACAACAATTACTCAACCAAATTTCCTAGTTTGATGACAAAAGTCTTGGTTTAATATTTCCTTTTCTTTTTGACTTTTTAAAGTTGCATTGTATATTTATGAACTTGACCAAGTTTTGAAAACACTGGCATGTTCTTGTGCTAGTTTGCCAATATGCCTCATGTTTGCTATAATCTTGACTGTGGTTGGTTCTTGGGATTGTTTTGGGGTAATTCCAAGCTTGATTCTCTTCTTGTGTGTTTCATAGTTTGTCTATCCTGAGAATTTTGTCTGCAATTTTATTGTCAGAAGCAAGACTATATAATGGAACTTGCAGACAGGACTGTTGGCCTGCTTCTATCAGTCATCAGCTTGTCCATTTTCACCTATTATACCTTCTGGGTTATCATTTTGGTTAGTTCATCTCATCTGGCGTTCATACATAGTATGTACACAAATTTTGGCCTTGCTAACAATACATGTCTCATTTACCTTCTTCCAGCCTTTTGTCGACAGCGATCACTTTGTTCACAAGTATTTTCTACCTCAAGAATACGCGATTCTCATTCCGGTGTATGCTGGTGTCACGGTGATTTGTTTTCTTTCTGTGTTTATCGGATACATAATGCTCAAATCCAAAAGGAAGAAGGCTTGAAGTCTAGCCCTGGATATGCCTTTGCTGATTTAGAGTTTCATTAGCATACTCTGTACATCACTAGTCAATAGAGCAAGTTATGTTCTTGCTTACATACAGTTTGCACTGATTTTAACATTTGTCAAGAAGATAAAAGTATTTCTTTTGTCATCCCAGTATTTCTTTTGTCATCCCATTATTTCGATCTTTAGATTAACTTCAGATGAACCTTTCCACAGCAAGTTGGATTGAAAATAGATGGAGAAACACAGAGATACTTAGCCCTATGCAGTTTAGATACACAAGATCACAACTGATGAAGCAGTACATAAAATGGTATGTCATATACAATATATGATTCTAAGTATGCAAAACCTGTTATGTATATGCTAATCTAAAAGTGAGCTTCCTTCCTTCACAAGCACAAAGAGCCCACCATCACCTCTTGATATTCGAATATCTTTGTCAAGGTATGTGGTTAGAAGCCAAGATTTTGTTCTTCCGCCAGGAATGGGAATCTTAAGAGGAGATAGGCCGGATAAAGAGCGACCAGCGACCTCCCCAGCACCTTGAAGTGGACTAAGTAATTGTTGTACAGGTGACAAATTTATGTTTAGCCCAAATATATTGAAGCTTGGCGGAAGATCTATGCTCGACTTGATTTCGGGAGGCCTAAATGTTCCTTCTTTAAACTCAACCTGCATAATTTTAGCTTGGATTATCTCTCACAGATCCTTAAAAAACAATGTCAAAACAACAGTTTGATTTCTTTCCTTAGTATTTGAAAATGGTTAATATCGAACATAATATCCTTCCTACCTGTATTCTTGATGGACTCTGAACTTCAAAGGATGCAGAAGCACTAAAGGACAATTGGGAAACAGGGTTCGACAATGTAATGAAGTTCTCTATGGTGAGGCTGCTTGTGTCGATAGATTGGCTAATCTTTTCGACTTTTACCAATGGAAGACTGCCCGTGGCCAGCAAAGGCAATAGCTCAGAGAATGCAGTGTACCTGATGCACAAATCAAGTAAGATCATATATTAACTGCAGCAACTTTAATAAATCTGCATGAGTTATAAAATATAGTGATTCACATGCCAACACATCGATATCTTTTCTCAATAGTATGAAATGTTTCATCTCAATTAGGAAACAAGATTTGTAGTATTAAGAATGGCACTTAGAAAACAGTCATGACAAAGAAAATGATTCAAGAATATGGAACAATAGGGGTAAATTAAGTACCAAAGTAGTTTAGGATTCACATCTTAACAAGTATAATGATAGATTGATCCTTCAATAGGCTATACATCACTCTTCACAAAATGACAAGTGAAATATGCATAAAATTCAAAATTTCTACAAAAACAAGTTAGGGAAAAATAAATCATTAGCATCCACAGGTAGAATAGAATAGAAATATACAGGAATGATAAGAACAAAAGAAGCTCATTTATGTATAGAGTGGTTTCATGTTTACCTATGTTGGATCAGTATTGGGGTTTTTGGTACCACAATGGAGAAGCTCTTGCCGGCACCGATGAATTACAGCACACCTCCAACCTCGCCTGAAACTTTGCCTCCGAAGGCTTAAGCATCGTTGGCAGCGCCAAGCAAATGCCCTTGTTCACACACATTCTATGCCTTGGCTTAATCCTATTGTCTAAGCTAAATGAAAAATACTGTGGGAAGGCTACCAATTCCTTGAGTTCCCTCCCCATTTCCATGACAAAGTAATCAAATTTCGGCTCAAAATTTTCCTCGATGCTGTAACAGAACAGTGAAGGGAATCTCCGGAACATAGCAATGGTGTCCTTATAAGAGAACCCTAGTTTCTGCAAGTATTCAATCCGAGGGATAAACTTGGATTCGACAGAGCAGGACAACAATGAGGTCCATTTACTGACATCATCGATTCCAATTGTGCCCTGAAGGAAATAGAGGGTGGGGCGAAGCTGACGCTCAACACTGCAGACAAGGAGTCTGGGCCGGCGGTGGATGACATAGGGTAGATCCACAGATTTAACATGCACCTCACGGAGGAGGAATGTGGTTGCAGGGATGATTGTTGCAGATGTGGAAGAGGTCAAAAGCTCTGGGCACATTGGGAAAATCCGGCGAAGATCATATACAGTCAAGTTGAGCGAAAAGAGGAACTCCACGGTGGATTTGATTTGGGAAAGGGACGCAGAAATCAACGGTGGATGAGAGTTGAGGCAGTAAAAGGAATCCACACCGAGGGAATCCAGATAGAGCAGAATTTCTTGAGGTTGGGAGTTCACCAACTGCGAAGGGGCGGCCACGGGCTGAATCTTGTGCTCGGAGGATTTCAATGGAGGAAGGGAAATGGTGGGAGACTTGGCAGCAACAGAGGAAGGAGAAGAGAAGTTGTGGTGGCACCTAGGCCTGGAAATTGAAGGGAAATAGGGTTGTTTAATGTGGTCGGAGTTGTTTCAAAATCACATACTATCATACTCCAAAAAAATATCGAATCAAAACAACACTTGATAACCGCTCGAAGAAGAGGAACACATCAAGAAAAATCAGTGAAGAAGGGCATTTTCATCTTTCAATCCTAAGCACAAAAGGGTTTTATGTTATCCAATCTACAATGAAAACTACAACATGAATTCCCTCTCAAGGTCATTGTTCTTGGACTAAATTTCCTAGATCTATCACTTGTACAAATTAGCACAATTGCTACATTTCTACCCTGTTTTACACTTCTAAGACTTACTAGAACAATGGCTGTCTCAGATATTCATTAGAACGGATCACATTCAACAAACACCAAATCATGCTCATAGTGAAAGAAAAATAAATAAATGCACAACTCACACTAGAATCCAGTTCCCGTCAAGCAACTCGGGGGATTCGGTGGGGGCTGGAGTTGGATTTGCAGCCTCTAACTGCGAGACAAGTTCAGAGGTCTCCGCCCGAACTTCCGACGACGCCCGGAACCCGAAATCCGACCCGTAAACAGTATCCACCAATGCCCGTTTCAGTTCCCATAGCTTTTCAATTTCACCCGAACTCCCTCCCCCACCCGCCGGACTTCCATTTCCCAAATCGACCCCCGCCCCTCCCCATTCGTCCTCGTCCTTCGGAGGATCCGCGCCGGAGAACTTCGACACTGGCTCCGGCTCCGGTTCCGTTTTCTCCCCCCACTCGTCCACATACAACGGCCTCTCCGAACCGGATTCCGACGAGGTGTCGGGCTCGGAAGACGGATCGATTTGGTCGTCGGAAGAGTACGAAGAGCGTAAGGAGAAGATCAATTTGCGGCCGGTGAAGAAGGATAACGAGTTGAACTTTTGGAATTTGGGCGAGAAGTTGGAGAATTTGGGGAACCTGAGAGCTGCAGAGGGATTAGGGTTTACCAGCAGGGACGCCATTGTCAGAGCGACGGAGAAGACCAATGAAGGTACTCCGTATCCCTTTGGGAAAATTTCAGATAAATTAGCCACAGCGTTGAGCCTCACAAAATTAATTTATTATTTTTGGAGCAAATAAAGAAATTCAATGGATAGGATAATATCACCGCCACACCGTCACAGCCACTGTACGTCTGTCACCAAATTTCAACTCACAGACAAATCCTGGCCATCCATCAGCAAATTAATTAAAAAACAATTATAATTATAAAGATGGTGTTTGACTGACTGACCGCACAAAATCAAAAACATGTAAGAAAAGTCAATGCCCGAACCAGGCAATAACATCTGGTGCGTTCTTGACTCTCGAGTTTTACTTACACGTCGATGATCATCTATAAACCCTAAATCAAGCAATCACCACAAAATAATTATCCCATATATATATTATGTATATATGTACTCGGATCGGAGAAATCCATCAGAGCAGCGAGGAGGGACTCGAAGTCCCTGCAGCAGGATCGTCGTTAACTCTGATCTTCGCCATTTCCGGCGGGGTATCCGCCGCCGCAGCATTTTCCAGGGCGGCGCCGATTTGCTTGACGGTGCTGGATAAGTGCTGGTTAATGGCTGCCACGCTGGAGATGTTCAGTTTGGCAGTTGGGGAGGTGCTGGCGAGAACTTGGAGCCCCACCGTCAGCAGGCTGCCGGAGTGGGCGGGGTGATCGGCGGCGGGCTTCGGCGACGGGACGACGATGAATCCCAAGGGGAGGAGAGGAATGCAGGAAGGATCCTCACCGTTCATCGCTAGCTGCAACGCATCGACGTTGATGGTGGAGTACACGACCATGCTCCCGGACTCGTCGGAGCTGCTCTCCTGCAGCACCAGCTCCACCGTCTGCGATGAGTTGCTGGAAACCTGTAATGCCAACACGGCCGTGTTGTCAAGGTGAGATGCATTTAGGGTTTCAATGAAATTTAATAAAAAAAGCTTACGTTGATTCGGAGAAGGGAAATGCAGTTTCCGGGATGGGAGCCGTTAGCGATGTGGGCAACTTCTTGCAAGGAATTCCCAGTCGAAAGAACTTCCAGCTGCATAATTAAATCTCAGAATTGGAAGACGATGAGTTAATATATATATATATATATACCTGAACTCTACGCTTTTCATCCCTCAAGAAATCGAAGACACGGGCGTGTTGATAAGGCAGCCAAGTGGTGGAGACAGCGCTGAGAATGAGGCCATTAGGCTGACTAGGATCAATGGCTTTCCTCGTAGTTATTCTGACAGTGTCGTCGTCGTCGCAATGGGACAGTGCCATCCACGACTGCCCCGACGAGGCCGAAATGTTGCCACAAAAAGTCATCATCATCCTCTCCGCCAGATTCATCAGATTCCTTCTTGCTTCCGGAGATGGAATCACTGCAACATCCATACATACATACATACAACAAGATGTAAGAAGATCGAATGTTCATATTATCCAAATCAACGGATTTAATTAATTTCATACCTCCGAGGTCGGAGATGCTACGCGCCATTAGGCTAGCAAGGCTCTCGCATTGGCGCCGGAGAATGGCTAACCAACGGCGAGCTCCGAAGGCGGCGCCGCTCGTCACTAAATGATGGAAGACATGGTGGATCGGACCATCTTCGACCTCGGCATGTTCTATCCATGTCACCTTAAATAGGCACATTATTATTATTACTACATAATCGATCACAATATCCTCCTATATCCTTAACTAGAAATTTCCTAAGTAGTACTAACCCTGGAGTATCCATTAGGCATGTCTTGGATGATGCAGCCGGAGGGTCGCCGGTGGTAATAGGGAAATGAAGGAGGGTAGACGGCGGCGTGGAGGCCGTCGAGGGGGAAATCGACAATTGCCCAGCTACCTTCGTCGGCGTTGTGGCGGCAGTACCGGAGAAAATGAGCCTCTCTTGTTGCCACTAGAGGGGAAAGAAACTGCACTTCTGCAAACATCTGTGACAACAATTGAATCAGAACATCAGTTAGAACATTACATGATTCATTAAGGAAACAGAAGAAGACAATTAATTAATGATATTACCAGAAGAAGGCATCCATCTGCTTGTCCAGAGGCATTTTGATGAACTACTTGAAGTGTTCTGGCTCTTGAAATTATACAAGGGAACAGCTCCATCCATTTATTCTGCAGATTTCGAGAAAGTTAGTATAATCGAATGTTGAGATCTTTACATATATATGTATTTACTTACAGCATCCATGAATGCATCAGCCAAGGTAATGCTGTTCATTATAACCACTGCAGTGTCTCTACTTGCTTCTGTCCTGAGCCCAACTTCAGCCTGGAGCTTGAGGACATTCGAGAACATTCTAGAATACTCGTCGATGTTGAGCATTTCAGCGGGTCTACCTGAGCCGTCGTCGATGGGAATCCAGAGGGGTTCACCTGTGTGTTGCATTTTTATGAGTTCCGCCATGGCAGATGCTGCAAGCTCCAATGCGACTGTCTTCTCCTCCTCCATTATCAGACACTCGTTAGCTCCCGGAAATTGGGAGTTTTCAGGCAGGAAAGGTAGAGGCATCATCTGATCATTCGAATTAGGGCAGCTAGTGACAGGATCTTGATGATCGAGCACTTTTCCTGCTGAATAGGCAGCCATGTCCAAATCCAGGGAAGATTCCAGGAGTGGATTTGGCGGCCTGTCTGCATACGGTGCAACAAGGCAGCACACTCGATCCAGCTGTGAATTAAACATTAATTTGATTGTCGAATGATCTTCATTAAGACGTACGTATGAAGACGATGATGTACTAGATTAATTTAAACAGATGTTGGAAAATTGATGGAAGGATTAGCTTACCTCCTCCTTAAGACGAGCATTTTCAATCCTAAGCTGCTGCTCGTCGTACCCCATCTCGCCTAACATCGCCGGACCGCCGCAGTTAGGGCATGAGATGTTCCTTAACGCCACTTGCAGACGATAATTCTCCTTCTTCATATTCTCATTCTCTGCCCTTAGAACAACGTTGTCTTGCCTGTCTTGTTGAGCCTGCAAACATTAGATGATCAGATAACAATGTTGAATTAATTAAAGGAGTAATTCCCTCCTCCTATTTTTTGCATCGAATTTAATTTAATCCCATTGGCCTAATCTAAAAGTGTAAACCCTAAATTCCCAAATTACTGCATAATCGGCGGAGGAAGGTAGAGGTTGACTGCGTGCATTAATGGCGGTGCAGGCTTAGAAAGCAAACCCTGAGTTAATGTCGTCGTCCTCCTCAACCAAATTTACTGGTATAGGGTTTTGACTTTGACATTTTCTCGTTAATCACAGAAGCTTGCTTATCATACCATCGGCAATCGTGCTGGTTCCAAAAATTTAAAAATAAATAAATAAAACAAAAAATAACTTCCATGAAATGTTAAAACTCGTACCTTGGTTTGGGTTCTCCGGTTCTGGAACCAAAACTTGACCTGACGGGGCTTAAGGCCGAGCTCCTGGCTGAGTCGCTGACGCTGTTTGTCGTCTGGGTGTGGATTTTCCTTAAACATCCTGATTAAAAATTGTCCATATGATCCTTAAAATTAATTCGATTCTTGTTTTGAAATTCTGGGTTTACGTATAATGGAGAATCTTACGCTTCCATTTCTTGAATCTGCCTCGCCGTGTGGCGGTGGTAGCGCTTTTTCTTGTTCGGCGGCGGCTGCTCCTCCGTGTCCTGATCGATCTCCGCCGCCGGCTCACTTCCTGAACCGCCGCTTTCCATTTCCTCTTTCCCCTTGCCTATTGCACTTTCTTCTTTCTGTAATTACAAAGAATTTTGATTAATTTAATCACACTAGTTCTGGTAGATACTATAATTATATGATTAGACTTACTGTCACAGATTGAGAAAAGATGCCGAAAGGATTGATGGAAGACATGAAATTAAAATTAGGGTTATTCTGGACGGGGTTTGGGGAGCTGTAAAGAGAATTATCCGAAGGAATTGCATTCCCTCCCATGGAGGAAAGAACTTGACAATCTCCGTACATTTTTCCACCTTCAGATATCAACGTAGATTTCTTCCCTTTCCCTTATCCAAACCTGGAAAACAAAAAAAAAAAATGATAAAGAAACCCCATGAAAGTTTCGATCACAGTAGACACACAAATCTTGTCCAAAAGCTCAGATCGATGACAAACCCAAAAAACAAGAAATGTTTGGCTGATTCGGACATTAAAGTGGCGAAAAACTCTTCACCTCAATTTTCTCAGCGAAGGTTAACTGATTCTGATTTCTGCCGATTTCCAAACTCATTTATGAGGACGACATGGGAAGAATCAAATTGAAGGGTAGATAGATAGATAGATAGATAGAGAAGAATAGGAAAGGTCAGGACAGATTGAAATTAGCAAAGGATAGTTAATACATTACTACCCCTCCTACTACCTTTGTCGGGTTGTGCTTATCTTCCTCCTCCTCCTCCTTCTTCTTCTTCTTCTTCTTCTTCCTTCGTTATTTGAAGTGCTGTCTCTATCTGTATCTCTGTATCTCACCACAGATGCAGTTCTTGCTTCTTCTTCTTCTCTCTCTCACTCTAAATCTCTCTCTCGCTCTATATATCTCTTACTTCTCCTTATTTTTCTTTCTCCGCTCTGCAATAATTACTGTGATCGAATTCACCGAGCGGGAGGTTGATGGGGGTGGGGGTGGTGTAGTAAATGCGAGCTTTAACTACATACGTTAAAGAAAAGGCTGGAACTGATCCAACGGTTGTGATTTGTGTAGGGAACACGTGGCGAAAATCTGACGGTCCGGACTGAATACGCGTTTCTTTGAAGAAATAGACACTGTGAAAGTCAAATGCCTTGTTTGCTCTTTCATCATGTTTATTGTTCTTATGCATTCCCAACGTTATTTTATTTTATTTTTAAATTTATAAAATTGGGTTGTTTTAATTTTATTTTTATTTTAGTGAAATTATAATAATTTTTTATTGTATGAAATATTGCTGTTTAAAATGTATAATATTATTAATCAGACAATATATATATTGGTAATATTCAATTAATTAAATTAAAGTATTATGAAATCAATAATATCATCATAATATAATTAGTCAAAATGTAATTCGCATATGTAATATTGTAATTTCTGATAAAGAAAATACTATTATATCTTAATAAATATTATATACTCACTCTAATTTATTTTGGTTAAGAGTACTATTATAATAACAAAATCAAATGTCAAAATAATTAATTTTGTGTTTGATTCTCCTTTCAAATTGAAGATTGATTTAAACTTTACTTACAAATAATATTTTATAAAATAAAATAATATTTTCTCCAATAGCCCTAAGGTTATAATTTTTATTTTGCCTCTTTATATTTTAGATTAAATAATTTTATATTAGTATAACTTTTTTTTTATATAAACCTATTACAATACATTAATAGAATTATTTTTGTTATTTCACGTTTATTTGTATTACGTTTTGATATAAGAACGAATATTTAAAATCAACGTGCAAAAAATAAATATAGCACTTAGAGCCGAACTGAAAAAATATATTATTTTATTAAAAGTCGTATAGAATGTGTTGAAATGTGTTTTAAATAAATAAATAAATAAAAGATTGTATTTATTTTATATTTTTTATATTAAGTATAAATTTAATATATAAATTTTAAAATTTTTGAATAAATTTGAGAGACTGGAATAAGTAATATTTTATATTAAAATTTTATTTTTTATAAATAAAAAAAAAATTCTATTGTATTAATATATGTATATATATATATATATTTTACAATTTATGAAAAAAGTTTAACATAAAAAGTTACTGAAATGAGAACAAAAAAATAAAAAAAAAAATCTATATTAATTACGCAATTAATGGTCACTGACCTTTAGTAAGACTTCCTTTTGACCATTTCACTACAATAGATATAATAAGCATGCGCTATATACATAAGAATTGTAACGTGTGTTTGTTTGGTTTTTTTGGATGTGGACGATTTTTGCCCAACTAATTTTAATATATATTTTTATAAAAAAATTTATCATTTCAACATTAAATATATACGAGACATTCTTATATTTCATGTAAAAATTTACTTCAAATTAAAGTATCAAACAAACACACCTTTTGAGTTTCTTTTCATTTATTAATTAGTATAGAACTAGCCCCCCGCCCCCACCCCCACCATTAAAAAAATATATATTTATTTTTCGTATTTGTTTTCCATTAAAATGCGTGTTTTCTTTTTTATATAAAAATAATAAAATATATTAGTATTTTTTATTCCTTGAAAAGTATTTACATTTTTATCTCCGTTCCATAACAAAGTATTCATTTTTTTATTTTAATTCGTCTCATAACAAAGTATGTATTTCTTTTTTTATAATTGTACTATCTACCTAACATTACAAATACCTTACAACTTACAATATATTACACAAATGTCATTATCTTTATATCACACATATTAAGGTTATTTTAGTCATTTCTATTTTATTCCTACTATATCCCAATATAATACTAATATTTCTAAAACTACGTGCAAAAAACAAATGAATATTTAGTTCCGGGACGGAGAAAGTAATAATTATTTTGAAAAAATATTATTTTTTTACAATCATATTATTACATTTACAAATAAGAACAAAAAATAAAATTATCGATGTACTTTTAATTATCAACTATACGCCCGTTTGGATTGATTTTAGAAAATAAGCATAAATCAAAATTAAAATCAAAATCAAAATCAGTTCGATTTTGTATTTTAATGAATCATTATAGAAGCTGTTTTTTATATAAAAAAATTATTTATATGTAATAGTATTGAAAGTATTTCTTAAACCATTCAAATTACTCAAAATGAGACATCTCTGAAATTATCTTAAGCATTTTACATCGAAAAAAACGAATAAAAAATACTCCATCCGTCCACTTATAATGTTTACATATTTCTATTTTGGGACGTCTAATTACAAAGTTAATATTTCATTAAATACCTTACTTTTTTTTTCCACAAATAAGTTTACTTTACATCACATCATTACTTTTACACAAAAAATAAGGGCAAAAATGTCATTACACTATTTTTAACTAGTCACTGTAATTAAAATACTATTATTTCTTAAACACCGCGCTAAAAATAAATGTAAACCTTGTAAATGGACGGACGGAATATATTCTAAAATTAACTGTTAGCAAAGCCAATATGATGATAATAATAATAATAATAATAATAATAAATAATACTTTTGGAATAATTTTAATACTCCCTCCATCAATTAATTATGTGTTCAAATTTTTTGGTACAAGTTTTAATCAAAAGTGAATACTAACTATTATTTTTTTACCTTTTATAATAAAATATAATATATTATTAAAAACAAAAAACAAAAATATTTGTTTATAACAACCTTAAAAAAAATGAATCTAAATTTGAATAGAAGAAGAAAATAGTAATTTATATATATATATATATATTTATCGAAAATACTAATTTATGTTTTTGCCAATATAATAGTACTACTATAAGTTTATGAGAAGTTTGTTTGTTTTGAAAAAAAATTCTAACACATTTTTCTTATATTTTTTAATAAAAAATTTCTTCAAATCTAAACACAAAATAAACGTATTCTAACTAGTTAATAAAATTAACTATAAAATAATTATTTATAGGTGAGTTTAATATTTATTTGGTTTGTATTTGAATTTAAATTATCAAATACATATGTATGTATGTGGTTGTAAGATTTGTTAGAAAATAATTCTAAAATTTTTTCTAAGAAACCTTTCAATTAAATATTTATTTTTATTTATTATATTATATTAAAATTTAATTAAATATCCTATTAATACCAATGTATATAGTATCAAAACACAAAACACAAAACTCAAACCCTAATAAAGAACACAATCTTAATGGTTTGTTTAGTTTTGATTTAAATTTTTAATTGAACTTTTTTATTTAAATAACATTTTTACTGTGATATTATGCAAGAGAAAATAATACTTAATTCTTTTTGGCAAAAATAATTTATTTTGATTCGGTACGAATTTTTTTTTTCAAAAAATATTTAATTGAAAAGAAAAACAAAAAAATTAATTGGGACAATTTTAAAAATTAGTTAGTAATTAATAAAATTGAAAAGAGAATATAATATAAAAATGATATTTGTTGTAAATTTTGGGTGTTTTTTTTTTGTGTTGAGTTTGAGAAATTTTAATTTTAATTTAATATTAAAATAATATTTGATGGGATATTTTATAAATATATTTTTTATTTTTTATTTATTTTTTTTAAGAAAACGCAAAGAAATTTGGAAAAATTGAAATTAAGAAAATAAGTTGACTTCAGCCCGCCCGCCAGGTGAAGGTCTTGTGCTAGATGCTTACTTTTTCATATTTATGACCGGTTCACTAAACCTGGGTCAATTTGACCCGAACCATATCAACGGGCCCAGATTTATTTATTTATTTTTCTTATGGGCCCTGATTACTTTGAGTCCCTCTTATTTATTTATTTTATATATTTAATTAAATTGTTTTTACATGATAAAGGGATTTCTCATTTTTACTATTTTAATCTCTTTATTTTAATTATATATTTATCTTACTTTATTTTATTAAGAATTTAATTTATACATGTTTTTTTATGTACAAAATTAACTTTATATTTGAAATAGTTTTTATCACATATTCATATTTTATATTATATTGATTAATTATTCTATTTGTATGCTTGTTCTGTATTTCTTCTAATTATTTTAATATTCAACTCTTAGAATTTATAAAAATATTATTTTATCTTATAAAATATATATACTGTTTATATTAAATTTTAAATTCAAAATCTAAAATAAAACACAAAAAATTCATTAATTGGGTTCAAATCAATAACTGGGCTCAAATAAATAAGTGGCCCATTATAAAATTACGTAGCCCAATTAACGATTTCAGCCGAGCACCTCATCCGAAACGACGTCGTCAAATGATAGTGTTGCAACAGGGGAAGAAGTTTGAAGGAATTGATCCTACGAATTATCAAAGTTCTCTGCCCGTGAGGGAGGAAAATCAAACCACATCTGTGAATCGATCGGGTGGGTTTTTGGGTTGACTGCAACCATTAACCATGGCTATGCAAACTGGTATGGGGTTATCGAGGATTATTCTCATATTCGGAGCAGGTATAAGTTTTGCTGGATTTGATTTTTATGTTTCTTTTCAGTGTTTTGTGTTTGATTTGATCCTAATCGAAGTTTTTTGTGTATTTTCTATTTCGCCTTTTTTAATTTGATGTGGACTAGGTTATACTGGGACTATATTGATGAAGAATGGAAAATTGTCGGACGTATTGGGGGAACTACAGGTTCTGAATTTTCTGTGTTTTTTATTTTTCCATATATTGACGAGTCCTTTTATGTTCTGAGTTGAGTTTTGATATGATTTCCTTGATGATGATCGGATATATGATGACGTTAATTTTTATTTGTGGTATTTTACTCTCCATCATTAAGTTATGGGAAATAAAACTGTTGTCTTCTTGTTTACTGTATGCTTTTTGGGAATATTAAGGACTAGTGATAGCATCCTTCTTTAGTGAGTATTTACTTCTACTAGAACACAGTTGGATATGTGCTTTTTGTTATTTGATCTTGTGTGACAAGTAATGTTTATGTTAATATTTTTGAATTACTTTGTTCAACAACAAATTTTTAATAGGATATATGTATCAAATTTTCAAATTTTTGAATTTGGGATAGTATCAATTTCCAGAATTTGGTTAAAGGCATGGAGAAATCTGGGGAGGGGGATGGAGATTCTGACTATTCAGATGCCATTGCTGCACAGGTATCAGAATCTCAACATATATACTATGCTTTTCTCTTTCTTGACTCTCCCATATTCAATTATATACTGATTAGAAGAGAAAGAATGATAAATGTTACTTCTATACTGCAGTGAATGTATAGATCTATGTTTTATGATATTAGAAACATAGTTGTCAATCATGGATAGCGGTGCGTAGCTGCCAATATCTAAAATGCTATAGCAAGATAGCGGAATGACCGCTATTTAAATATTTAAGAATATATATATATAATTATTATATATACAAAATTATAACAAAAATACATAAAAAAACCTTTAAATTAATTTCATAATTATCACCCATACCAATAAAATGTCAATATATATATATATATGATCATAACTATTAGATAGTTATATAAGCAAAAAAAAAATTAGATCACTATTGTGTAATAGAGATATATCAAAGCTAATCAGATTCAAAATCTGATAAAAAATTTTATTCCTCATTTTCACTTCACTATTTAATTACTTTTGTCTATATATATTTTTTCCTCTTCTTCATTATCATCAATTTATTCAATTATATGTCCGTCACCTTGTATAATATCATTTCCCTAAATACCTATAGTTTTCTTTCTTGTTGATGTATTGATGTTTGTATCTTAGTGTAGATAGCAGACCTATTAGCATCAACAACTCCCCTAATCAAATTATCATTGTCAAAGACTAAATTATCCTTCGCAATTATCAACTTCTTTAATTAACCACTCATTGGAATCATTCAAAACAATAGGACCAATGACATCATTGCTACCATAATGATCTAACAAATTTTGGTTATACTTGATATAAATCAAAATTTGCAATTTTTGGCTTTCTAACTTGTTTCTTTTTTTCGGAATGAATTTAAAAATTTCGTTAAGATTTAAGATAAATATTTTTTGTCTATATTATAATAAAAAAATACATTTTATAAGTTAAAGTTAGATTTCAATTATTTATCTGTTAAAAAATAATCAAATAAGCTGCAATAGCGGTATAGTGTAACATAGCGGAGTGCTGCTATAGGCTGCTACACCGCTATTTCGTAAACGCGGAATTGCGGAACGGCCGTAGCAGCAGAGTGCCTTTCTGCTACGCTACGCCGTTATAGCGCGCTATTGACAACTATGATTAGAAAAGTTCTATAGTTCTCCTACCTATCTAGCTTATCAGTTCTAAAATTGCACTGAATAGACTGTCTTGCACATAGTAAGTAAATCTTCAACTGAACTGAATCACTGGAAGCATAGTAAGTAAATCTTGCACATAGTTCTAATATTGCACTGAATAGACATGGGTTTTTTTTCATGGTAATGTGGAACCATGAGCTGCTTTTGTTTTCTTTGGTGGTTAATATTAAGGTGGAATGGGTAATTATTTTTTAGGTCTTTATAACATCTGGGCTGGAGTACCTACTTGAAGATGTGTTTAAAGAAAAAGTGAGACGGTTATGTGAAATCTATTAGAAACATGTAATTGTTTTGGTCGTTGTTTAATGTGAAAGTAAATTATAAGTGTTAATTTAATAAGGCTTTAGTAGATCTCTGTCTGCTGGAAAATGAGTCGTAATTGGCTGAGAGTTGGCAGGGTGAATGTGCATTTTGTGGTGTAGAATTGTCGAGTATGTGCATTTCATGTAGGAATTAAATGGGTTGGTGAGAAAGTCAACATTCTGTATCATACGGGCCATATTATAGCAGAAAACCTGGAATTGGAAACAAAGTACATTGAGGTATTGAGTCAAACTTTTCAAGGAACTAACAGTAGGACTAATTAGAAAAGAGTTTTATACTTTTTTAATATTGCCATTAACAGTGAGCATGCCATTTTAAATGCAGTTACTGTATATATGCAATTATGCATTATCTTTACTTCCTAACTGTAATATGTCTCAACATAAACAAAAAATAAGTATAATTGAAATGAGTGACATATGTGTAAGTATACAGTAAATGAGACACAATAAGTGATGAATACTTACAAGTGGTTGTACTCATAGATAAGTAGACTGGAAACAATTTTAAATTGCTCAAGTTCATTGTGTTTAAAAAGAGTTTCCTTGTTTTATATTTAAAATGGGAGGAAGAGTCTTAAAGGATTGTAAGTTTAGTATTGATGAGAGTTCTTGCATTTTACAGGAAAGTATGTGAATCAATAGCGACATTAGATTTAGATGCGCAAATAATCTAATATAGTGGATCAAAAATTCAGTTGATGATAACAAGTAGATAATGTCATAGTATATACTATATACTACCAATAGTTTTCTTACACGTTTTATAATTGATTTCTTTGTAAATATAAGCTGTTTGGTCCATTTCCATGCAGGTACGCCGCTTAGCCATGGAGGTTCGTCAGCTTGCCTCATCTAGGCAGGTCACAGTTCTCAATGGCGGCTCTGGTCAAAGTTAGTGTTTCATGTAAATGTCTTGAGTGCTGGGGATTTAATACACTGTAATTTTTCTCATCCTCTTTTGGTGTAACAGGTAACTTAACAGGTTTAATTATGCCAGCTGCTGCATTAGGAGCTGTGGGCTATGGATACATGTGGTGGAAAGTAGGTGGACTGCATATTTATGCATTAATTTTGTTTTATTGAATTCTGTAACTGAACTCATTCGATGATGTTTTGGCTTCAGTTTAACTCATTATTTTCATGTTTCAGGGTTTTTCGTTCTCAGACCTAATGTATGTAACAAAACGCAGCATGGCAAACGCTGTTGAAAACTTGACAAAACATTTGGAGCATGTCTCAGATGCTCTTGCAGTAAGTTGCTCTTTTAATATGGTCTATCAATTTTGCGATATCTTCTACATATTATTTCCAAAAGGTGATAGTAATCTGCTATGCTTTTTATGCCATGGCATACTGATGACAAATTTCTTTGAGGGTGTTTTGGCCTTGCTTACAATTGCTTTGTCGACAGTGTTTCTTTGTGATTTGAGATGAGAGTAATAATTTTTTTGGTGCCCTTTTGGTTTCATATTTTCTTTGTTTCTACTGCTTTATTAACATCATAAGCCAAGTTATGCTGTACCTTTTGTGATTGAACTTTTATATGCTGTTTCCAGGAAAATTTATTTTCTTGATGCATCTTGATTGAGACAAAATCATATGAAACTTGTATATGATTTGATGTTCTGTTAATAATTTTCTTAACAGGCAACAAAAAGGCATTTGACTCAGAGAATAGAGAACTTGGATGGGAAACTCGATGACCAAGTGGAGATTTCCAAACTCATCAGGAATGAGGTACATCTAGGGTCAAACTGAAAGCATTACCAATGAATTGTTAAGAATGATCATATGAGCATGTGAAACAGGTCAATGATGTGCGTGGTGATCTCTCTCAAATTGGATTCGATCTGGATGACCTGCATAGGATGGTTTCTGGTTTGGTGTGTACTTTTCTTTAGTGCCTTTATATATACATATATATTTAATATAAGACATATGTTGATTGCACTGGATATATGTTTTACTCTCTGAATTTCGGCAGAAAATTCTGAAGATCACAGGCATAATCCTAAGTAATAATAAAATAAGGTGTAATTAAGTGTTGATGCTTTCTGCATGGTATCAAGCAGGATTTCTTTCTAGTAACTTACAGGTTGCATGCATCTTGATGAGTGATGACAAAAATTAGTTGTTAAGGGGGACACGGGGAGAAGGTTGTGTGGTTTTGAATTGATTGTAGTTGGTTCTGGTTTTCTATGTATATCTATTCTAGACTCTAGAGTAAGCATGTTATACATCTGTATGGAGTAGCTGCTAACAAATCTTAAAGGTATTTTCATTGGTTATGAACTAACACCCCAATCCGAACACTTTCTATGGTAATTGAGAGTTGAGATTGCTTTCCTATATTTTTCTGAAACAGTATTTAAGGTTTATACTGTGCTGTTTGCCTGTTTGAATGACACACTCATCTCTTCTATTATTGACATTTGACAAACGTATGATAAAATTGCTTGTGTGTACTACCTTGCGGTGTCGGAATTTCTTTTTCAACAAGTAACTCACATATGCCTGCTGTCTCTTCTTTCTTGCCATCTTCTGTAAAACTGAGATATGTCTTAGTTTTGATATATTTATATTTCAGATTACTTGTGCATTTTTATTTCTATGTTTATTGTTGTCTTTCACTCCTATGCAGCCTCTCATTTTCATATCTATGTTTATGGTTGTCTTTCTCATTGCTTGCTATCTCTCCATATTCGTACTGTCTTTTCTTCACTGCTTATTCTGTGGATTATATTGCAGGATGGTCAGCTACTTTCACTGGAAGGCAAACAGGTGGGATAGCTATTACATTTAAAATATAGCTGAATCTATAGCTTTTTAAACTTCATATAACATTTATTTTGTTTCTTGGGATTAACAATCTCATAGAATGAACCCAACCTATCCACAATATTAAATCTCTGCAAGTGTGTATATAGGTATTAATTTCTTGTCCTGTTTGTTACTGCAGAAGCTTGCAAATGCTGGTGTATTGTACCTATGTAGCGTTGTTAGTGGAAGAAAGGTGAAAATGCCCGACATGCTTCAGGTTTGTTATCCTTTCTGGTTCTTCAGTTCTGTCACACAAGTGATTTTGTTGAATGGCTATGGATTATTCTGGATTAGATGAGCTTTATACTTGGGTTTGTTATTTTGGTCGGAATATTTTACTATCCGAATTCTGAGGGGAATAGGATCTTGGGAATTAGTTTAACATGTGAGAGTATCAAGTGTATGGGTGTTCTACTAAGTAATGATGAGTAGTGCCAAAATTGATTTTATTTATTTTTATTTTTTTGCTGAAATTGTACCCTATTGTTCAATTGCTCTTTTGCAGGATCAGCTGAAAGTTCCTGGAAACTCAGTTCCAAGTCTGATGGTACTTCATTATTTTTTTCTATGCTATTTTTTATCCTGATTCTATTTCAGAGAAATGGGAAATGATTTGAAAGTATCTAATGATATTCACGTGGGCATGTATATTAGTCAAAAATGATTTTATAGTTGTGTATCGAGTCCAGTTCATATTCATTGTCTAATCATATGGTCATCTCAGCACCCAAATCTGTCATTGCTTAGTTCTAACTTGCTACCTGGTGATGATCTGTGTCCAGGGTCTTAAGGAGATTGCTGATTCTCTTTCCACCGGAGACAGTTTATTGACGGAAGGAAATGTTGAAAATGGTTCTGATAAGTTCAATATAACCTTGAGAAGGTAAATCTCGGTGTTCCTTGCTAATTGTCAAAATTCGTTTGATAGTGTTAAGACAATAATTGATGGCACAGTAACTGCTTGAATGCATTTGCAATTATACTCTTCTCTCCCCCCTTTTTTACCCGAACATACGAACATGCTTTTGCCTGTCTTTCAGGGCTGATTCAAGCAAGTGTTGAATGCCACCGTACTTGTACGCCTGAAATTATTGTAAGAACACCTGTTCAACTTTACAGAATCACGGCGCGCAGCTCCATTGTTGCTCTTGAAATGTTCCGTGTTCGACATTGTTACAGTTTCCATGGTACCCTTGATATGTAGATATAAATCAAATTGTTTGGAACCCTTTGTTTAGTTCACAAGGTTGATTTGTTATGAATAGTCTCAATTCTCATAATTTAAGTTGGTGATTTCTGGGTGACCAATGTCTATTTTATCTATCCATCAAGTTGCATAGTTTATGTATATATATGTCATTCAATTGAATTAGATTTTTTAAATCAAAATCTTGGGATTTGATTTTTTCTTTTTTAATTGTAAAAAAACATAGTGAGATGGCAAAATGATTTAATAACACTTCCATTTTATGGTATGCAAACTCTTTAGGTTAAGTATTTGATCATCTTTTTTATTTCTACTTTCACACTGTGCACTTAAAAAGGAAAATTTATATAAATATTATTATGTTACATTGAATATATATATATTTACAAATATTCTTAACAACACACGCATTAGGTGCTTCGATTTAATTGACGTTGAAAGAATTTGACATAGTCTAAGTCAACGCAATGATTTGGACTCGTTCCAAGCCCACAACAGATTCTCTCCAAAAGCAGTCATGTAAACAAATTAATTTTTAGGATTGTTACAATTTTTATTTATTTATTTATTTTTGGTTACAAATTTAATTTTACAATTAGGAAACTTAGGATTATTTGTATAAAATGATAAGTTTCAATTTGAGTTCTATCCTACTCAATCCATCACTATCCTAAGCAAAATTATAAATTATTTAAACATAACCCACAACATATGCGATCATTATGAGTTTGTTAATTGATCATAAAATTTTATTTTAGAAGATTTTTTTGTTTAGACTTCTTTCTTTAAACAACTCTTTATTTGGGTGTTTTTGTTTGGAATTTTGAATTTGAATGTTTGTATAATATAATTGTTGAATATAAAATAATTTTTAAATATAATATAAAAAATAATAAACAATTTAATTTAATTTACTAGAAATAATCAATCCATATTATGACTATAATTATCTTCTCATTTAAAAAATAAATAATCAAATCTAAACACAAACTTTGATCCCACACTAAAAGAGTAAAGTAGTATATTCCATTTACTTTGGAACTTGCAAACAATGTGTAGACTCTAACCATTTCACATTCAAAACTAAAATAATGTCTTTGGTCAAAATGTGTTCACAGTTCACACACACACAACCCTATATTTAATTACATATGCATAATATAAAATTAAATTAAATTATCCTACTGTTGTTTTGCTTAATATTGAAATTAATATTTCGTTATCAATGTATTTTATATTTATTTTTATCTAAAAATATAAAAATTAAAAATTAGTGTACATTCAATTGCACTTAAATTCCAAAATAGCGGAAGAAATCATCATCATCATGTTCTCTAAAGTTGTGTACTTTAATTTACTATTTATTTATTTATTTATTTATTTTCACACCTACAATAGAAAACACATTTATTAAATAATCAGAATTACTACAATTAAGTAAAAAAAGTACTGAATGGACCAATAATTGCTTCTTGAAATATTTAATTTTAAAAGAACAAAAAAGAATTAATTCATTTCACTATTTAATTTCCACTAATTCATATTGGCCTATCTATCTGATCCAATTCTCCTTCCAAAATTTATTTATTTAATAAGTATTGGTCGAAAAAGGACAAACCATACCTGCTTTTGAGTCATGGATTATTCCCCTAATCCATCACTAATAAATAATATCTACAAATTTAGAGACATTTAATCACTTGATTAAATATTTGTCACAAATATTAATGGTCCCCAATTTAATGTATGATTTATTGAAACACCCCCTAATTTTTATTTTTTTTATTTTTTTAAGTTGTTAAAAACAGGCAAGACTTAGTCAACATATATAGAGATTTGATTTACGCAAATAATGGAAAGTTTAATCATTGAATTGAAGTGAACATTGATTTTAGTGAAAATAAATTATTATTATTATTATTATTATTATTATTAGAATAAATAGCCGCATATTGACCATTTCTAAGACTAATTCCGGAAAACAAACGTGCAATAATAATAATAATAATAATAATAATAATAATAATAAATTTAATTAATATATGCGCGTCACTGAAATTAAAACGAAAAGCGCGTTTGTTGAAAAGTATTTTAAGACTGACGATTCTTCACCAAACTCCATCGGCTCGGCTCGGCGGAAGCTTCCAGTAGCTGTTATTAATTAATTTACTGTCCGGAAAAAAATAAAAAATAATAAAAAAAATACACCTGTCTTAAACCTTCAAAATTAAATTCCATTCGTTGAAAGTGGATTTAAAAAAATGGAATAAAATTAATTAATGGATTTCAGAAGACTATGTGGGTCATAAACTAATAATAATAACAAAAATTGTTTAATTATTTAAATGTATTTTTAAATTTTGAAATAAAAAATGGTGCCATGTCTGATTAAGACATGTCCAACACTAATAGTAGAACATAATATATATATATATTAATATTAATATTAATATATGTATGTATGAACCTTTTTCGTTTTTTACGTTACGTAAATGAATATGGTGGATTATTATTGGACACGGCTAGCTGCCTGCAATTGCAAAAGATTCTCTTCAAACATGTATACACGTGTCTTTCTGGATTTTTATTTTATTTTATTTGATCTTATGTCGACAGGAGAGAAGATCAAATATAAAAAAAGGTAATTAGATTCCGTCAAAAATTTATCTTGAACGGCGATTGCGGATTCTCATGTTATAAAATATATATATATCTAAAAAGAGTATACTTTTAAAATATTATTGAAATTAATATTTAAATAAAAAAAATCAAGATTCTACCCAAAATCAATCAAACTGATACCATATATATATTTGAAAATTTAAAAGATATTAAAAATAATAGAAATTAAGGTGTTATTTATTAAATATTTTAAAATTTTGATACTATTTAATTTATTTATTTTTTTTAATAAATTAATTGAATAGTATAGTAGTGGGTGCGACTGGAGGATCAGTACTTTAGGGGATAAGGGTAGCTGTCACTCCACACTCTTCATTAATTAATTGCAATTATTTATTATTATTATTTTTATTATTATTATTGGGGTTAATTGCCATAAGTACTTAATCTCATGCACTACGAACCACGTTGTGGAATCTTACATTATTGGGATAAAATGTAATATAATATAAATACATGTATATATTAAGAACACAATACAGGGATCTCTTTTTTAGGTTACCAATATAATATATATTATGTTCTTTAATAAAAAAGTTAGTATTCAATGTAAAATATTAAATTTTCATATTTCACATTATTATTATTTTTTTTTATAAATAGTAGTACTAAATAAACAATTCAAAACAAAATTAGAAGAAATAAAAATTAAAGGATACATGTGTTTGGTTTGGTTTGGTTTTGATTTAATATTTAGTTTAAATATTATTTTAATATGATATTTTATAAAATAAAATAAAATATATTTTTAAAATGTAAAATTTTAAATTTGAAAACCAAAGCAATATTTGTGTATGCTTTGATATTTATTATTCCCAATGCAATTTTAGATATATTTATTATAATCTTTTTTGCAATTTTATTATATGTAGCAAAGAAGAGCATAACCCATATAAAATAATAAGCCTTTAAATCCACTTTTTATAATATTAATCTAAAATAAGATATCCGCATAATGATTTATTCATTATTATTTAGTCGTATATATTCAAACAAGTATTTTTGTCAAAATACTCAATATATTTTTTTTCAAAAAATTAAATATACTACACACTTATTATTTTTATATTATTTAGACAGTTCTCTTTATCTTAAATAAAATAAATTTTCTTCAATAAGTATATATTTTGTTATTTCTTTTATTGTTCAAATACTCCATCCGTTCAACGGTGTTCCATTTACTGTAGAAACGAGAATTATAAAGAATATAATTAGTAAATAATAAGAATGTCTCGGTGAAAACAATTACGTATAATAAAAATATTAAGATTAAGATAATCTAATTAAAATTTAAAAAATTATAAATTTAAAAGTTTAAAATAAGATTAAAATGTATACTTTTTTTCAAAAATGGAAAGTGGCCGATTAAATGAGACAGACGGAAATAGAAAAATGGACACGATAAAACAAGACGAAGAAAGTATAAAATATCTATTTTATTTTTTTCAGTATATATAGACTCCGTACTAAAATCACGACTAAAATACAATATTTATTAAATTTAGTACAAAACATAAATATATTTATAAGTGTATGGATGAAGTAGTATTTTCCATACATTATACATTACATAACCATAATAGTACCTAGAGAGGAAAAAAAAAAAAAAAAATGCAAATAAATAAAACCAACCAATCATGTCTCACATCTACACACTTACATAAACACTTCATTACAATCTACAAAAAAATGTCCCAATAGAAAACTTAGGCATTACCGTTTATATCTTCCAATCCACAATCTCCAAATGTCTTACCTCTATTTTTAGAAATTTAGTAATCCAATATTAAAAGTCAATCACACATGGATCATTAATGTTTCCACACACACTAATCATTGGAAGAGGAGAAGATGCACCAGGGATCTTATTACAACATCATTTTCAATAATATTCTCCATGTGAATTTTTTTAATTGACTATGTTTTATTTATTTATTTATTTGTTTCTGGTTATGGTACTATAAATCCAATACGAATTTTCAACTATATATAGAAAGTCAAAGGGCCCCTCTAAAAATTTGTACGGGTATGTGCAAGAACAAAAACTTAAATTTAAAATACGTAGATAAATACGGTATAATTATACGCCTAACTCACGAAAAATACAAACAGGGAGATGAAAGAATCAGACATAGAATCATTCAGAAATAATTTGATAGCAATTAGTCAACTGATAGGACAAAAATAACACATACAGGTGGCGCGAAGCTGCCCAAGCCGGGAGCCGACAGCCAATGAAATTAGTTGCCTTGTTGACCGCGCCTTCCCCGTTTGAGCCGAGCCGCCGCCGAAGTCACCAAACTCGACCGCCTTTATCCTTTGCTTCAGGCCCAATCATCGCCCGCCACGTAAGGTTGGTGTCGGGACAAAACTTACGGTTGTTCGATGATTAGCTCTGAAGTCAAAATGATTCTCTAATATTCTCCCCAAATTAGTGTATTCCAAATAGTTTTGCAATAGTAATAAATTTAATTATTAAAAAAAATATTTGTGATTTAATTAGTACAATACATTATTTATGAAGTAAACAAATGTTGAAATAGGACATATTAATAATTTTCTAGTGCACTTTTCAAAGGAATGACATTTTTTTTTTGGCAAACAATAACTACTTCTTTTAAGTCTGAACTAATAAAACTGGACACATGGATTTTGATCTGACAGCTAAAATTGATTGAAGTTGTAAAGTAGAAAAAGAAGGCTTTAAAATTAATTGCAATTTTATAAAAAATAAACTTATGTACTATATTTTTTAATATAAAACTATCTATAAACAGTACAAACTAACGCATCTTAATTAATTTAATTCCCAAATAATAAAACTTCAGTGTAAGTTTAAGTCACAATAATTTATTTAGCATTTATTGGGAGTGCGATAATTGGAAAAAAATAAAATAAAATAATAATTTAGGGATATCACGGGATTGGCTTTAAGACGGAGTGGGGCCCAGCAAGCTATGGCGGGAACGGTGCAACCGCCAGCTATTTCTGTCCTGGCAGGATCTCTCCGCGATTGGTCCACGTGTCCACTAAAGGACATCCCGTCCGTCCACGTTTCGCCCCGCCCATGTTCCTTCCTTTCCGGGTAAAGTCAAAAATAACCTCCCCAGGCGGGGGCAAAACCGTCATTCCACGTGTAAAGTGTGGTCAAAACGGTGGCACTACGTGTCATTATGCGTGAACTTTAATCTCCCCCACTCCAATTGGTGGGTTCGTCTTCTGACCGTCCACAAGAATTCGCAAACAGCTGCGCCCACACAGTTATCCCCTGCGCCGCCGCGCACGTGATTGCCGCCCCGCCCCGCCCTATTCTGACCTAAACCCGAACGAATCTTCGGTAACACCGTCGTTTTTGTAGTTTACTGTTGTACCCTCAAAGGAAGGAGCGTTGACCGCGTAAAAACGGGGGTGTTTTGAGGGCAAATATGGGATTTTACCGGAAGCTTAAATGGAAATCGGCAGGCGTTTGGTTGAACCAACTTAACAACCACCGGGGCTTTTATTTATTTATTTATTTATTTTTATATATAAATATATTTAATGGAAAAGGGGTGGAGTGTTAATGCTAAATTCGCTGTAATTAGATTAATTAAATGACATTAACTGTGATTAAATAAATTTTAATTAGATAATTAATATTTAATTTATTAGCTTTTTTTCGACATTTTATATATATTGGGAATTATATGATATGGGTTCTTTTTCTCTTTTTCGGTTTTCCAACTTTTGTTAGGATTCCATCTACGCTTCTCTGTTTCTCTCTCTAGAAACTTTATCTCTCTGCACAGACGGGGCGACGCGGTGGTCGCTGCATCTCGCCGGAAAAGTGGTTCGCCGGCGAACAGTGCGCTCGGAGAATTGGTTCGGTATTATTCTGTGCGTAGTGAGAGGCGTTTTCGGTTTCATTGGCTGTGACGCGGTGGGTGGAATCGTTCCGATCTCCGAGTTTAACTCGGTTCGTGGAGGTTTGATAGGAATGTGGAAGGCCTAGAAGAATTTCGCCTGTTGATTGCGCCCTGGATCGTGGTCTAGGGCATGTTTTGCGTTTCTTCGAGGCTGTTTATTGCGTGTTTTTAGGTGAAAGTTAGAGAAGACGGAGATTAAAGGGGAAGTGTTTGGGAATGAGATGGTACGTTTTCGTATGGTTTGTAGTGGTTAAGCGTTGATTGTTGGCTTTTCTCACCCTTTCTTCTTTCTCTTCCGAGTTCTTGCTTAATGTAGATTCTCTTCTGAGTTCTTCCTCTTCTTTCTCTTCTGGTTGGATTTAGGATTGTTTGGATCTTACGCATTCTTATGACAATGCTTCTGATTCCATGAACTTTCCACGGTGCTATCGTGCAATTTGGCCTGTCTTTCTGTTGAATGTTGTAGTTTTAGTCGAAATTTTTCTTGTCTGATACCTAAATCTTAGATTTAGGTTGTGAGTAATCCATAATTGTAGATGTTGTTCTGGGCGTTTCTCAACTGTGGTTTATCTGTTTTCCTCTTCTCTCTTTCTTCTCCTATTATTTTCCCGTCTGTTCTCTGTTAATCAAATGGATTATTTGAGTTATTACTTCCTGAGAATTGGCGAAACTTTTCTTACTCGCCTTCAACATATTTTGTGCATTTTCCGTGACTCCTTAATACACATATATGCATGACAGATTGTCTTATTTCATATTTTTGCATTCGCCTCCGAGCTTCAGATCTCACCTTTTCAGATTGGGTCCAATTAGGAAATCCTTTGACTTTTCTAAGTTTCAGTAATTATGCAAATTTGGTTAGGAAACAATAAGTTTTCTGAGCATCGCGTAGCATATTTTTCTGGAAATTGTCCTTTTGACACTTTGACTTTTCATGTTGAACGGAAATTGGTGATAACGTTCTAAATGACTTGGCTAGTTCTTATTTTTCTGTCGATGGGCTTAGGGAGTTAATCTGGGCGTTCTAATTGACCTTTTTAATATTTTTAAGAGTCACTATGGTGCTATTTTTGGTTAAGATCAATTTAACTTTGTGCTTTGTTATCATATGCACTCCAGTTTGGTTTAGATTTTTTGCATGTTTTCTTTTGTGTTTCTGTGAACATTGTTAGAATTTTGCCATGGAATTATCATGTTTAATCTTAGTGCTGTTATAATGGAGAAAATTGTTGGCAACCTTTTTAGGGGAGTCCCTGACATCATTCTTTATTTATATGACTGCTTTTGTTTTAATTCCTGTATGCTATATATATGTGTATATATATATATATATATATATATTAATTTCTGACAATTCTTTAAGCCAACAGAAAGCATTCAAGGATAAGCTAAATGATATGGACATTTGATGTTTGAACTATTTTCATATCAAAATTCCTGGACTAGATTCTGCAGGATACATCTTGTTTGACATTCTTTTGGATAACTTTATTAAATGTTACATGACCTAGTGTTTTATATGATTTTTTCTTAATGGTTATTATTTTATTTTCCAGGTGGAAGGAAGGGCCTGTATGTCGAGGGAAGCTAAGCTTGAATTCTTGAAACGTAAAAGATTACAACGGTTGAAAACCGAAAGGGCAAATGCTTCCACTTTAGTGAGTAGCATGATGAGCAGAAGCGGAGGGGATGCTTTAAGAGCATCTGTTCCAATTGGTGTGAGTTTACATGGTAACTCTGAAGCACTATTTAGAAGTGGCAGCAGTTTGAATGAAAGAGATGCTTTTTCCAAGCACAAAGTGGCAAAATTTGACATGTCTGACCTTGAGTGGACGGATAAAATACCAGAGTGTCCTGTGTACAATCCAACTCTCGCCGATTTCCAGGATCCTTTGGTTTATCTGCAAAAGATAGCTCCGGAAGCCTCAAAATATGGTACAGTTATTATGATATTAATATATAGATTGCTTGCTAGGAACCTTACTTTTGATGGAAAGTGGCATTGCTCACATAGATAAGGTTTCATGGTCTTGTTCTTGCCTCTCAAATCTCAATCAAGTTTTTTAAGGAATGTGTATATGCATATATATTTGCTACTTCGGTATAGTTGTCCATATAAATGACGTCTTACTAGAAATTTTTTTTTTCTACTTTTGACACCGCCCCATGTTTCTACCTTTATTGGTGCGTTCAGCTTATGTATTTCGATTAAAGTAGCATCCCCTGAAGTTCTCTTTCTGTCCTTAGGCATGTGCAAGGTTGTATCTCCGGTAACTGCTAGTGTTCCTGCTGGTGTGGTTCTTATGAAAGAGAAAGTTGGTTTCAAATTTACAACTCGGGTCCAACCTCTTCGTTTGGCTGAATGGGATCAAGATGACAAAGTTACCTTTTTCATGAGTGGAAGGTGATTGCCCTGTTTTTCCTTGATATATTAAATGAATCAAGTTATTTTTCAGGCTGTTGAACATAATTTGCCTTTTCAGAAACTATACATTTCGTGAATTCGAGAAAATGGCGAACAAGATCTTTGCTCGTAGATATTGTAGTGCTGGATGCCTTCCCGTTTCATTCATGGAAAAAGAGTTTTGGAATGAAATAGCTTGTGGAAAGACTGAAAGTGTTGAATATGCATCTGATGTTGATGGTAGTGCATTTTCAGCTTCTCCTACTGACCCCCTTGGAAAAAGCAGATGGAATTTGAAGGTGTAGATTCCAGAACAAATGTTTCACTTGTTGTCTCTTTTCTTCTTCATTGAATGTTATCATTAAAACTGCTATAGTGGAAATTTTAGCTTCTAAGTAAAGGAATTAAAGCAAATATAAGATGAGGGGGATGGCTTTCTTGTTTTCATAGGATTTGTTATTCACAGAACTTTAACCTATGAATCCAATAGTTTTATATTCATTTAATTTGCCTGTTTCTGTGCTGCAAACATTTGATTATGAGAAAACCAATGCCGACATATTTCAATAGTCATTTTATATCTGGATTATAGTCTTGTTGGAATCTTTGATAATATACATCTATGTATGTATCTATACTCTTGGATTTGGATTTTACAACCTTTTCATGATCTTTCCGCAATGATCCTTGTGATGTTTTTTATGTTTCTTGTGACCTTGCATAGAGTTTATAAGTAATTCTTCTTGTGATTTCCTTTTCAGAATCTTTCTCGGTTGCCAAAATCCATTTTACGCCTTCTAGAAACATCAATCCCGGTAACTAGTCAATTTATTTATTGGATTTGGTATTTTTTGGTATTCTGCATCTAAGGAAGCTCAGAATAATACTTTGTGTATTCCAGGGAGTCACTGAACCGATGTTGTACATAGGAATGCTGTTTAGCATGTTTGCGTGGCATGTTGAAGATCATTACTTGTATAGGTATGAACAAGTACTTCAAATATTTACAAGCTGTCGGGCTAAATATTTTTTGTTCTATGCATCACTCTGCTGATTCATGGTTCCACGTGTATGGGCAGCATTAACTATCATCACTGTGGGGCAGCAAAAACTTGGTATGGTATACCTGGTGATGCAGCTCTTGATTTTGAAAAGGTGGTCAGGGAACAAGTTTACACTCAGGATATATTATCAGCTGATGGGGATGATGGAGCTTTTGATGTCCTTCTAGGGAAAACAACATTGTTTCCACCAAAGATATTGTTAGAACACGGTGTTCCTGTTTACAAAGCGGTACAGAAGCCTGGTGAATTTATAATAACTTTCCCTAGGGCCTATCATGCTGGTTTTAGTCATGGTACGTCATGATTATTTAGATTTGTTTCTTATTTGTTAGTTAACTTTATATGCATAAAGGTATATTGCTTTTATTTCCTCTTTTGATCACAATTTAATCTTTTCAACTCATATACTCCAGGTTTTAATTGTGGTGAAGCTGTTAATTTTGCAATGGGTGATTGGTTTCCTCTGGGATCAATCGCGAGCCGTCGCTATGCTCTTCTTAACAGGATGCCTCTCCTTCCTCAAGAGGAGCTCCTGTGCAAAGAAGCAATGCAACTCTATGAGAGGCTGGAAATTGAGGATCCAGATCATTCATATGCAGATTTGTCATCTTGCAATAGTATCAGGGTGCCATTTGTAACTTTAATCAGATATCAGCATCGAGTTCGATGGTTTTTGATGAAGTCGAAAGAATGTTCTGCTGTGTCCACATTTTCCCATGGAACAATTCTTTGTAGCCTCTGCAAGCGAGATTGTTATGTTTCCTATCTGAATTGCCGGTGTTTGCATCATTATGTATGCTTACGCCACGGTATGACTTTGATACTGTTTTTTACTTGTTTCTTTGAGATTATTTTACCAATATTTATTATGTTATAAGATTAGCTAACTCTGGTGATTCGGTCTCCTCATCAGATATAAAATCACTTGATTTGACTTGTGGAGGCATTCGGAATTTGTGTGTGAGAGAAGATATCTCAGTTTTGGAAGCTGCAGCTAGACAGTTTGAGAAGGAGGAGAATGTATTACTTGAGGTTGAGAAACACTGTAGTAATGGCGACGGCATGCTTTTGCTGTCTGGGATATTCTCAGGACCTGAATTTGATGGTTATGTTCCTTATTGTGAGATTTCTTTAAAGTCAAACATGGATACCTCGGGAGAGCAGGGTCAGTTGAACCCTCAGCTGACTGGCCTTTCCTCGTGTGATGACACCAGGATTGCTGCAAGTGAAACCTCCATTCATTTTGGTTCAGGCTCGTCAACATTGACAGCAACTGAAAGTCATCGTGTAAATATTGAAAGTACCGTTAATGATGAAAGCGACAGTTCTGATTCAGGGATGTTTCGTGTCAAGCGCAGATCTGTTAAAGTGGAACAGAAGATTGCACGTCGTGATTCTGCATTTGCTAGCACTCAACAACAGGTAGAGCTTTTCATGCTTATCTTGATCTGATTTGGACATCTTCTTGGGGAAGTGATGCTATACGTGCAACATTTGTGCTTTTACATGTTTCGTTTGATAAACTGCTGAATAGAACAACTTCTAAGCTTTATATTCCGATGATTCTCTATGAACACTTTCATTTTAACATTAAATCCATACAAGCTGTGTAATTGGATAGCACGGATTCTAAGCAGCGCCTGAATCTTTTCTTTTACAGGGTTTTAAGCGACTCAAGAAGCTTCAGCCCGAATTGTGTTGTGGGCAGGCATATTCCTGTGAGCGGTCTTCGACTACTGATAATCGTAGCCGTAATTCTGATATTAGTTCCATTGACTGTAAGGAGGCACAGAAAGTTCCCTCAAGGGACAAGTTGGGCAGAGAAAGTGGCATACCTATCTCGATCAAGTTCAAGAAGAAGACTGACAAAGAAGCTTTGAGCAGACACAGGGAACCGTACAGAGATCATAGAAGCTACAACGAGTTGGGGAAATCGACTAGGGAACATTCACATTCCTCCTCCTCCTCCTCATCAGTAGATTTTGGGACGAAACGGCTAAAGGTCAGGGGACCGTCAGTTTTAGGACACCAAGAAAGGTTGAACTGAGTTCATACCATTATTAACAACCTGCCATTGAAGAAGCATCTTTCTTAACCCAATGACTGACTATTGCTTTCTAATGGAGAAATCAAATCTAACAGAAGGAAAGTAAGCAGGAATTCTATTCTATTCCATTCGATTCCATTCCAAGGGAGCAGCGACCGGACAGACATATTAACCAGCATTAGGTTAAAGTGTTATGGCATTCTTTGTGCAAGGCCCCGAATTGGAGGCAGACTTGCACGGTGGTGTGGCGAAACATTGTAAACGGTAGGTTAGCATGTTAACCATGTACATTTGGTCGGTTTTTCTTTTAACAGTTGATTGATTTTTGGACAGCGCCGATGTGTGGGGTGGGGTTATTCCTATTCCCTGCCCTGCCGGCGATGACATGTCATTGATCTCTCTGTCTCTGTTTCGATGGGTTGGTTGGTTGCGTCTGCTGCTTCCATTGTGTTATGGTTGGTTCGTTATTCTTTTGTGTAGCTGTGAGGCGAGGCGTGTCTTGCCTGTTGCCTCTATCTAGACTGCTACTGCATCAATAAACATGAAATGAAATTAAAAGGAAAAAGGTTGTGGATGGTTGGTTGGTTGCCTTATGGCAAATATCATATCTAATCTAATATATATGTTGGGAAGGAAGGAATCGCATTCATAAATCAGTAACCTTGCTTTCGGTGTTATATGATTTTTAGGTTAGGTGTGACAACTGCAATTTAGATCATGTCTATATATTGAGTGGGCTCAAAAGCCCAAATAGGGCCAACCAAATCATTATTCATTGGGTACAGTGGCAGTGAACTAATACTCTACCAATTAGATCTGTAAATGTTTTGAAGTATATATATATACGACAAATCAAAAGATAAAAACCTAAAAACTATAAGTAGAAAAATGAGAAGGAAGGAAGAAAATATATTTAGACATATGATCTCGGAAAATCAATTAATGATGTTACTTAATTACTTACTGCTAGTTACCACGACCACAAAACAAATTGAGTAGGGTAGGTGTGTAATTATATAATCAATCGTATTGTATTGGTTATTCAGAAAAGAATTCACTCAGAACGTCTTTCCAGCTGCAAGATCTAGAAGAAGCTGCTGATGTATCATCGCCATTGCCATTGTGTAGTAGTAGTTGCTTATAGTCAATGACTTCTCCCAGTCCCAGTCCCAGTCCCAGTCCTCCCCACATATGAATATGATCGTCATCATCATCATCATCTGGGAATGACTTCTGAAATCCAAACACCTCACCATCCTTCCCGCATTTCAGAATCTGCCCCAACTCACCGTCAACTGATGACGACGATGATGATCCAATTGTGCTTCCACTCAACAATTCTGTCGTCACGCCTTTGTTTCCACAGTAGTCTTCCCCCACCTCCTCCATCAATTTCGGCATCGTCTCCTCCAACCCAACCATTCCCTGCTGCTGAGGGATGCCGCCATCATCATTCTCATTATTATCATTACTGTTCAAGTACATCTGGTTTAGGGTTTCCGTTGAACCTAAATTAGGATTCATAATCGGGGGCATTAATGGCGGCGATGGATTACTGTTCTTCAGGGCTTGGAGAAGGCCACAAAGGACTCCAAGCTTCGAAATAAAGCCACTTTCAAAAGTGCTTGAGTAGGAATTGTAGTAGTCGAGGTAATTATTATTGGGATAATCACTACCGTTCAGCATCAACAATGGCTGGTGAGTTTTGGGGTCGATTCCAGATCGGATCAGCCTCTTCCGGAGGTGAGTGTTCCAGTAGTTCTTGATCTCGTTATCAGTTCTGCCAGGGAGGCGGCTGGCTATGGCGGACCACTTGTTGCCGAGAAGTGAGTGGAGATGGATGATGTGCTTGTCTTCCTCCGGGGAGAAGTTTCCGCGCTTGATGTCCCGCCGGAGATAATTGGTCCACCGGAGACGGCAGCTCTTGCCGCAGCGGTTGAGGCCGGCCTTCTTTGGAAGGAGCTGCCAGCTGCCATGGCCGTGCTTGTCTATGTAGTCGATTAGCTTCTGATCCTCTTCTGGTGTCCACGCCCCCTTCTTCATCGCAATATGATCATCGTCTTCATGATCTATTTCTTCTTCTGCTGCTTTACCAGAATAGTAATATTGTCGTCGTCTAATGTTAATGGTGTTGGGAGGTTGAGGAAGACGAAGAGGAGGTCTCATTCTTGATATATATCTATATATATTTCTGTAGATCAGATCAGATCAGATCAGAAGATTGATATAGTGTGTTGTATATATATATGGAGCTAGGGAAGAAGATGCACGTCACTCTGATATATATATGCTTCATGCATGCATGCATGGAACATTCCTCTGTATGTATTGGGGGTTTGAATAAGAGTTAGGTAATAGTTAGTTAATGCATGAAAGTAACAGTCAATTAAAATATTAATTTTGCTGGAATAACAAGTCATTAACTAATAAATCTTTCCATTACAGTTTGAAAACTTTTCACCATAAACACAAACGAACACCTGTATCTCTCTCTCTCTCTCTCTCTCTCTCTCTCTCTATATATATATATATATATATATATGTATATAATTGGTGACCACCTACTACGGAGTTATAATATGCAAAATAGTTGTTAATACAATTTCCCAATGACAATATACATTTGTTCGAATTAAACAGGTCAATCGTCACCACATATAAAAGTATATAATATAGTTACATACATACATATGTGTGTTATATATATATATATAATTTTTTTAGGGGTTTTGCTTCCAAGAACAAGACATTGGAGAGAGTCAGTAACCTATACAACTAACTACTACTACCTTAATTTTCACAATGCACATATAATTAATCATGTCATCACAATTTAAGATGGCACCTATGACTAAAATAAATAAGCTTTGATTAGGACAACACTAATTGATAATGCCATGTACGTGTGTATGTATGTATGTATGTATGATGATTAAAAAACACACACACACACACACACATATATATACATATATTATTGTTACTTGAGGGAGTGAACAATTAACCTATCTCATTAGTCATTAGTCTAAATGGGAGTTAAGAATATGGAAAGACATCTTTACTTTTGTCTTACATACATGTATCAATAGTATTCTCCCTATTCGTCATTTTTTAATATTCAAAATAACATATTCCAGGAAATAAATACTTTATGGAACGGATTAAAATTAAGAAAATAATAAACGGTTAAAGAATGGTAAATATTTTATAGATTAGACAAAGGATGAGCGATGGATGTGATGTGAAAGACTAATTAGTTTGTTGTTTCTTTTCTTTCTTGATCAACTAAAACACTCTATCAATTCATTTCTATTCTTTCTTGTTTCTTCCAAATGCATTTTTCATTTTAATTGAAATCAATGAGGAGAAGCTTCTAAAACTTGTTTTGAGGCCACTCCAAACAAACAAGTCTCAACCCTCAAAAGTCAGTCAGTCAAGCTTTGGTTTGTTCAACTTGAACATGACTAACTAACTGCTCACTCCCTCCCTCTTCTAAAAGCTCATTTTCTTTTTCTCAACCAATCTTTTTTTAACTAATTTCAATATCTTCTACTTAAATCCCAACTATATCAATAAATATATAAAAAGCAGTTTCAGGACATTACCACTTCGAATCTGATACAACCATCATACTATCCATCAACCATCATATCTATCAACAGATTCCTACCCACCAGATTGCTTCTTCGTAATAACAACAATAATAATCCACAATTAGGAACACCCAAATCATCACCACCACCACAATCCTTTAATTCCTTCTTCTTGATCAGTAAAAATGAGTTAGTACTTACTTACACACAAACGACAAACCCCCCTTATTAACTTCTTCATCCTTCTCTTACACAACAACATCATCATCATCATCAATCCCAACTCATCAGAGTGGCTTCTGTTACTGTACCACCAGATCTGCACCAAAACAAGCATCAATCAAAAGTTAAAACCCCATCAAATAAACATATCAACAAATCAAAGAACCCAAAAGATAAAAACCTTTTGTATATCCAAAGAAAGTTAAGTAAGTAAGCATTGAGATCACCATTTGATATACATAACACAACACACCATATACTATACTTATTATTATGTCTGTCACTGCTGCAGCTGCCTCTGCAGATTAATGAGCTTGTAATAAGCTCCTTCCTTGTTCTCGATCAAGCTCGAATGTGTCCCCTGTTCTATGATCTTCCCTTCCTGCAGCACCGATATCTGATCCGCGTTCTTGATCGTCGACAGCCGGTGCGCCACCATCACCGTCGTCCGGCTCTTCATCAGCCTGTCAAGCGCCTGCTGCACTATGCGCTCCGACTCCACGTCCAGTGCACTTGTCGCCTCGTCCAGCAGCAAGATCGACGGGTTTTTCAGAATTGCGCGCGCGATCGCTACTCGTTGCCTCTGCCCTCCCGACAGCTGGACTCCTCGTTCCCCGACTTTCGTCGAGTATCCCTCCGGGAGGGAGCTAATGAAGCTATGCGCGTTCGCCAGCTTCGCTGCCTCGATGATCTCGGATTCCGTCGCACCGTCCTTCCCATAAAGGATGTTTTCGTAGATCGACGTCGCGAAGAGCGCCGGCTCCTGCTGCACGAGGCCTATGTGCTTTCGGAGCGACTTCAGCTTCAGCTTCCGTATGTCTTTCCCTGCATTGTTTTTCGACTCGAATTCGATGTCATGAAACGAGCATTCAACGCTAACATGGTTTTAGAAATAACTCGAAAACTCACCGTCGATCAATATCTTCCCCGAGATGGGATCGTAGAATCGGAGTATGAGGGAGATGACAGAGCTTTTGCCGGAGCCACTCTGCCCGACAAGCGCCATGCTTCTTCCGGCGTGGACTCGCATATTGAAATCCTTGAAAATTGATACGTTTGGCCTTGAGGGGTAGCTGAATTCGACGCCCTTGAATTCGATAGTCCCGTCTACTTGCGTCACCTCTTCTCCGACATCGTTCAGAATCTCGGTCTTCCGGTCGAGCACTTCGAACACAGAGGCCACCATATGAGTTCCCTTCAAGAGATCCGGCGCCATGGCGAGGAGCTCGCCCATACCTAAGGCCGTCACGATCATTACCATGAACGTTTTCATCACCGATTTGAAGCTTCCGAGCCCCTTCTCCATTAGCTTCGAACCGTACCTAGTTTCAAGTAAACAGGGGAAGACACGATCAAACATTTTCTCCGTCGCACATACTACGACGTTGTAAAGATTGCGGCGTACCATAAGGCGAGAGCGTAGGACGAGAAGATGAAAAACTGCGAGACCCCGTAAAAGATCCCTGCAGCCTGCCCGCGCCTGAACGAACTTTTGGATGGTTCGATGAGTTCTTGCGAATAAAGATCGAGAACTTTCTCCTCCGAGCAGAATGCTGCTACGGTTCGGATGTTGCTCACGGCCTCTCCAGCGAGCATGTTGGCTTTGAGATACGCTTTGTCCAAGTCGACGCCGTAGCCTTTCATGAAAAGTTTCTGCAACAAAACAACATATCATTCACAAGTAGTCGTAGTAATAGTAATTGCAGTTTCTTCTTAAGAAAGGAGTTGCTCGAACCTCGCTTATATGCCCACTAACGATCAATGGATAAGTCGCCATGACAACTAGAGCAAGCCTCCAGTTCATGATGAAGGCGATGACAAAGGACGAGGCGACCAAGCCGATGTTTTGTAGCAAAATGGTCGAGCGATCGACAACTACAGTCCGCAGTAAAGTAGCATCGGTTTCTAACTTGGATGCCAGCATCGAACTCGAGTTGTTCATGTCATCGAACCATCCTATCTCGTTTCGCAGCATAGCTTCAAACAAACAAGAACTTCATGAGCTCTACTCGAATGAACTAATGTAATAACCATCAAAGAAAGATCTTGAAAGATACCAGAGAACATCTTCTCCCTAACACGAAGGGTGAGGCGCTCGCCCATGATCCCGAAGCTCATGTGTGTAATTGTGTTTACAAACACGGCTATAACAGCGCCACCGCAGAAGAGGAAGGCGATCTTTCTAACTTCCCGGCGAGTTGTGTCCCAATCCATGTAGTAGGAGACGAGAGCCTGAGTCACACCAAGTGCAAACAGAGGCAATTGTGCCCCGGCAATGAATGCGCAAAGTGTGCCGGAAACACCATAAAACCAATCCGGCCGCACCATGGAGAACAGTCTACCCGAGGAGATGTTAACAGGTTTTACAACCTCAGGTCCTTCGCCACCAAATCTGCTCAACGATCTCTCTGAACGAAAACTTGCGCCGAGGCTTCTTGTCGTGCGGGATAACTCCCGCGAGTACCGAATGCTGCCCTCCCGCGAATACCTAATGCTGCAATCATGTATACGTTCGGACATCAGAAATGAAAACATGGTAACATTGTGGATGATTTATGCGGCGAAATTGTACCTAAGAGGTCGCCCCATCGTAGGACCGTGGGGCGACATTTGATGCAACGAAGCTGCCTCTTGTAGCTGAACAAGCGAAGCATAGGCGCTGTGGGGCTTCGACATGAGCTCATCATGGCTGCCGGATTCGACAATGGTGCCATTTTGCACGACAGCTATCACGTCGGCGTTTCTGATTGTCGAAAGGCGATGAGCCACGACAACCGTGGTTCGCCCCACCATCACGCGGTCGAGAGCCTCTTGCACGCTCTTCTCAGACTCTGCATCGAGGGCGCTCGTCGCCTCATCCAACAATAAGATGGAAGGATTCTTCACGATGGCTCGGGATATTGCGATCCTCTGCTTCTGTCCGCCCGATAGCTGTATCCCTCTCTCGCCTACCTGAGTATCGAATCGCTCGGGGAGGTTATTGATGAAGTTGATTGCCTCCGAAAGCTTTGCTGCGCGGATGATTTCCTCATTGGTGGCGTCGTGTTTGCCGTAGAGAATGTTGTCTCTAATGGTGGTGGCGAACAGGGCGGGCTCTTGATTCACAAGCCCGATTTGATGCCTGAGCCATTTCAGGTCCAGCTCCCTGATATCATTCCTGTCCAATTTTATGTGCCCTGATCGCGGCTCGTAGAAGCGTTCTATCAACGATATAACCGTGCTCTTCCCGGAGCCGCTACCTCCGACAAGGGCTACGATCTTTCCAGGTGGGATGTCCAAGCAGAGCTTGTCGAAAATCAGGACATCAGGGCGGGAAGGGTAGCTGAAAGACACGTTCTTGAATTGAATGTGGCCATCTACTTTGCTCAGCTTCCTCCCTGTCTGAGAACTGGTTTTGCTGAGAGTGTTCCTTTCGATCATCTCGAAGATGGGATACGCTGCCGCTTTCGCTCGAATGAATGCTGAAACATCAGGAGCTGCTTGTCCGAGAGACCTGGAAATGTACAGAGAAAGAAGAGGTAGGTAATTTGTTTGTTTTCATGGCGGAATCTGACACATACTGATACATGAGGGCGGGGAAGAAGAAACTTACAGGCCGGAGATGACGACATTGAGCATGGTGGTGAAAGACTCTCCGCCATTAGCAATATTCTTGTGGACAACGATGCTGGTGAACCAGACAAGCAACGCCCACGACAAGAAGAGCACGCAATGGAGGGTCCCGAGGCCGAGGCCTTTGGCCAGGCCGGCTTTCCGGCCGTACTTGTAAGTGCTCAACAGAGATGTTTTGTACATGCTGACTGCTTTCTCTTCTCCGGCGAATGCTTGCACTGTCCGCACATTTCCGATCACCTGAACAGAAAGAAAGAAACACGATTTAACAAGAATTCAAGAATGCATGACTGAATGTGTGATTGGAACAACCTCTTCGGCGATTTCTCCGGCGTTGACGTACGCCTTGCGGACCCTGGCGATGAGGCCGGTGGCGACGTAAGCGTAGATGCCGCCGGCGATCGCAATCATGGGCACGATGGACAGCGTCACCAAGCTGATTTGCCAAACCCTGATGAACCCTATTACGAACCCTGACAAGAAACGGCTGATGTAGTGCAGGAAATTCCCCACCTGCATTCCAAAACGTAAACATCGATTAATTAGTCTCGAGTTAGATTTCGATATTCGTCGGATTGGGCAAATTAATCCTGTGTGGTTTGTCGGTATTATCAAGACACGAAGCAGCAGGCTTGAGTTTATCACATCGGAATCAGATGAAATTAAGTGGGGACAAACACAAACTACAAGCAGGCAGCACAGCAGAGTAAATGTCAAAGCTAACTCAAGACAAACATTGACATTAAATCAACTCCCATCGCTGTCCCTATCCCGAAAACAGTTGAGAGATTAAAAACTGCTTTTACACAAAACTGCATACTGAAATCACAGAGAGATCAAAAGGGATCCTAATTCTTTGCCGTTTCACTTTCGCATCTCAATCAGCAATTACGCCATCGACATCAGGCAACAGTAAAAGATATACATCAAAGTTGAAGGAAGGAAGATGAACTCCCAGAAAGAGAGAAAGAGAAATTCGCAAGTAAAAGAATGTAATCATTATTGGCGTAGAGTTTGTCCACACAAGCACATGACACAATAAATTTCTGTACATGTCACGCTGGTATTCATGCTCTCTACTCACCGCCAGAACAAATTGATGAGTTTGTCCGAAATCAATTAATTAAAGGGAAGGAAGGAAGAAAATTTTAAGTGAGTGCCTGGCTGTCCAACTGTCTTACCAAACCAAATAAATGCCATTTGCATTTACTCCTCTCCGTCTCCCTCTCCCTCACTCTATCTCTCTCATCTTTCAAGCTATTTATTCATTTCATACAGGAAAGCACACAGACATCACAAATATTCTTGCTTTAGCCTATAATAACAATAACAATAACAATAACAATAGAAATAATACGATGACGGGAACCAACCATTCAATACACATTTGAGATGATGTCGTGTGGCAGTTGGGAGCACACTGTTATACTTATTTCTGTTATTACTATTGCCATTAGTATTGTGCATTAATACTCAGCCGATTTCTGAGTGTGTATAGGTGTGTGCAGATCATAGTAGGTGCGCCATGAAAGAGTTTAGTGTTGTTATATATGTAGTAATCCCATTTCAATATGATTAATCAATTAATTAGCTGTTAGATAGTAAAAGGGTTGGGTACCTTTTCAGAAAGAGCGTCCTGGACTACAATAATGTCACTGGTAATGGCAGAGATGACCTCCCCAGTTGATGCTTCAGTGTCGAAAATGGAGATGTCTTGATTTAGCATTGATCTCAGATAAGCCATTCTCATTTTTGCTGCCTGTCTCTCCCCGGTATACATCCAGCATGCCACCTCTACATCATATATAATTAACAAATTTTAATTGAAACTAAACAACAGAAGTAAAGTAATGTGCATATATATGTGTTATAGATTGCTAATGATTCCATTACAGATCCTACCTGTCCATGATGAGAACATAATCACTATGCTTAGGTACACGAAATCCAAAGAATACTGCAGAAAAAGGGGGCAACAATACTTGAAATCAGTGCGGATGTTGAAGATTGAAAAATGACTAGTAAATTTTTGCGATTCAAAGCTAATTATTAGTTAATAAAAGGCGTGCAGTATACTGTAGTGTAGTTAAATCGTCGTCAATTACTTCTTACCATGGCGATTCGATGCGAAGCTAATTTGGGGAAGAGATAAGCCAAGCCGATGACGTTAATCATCTTCCCGAAGAAGATGAAGAAAACGGGGACAGAGGCGCCATGCACGCAGGCGCCGATGGAACCGACAAACATGAGCAAATAATCGTATCCGTCGGCGAAGGAGAATAGCTTCCCCAGCGACACCTTCTTCGCCGCCATAGTCTTCTCCTTGTCTTTCTCCTTCTCCGTCTCCTCGCCGCCATTGCCCGCTGCCGGTGGCGACTGATGGCTCATCTCGTACCTAGCTAGGGTTTCCGAAACTGAATTCCTTGCTTCGTCAGTGAATTAATTCGGGAATTGCGAGGTAGAGGTACAAGTAGAGGTAGATGCGGTGGTGTTCATGAGAATGGAGAGGAATATATGATGAATGAATGAATGAGGGTAGAGGATGGTGGAGGTGGAGATGGAGGTGGAGGAGGAGGAGAGCATTAATGTGCCATCCCACAGAAACAAAATCAAATAAAGTTGAGCAACGAACAAACTGGTTTAGCGGTGCTTAATTAATTTCCAACCCAATACACATATACATACATACATACATACATAATACTGTATATCTCTATCTATACAAGAGAGAAGAGAGAAGAGAGAGAGAGAGAAAATGGTGTGTGTGTGAATTTATTGTACAGCTAACTGCATTCTACTAGTAAGAGAGAGAGAGAGAGAGTTTGACTTATTGGGATTAAACAATTCAATTCAAGATCATCATCATCATCAATCTTCTCATTTTTCTGTTACATAATATTATTATTATTGTTCACTCTTTAAAATAACGTATTCCCATTTTGTGCATGGCTGAATAATGCTAACCCTAGACTGAAGAGTCCGTACAGTAGACTTCAAAACTCTGTCGATCAAGTTTGACGTTTATACATGTATAGTTAGAGATTTTATCATCGACAAAATTACCATTTCATTATTTGATGATGTTTTATTGTACTTAATTAACGAAGACTTGTAAGGAATTCATAATATGCATTTAATTAGCACGGACCAGTGTGGTCACGCCACGATCCTAACATGTTACATTTAATAATAATAACCAAATTGAAAACTTTGATACTTATCGTGTTCGCGTACACATGCCCAATATTATTTTATGTGTTAAATTAAGGGTTGAAATGAATTGAGATTTAAACATATACGAAATACGATATTCCGTGATCTGCTATCAATAACTGTGAAATACTAAAAATCAATAAATAAATAATTTTATTTACTTTTCTCGAGGGGAAAAGATTTGTTGCTTGGCTTGACATAAGATTATGGATATGTTTTCTTTGCATTTTAATCTCAATAATTGTTTTATTAATATGTGTGTTTTGAAAATTTTAAGTCTATAATACTATTGAAGCATTGACAAAAATGTGGTTATAAATTATTAGCTTTTAAGATATATATATATATATATGCACATCTAAATTTAAAAAATAAAATGCAAATGAATATAAGAATTATAAATTAAATAAACAAGTAGAATAGAGGAAAAAGTCAACCGACTCTGCCATCCATATTAGAACATTGCACGTCGTGCATTAAAAGCATGTGATCTATTTTGGCCAATAAACTTCCCACCTAATACTTAAATTATCGACAAGTCTGCTAACAGTTGTATTTAAGATTAAACATAAATTTAATTAATTGATAAATTGATTGTTCAACTCACTTCAATTCTTGCTTTTGAGTATTGAAACTTGGGGACATTTTTTTCTAAATTTTGGGTGTTACATGGATATTTATCTACTATGATTTTGTTATTTATCTATAAATTTTATCATATATAACATCGATTTTTCAGTGGGAAATCGAAATATTTCCTCTTAACGATGAGGTTAATTAGATACGAAGCACAAGTAGATGAGAATATTAATAGCTAGTTTTGAAAGTAATACAAATAAATATAAACACATAAAAACGCGTTTTCTCTAATTTTAAATGAGAAGCTAATATATATTTATCATTTTTTTTTCTTCAAAAAATAATAAATAACTAAAACACTTATAAATATAGTATTTAAAAAATACAGCCAGAATCTTTATTAAGCTAGAAAATTATCAAATATAAACTATAGAATATATAAATAATAAATAATAAATAAATCCCCTCAACTATTAATAAATTAGAATTGACAGCCATGCTATGCATGTTACGCATGCATCACTCCTCAACAGACTTTGTACACATATAAGAAAATCCATAAATAAAATTCAGTGATTTTCACGCAAAGAGATAACTTAGACTACAAATTCCCCGACAAAGTCCAAAGATAAGGGTATGATACAAGGCCATACCTGGTCTGTGTGTGTTTCTCCCTCTCTCTCTCTCTCTATCTCTCTCTCTCTCTCTGCAAATTGTAAGCAACTTTAATGGCCGCCAAATTAGCAATTTCAAAAAAGGGACTGTAAAATTGATATTTTGGAGCAAGAGAATATGGGCGTACCATTGCATTTCCAGCTCTAGTTTCCTTTTTCATCTTTCCGGGGGATCGACGAGGTTTTCTGAATCGGGATCAAGCACATCAGGCTGTTGTTTCTTGCATCACTTCTTCTTGGTTGGCTTCGGGAGCATCAGGCTGTTGGTTCTCTGCTTCGTCTTCCTCGTTGTTGGAAGAAGCATCGGTGTTCCTTTCGCTTAATTTCAAACGAATTGGTCGGCCCATCAGTTCCTGCGTCGAGAGCATAGTGTTGCTGATCATGACTATAAAATACAACCACAACAAATGATTAAAAAACAGATAATGGAACAAAGTTATATGTTTATCGACAAAAGTGCAATTTCCTTGTGCATATAATGATCTGCGATCATATCAACATCGACACTTCCATATTGGTATATGCATGAGAGGATAAAATCTCAGGATCCAACAAGTTGCAAGAAGAAAAGTTCGTAATGTCGATGACATTGTAAGAACCTAATTGGTGGAGCTAGCAAGAAAATATGCATAAGTAGTTAATTTTGAAGACTTAAGAACAAGATAGAGCAATTGATTACCTTCCCATCTAATGATGAAATTGCAGATTCAGCTTCCTCTTTGGTTAAAAAGGACACAAATCCATATCCAGCCGATCTTCCAGAAGGACTATCAAACACAACCCTGGCTGAAACAGGGTTGAAGTTTGAAGAAAAAAACTCCCGGAGATTGCTGGACCTTGCTTTCCATGGAAGATTGGATACATAAAGTTTGTAGCCAGATTGTCGTGGTGGGGCAGGGGTATCGACAGGAACTGGTCGAGGAGGTCTCTTGAATCTCTTGGCAAATTGTACTCTGATAATCCTACCAACCAATTCCTGCCGAGAATATTATGGCATATAGTACCATCAAACAATGAATGATCTTTGCAAGGGTTCTCAAGAAATTTCTCTGTGGATGTAGCTCCTGGAATTTATTAGGTTAAAAGATTACACAGCACAGAATAAAGAGAAGAAGAGGCCGGGAACTTTATATGTTTGGCTTTCCATTTCATTGCCATTTTATAATGTCCAACAAGACAACGAAAAAATGTATCAACAATCTAAGCATTGTTAACACTCAAGACAATGAAACACTCCATCATTGTTAACTTGAGCTTATTTCTCTTACTCCAATGCTTCTAGCTGCACCCTATACTATGACTTATAAAGTCCACCCACAATGGTACACCTTTTAAATTTTGGACTCTTCATGATCATTACAATATAACATAAGCAATCTTCCTGAAAACCAAATCTTTTTCAAGAAATCCATCTGAGTCTTGATTACATTATAGCTTTCCACTGACTATCACTGATTCCTCAAACATACATAGTGACAAGCAATGATATTGCGAAGCTTGTAGTAATTTTCAGGAACAACTAGCTCGACAAATATATAATTATAATCCCTATTGTCAACTTCATTGAATGAAGTTCTATCTTGTACCAATTTGTGCAGTTTTTTCATAAGGTCACCAATGCATCCAAAAACTTGAAAGGGCAATCACATCAGAAACAAGAAATCAACATTATACTCCACAGAATTCAGTTGCCTTTTTGCCATTACTATCTTTCTTTTGTTTCTTGTCTCCATGGCAGCTATTATATGTTCTTGTGCTCTACAGCATTGAAAGATACTACTTTGACCATTCACCAAAACTATGGCGGATAATAGATTATTTTGTGTGATTACTTGCAGCACACATACAAGTTAGACATCCTCATGAAGTGAAACCTAGAAAAAGCTTAATCAATTACTTAAACATGGAGAATCTAGGAATGTGCTGCAATATAGATTAACCTTCCAAAATACTACTTAATTCATAGTCTACAGAAGAAAAAAAGAGCAAAAAAAAAAAAAAATGAATTCAAATTTTTCGAAAAACTTACGTAAGAATCAAATCTCTCAATCACAGCCTGAGCTTCTTCCCCAGTGGACATTGTCACAAATGCAAATCCTCTATTCTTCCCATCTTTCTGCTTTATAATCTAAAGATCACACAAGATAGTAATAAATTAGAGCCAAAATAACCAGGAAAAAGAAAGCGTCTAAACCTTAATTTTCATACTTCGACATCCGCAACCGTGCCACATTCACCGAACACTTTCTTTATATCGGCAACAGAGAACGTCCACGGCAAATTCAGCACAAAAAGCTTCCTCCTATTGTCAGGTTTCTTCTCCTTTTCTACTTTCTCTTCCACCGACACACTTTCCACGCCCGAATGCAATCGAAATCCATTCTTTCTGGCGGTCTGCAGAGCAGGAGCGAGGCTGTGCGAAGCAAAAATCAGCGAAGCTGAACGAGCTGAGAGGAAAATGTTGAACCTAATCGACGACGGCGACTTCCTGAAAAAATGGAGCTTTGGAGAAGGATACGATTTGAAGAAGATAGACGAAGCCGCATCCTTTGTTCCCAACGCCATGGCTGTCACAGAATAGTGAGCTTGAAATTGGATAATCATATTTTAAGGGAATAACTCATTTTCACCCCATAAATTAGTCTCTATTCAGTTCTGGTCCCTTTAATTCTCTATTTTTCACATTCTAACCTTAATCTTTATCTAATAATTTTGACATATATTTCAATTATATTTTAATGTAAACAAGATAGAATGATAATATATCATAATTTTTTAATAAATTATATAATTATATGATAAAATAAAATAATATTTACTTTAATAAATTATTGTATAACATTATTAAGTTTTTAAACATGTTTTTAATTATATGATAAAATTAATACTAAGTTACCCATTAATAAAATATCAAGTAGTCATTTTTAGCATTAATATCACTAAATATTGTTTAATTATATTCAAAAGGAAATAATTAACAATGCTTACTTACTATTATTATATAGGATTATACTTACTTACAAACTATAATAATATATAGTAAATATATGATTAAATTGAATTAAATAATATATCGTAATCATTTAAAATAAATACATCTTATTAGCACATGTAAAATAGAAAATATACGGTTATTTTTATATATTTTGTACGTGATTACTAACTATTATCGTAATTTGCATTCATAAACTGCTCTTATAAATAACATTAGTTAAAAAAATTTTAGATATACAAATTCCATTTGTAACTTGTAGTTAAATATTAATTTGAAAATGAAAGAATATCTACCTCATATAATTAACAAATACAATCCAAGCAATGATGATATACTTTCTTTTTATTTGACTATAATAATGATGGTTTGAGATGCATCTCCATGGAATTGATTAATTGTATAATTGTTTATTTAAGGGTTACAATTCGATCTAAATTGTACTAAAGTAAATGTTACTTGTAATCGTGAAGTCATTGGTTCAAACTCCCGACACGTCATCTGTTACATATGATTCGCTTAGTGTGACTTTTTCGTCGGACCTGATTTGCAGAATATTAGGTTCAATCGGTGTTTACCCAGTGCATACTTTCGATAGTGGCTGCGGATTTCTACGTCATCAAAAAATATATATATTTAAGAAAACATTATCAAGTTTTCTTTTGGTATGGTAGTACTAGTACATATTAAAGAGTTAGTTAATAAATAATACATTTATAAAAATTGAAACACTCTGTGTTTGTTTGGGGGATTTAATAAGATTTCTACTATTCATCCAATTTTTTCCCCCAAAAACATCAAATCAAACACCTATTTTTCATTTTTTATATTATACTAAAAATCAATTTTACATTCAAAACATCACATCAACACCTATTTATATCACATCATACAACTAATCAAATTTAAAATTTTTACTATTCAAATCCCAACTCAAAATCCAAACTCCCAAACAAACACACCCTAAGGTATATTTAGTTTATATTTTAAACCAAAATTATTACTATTAAGTATGAACAATTTCAAATATATATATATATTTTACAAAATATTTTATCAAATATTTTTTTTTTACTATTTTTGTCTTTCTTATTCAAAAGTATTTACTTTTAACAAAAATAATTATATATTAATACTAAAATATCTTTCACTTGTATTTAAATTATAAATATACAATTATACATAAAATTAATTTTTAGCCAAAAAATATCAAAAATTTCATATAAACTTTTACTAATCAATCAAATATTATTATTTTTTTTTCTAATGAAACAGAGACAATAATTTATTTATTTTTTATAAAATATTATATCTTATTAAAAAATACAAATACAAACCAACACAAATCAATAAATATTGTTTTATGAACGCAAGAGGAATAAATTTGGTCAACAAACTCCATACATGAGCATTGAAATAATCGAGAATGAAAGAAAAAGTAAAACCTACCAATTCAATCTGGACCGTTGAAGCAGGCGCGGGGTCCACAGCCATTCTGGGCCCACATAGAAAACAAACCCAACTCAACTCATCGTCACCCAGGGGCGGCTTGACCTAACAAATCCAGCCAACGGCATCTCGACACCTGTCGCCACTCGACACGACATCGTTTCCATCGACTACTACTTGCTCGATGGATTCAAAGAAAGCAACAATAGAGACTCAATATCATAGATAATAAATTAAAAAAAAAATAAACATGAGTAATAATAATAATAATAATAATAATAATACAACACAAACCATATTGTGTATCCATCATGTAATAAATATAATGTACACATTGCTGCCTGCTACATTACATTACATTACATATTACATTAGAGGTCAAACTAAATTTTGGGTTTGAATCCGAGCCCCTAAGGAAGGGACTTCTTTCAAACTGCACCCAAAATTGACCAAATACAAAATAAATAGTAAAAGCACAATGCCCACAACCACAAACCAGACCAGTTAACAACAACAAAAGAAAATAAAAGAAAAGCTATACTAAACTTTTAATCAAACTTGCCTTTCCCATCTCCACATTGTTTTATTTTTTTGATATATATATATTTATTTATTTTTTATTTTGCCAAATTTACCCCTATGTACCATTCTATACTACAAGCTGCCTCTGCTGCTGCTGATGCTGTACATTGCTGTAGGAGGAAGAAGAAGATGAAAATGCCTTACTGTGTTATGGCATTGATTATATTTCTATTGGATGACCTCCCATGGGGGCTCGATGCGGAATCCCCTTTCTTCGCTTCGCGGTTCGGTAACTCAGAGGCGGCGTTGACGGACTGAAGCTCGGGATTTTGTTGATGTCGCGCCCATTGCTGCTGCTGCTGCTGAATGAGTCCTCGGAATCAGACGCCGCCGGCGCCGTTGCCGTCCGATTCTTCTCCGGCGAATGGTTTTTGTTGTGCTTCTGGAAATTGTTGGAAGTTCCTACAATCTGAAATTTTGGAATGAATGAATGAATCAATCGAAGTCAACGCGCTAGGTTTTGATTGGAGTTGTTGGATGGAAGAAATTAGGGCAAATTTAGGGGAATTGGGGAATTGAAGATGTACCTTGCAGCCAAGGGAGCAGAATCGGAAGGAATCGAGGAGACTGCGATCGCAGACTTCGCAGGTGTTGGTGACGCCTTTACCAGGCCTCGGTTGTGGCCTCTCGTTGAGGAAGACGACCTTGGCGCTGTTGATTATGTAGGTCTGGACAGAGCTGATGTCCAGATACTTTTGAATTTCAGAAACTCTGATAACATCATGGTATGATGATCTCCTTATCTGCACGCGACAATTGCAATCAATTGAAACTGACGATATGAGGAAGGCAACACACAACAGCAATACTGCACAGTTAATTCAACTCTATATCGGCGAGGAATCAAACCTGAATAGCGCGATGATCTCTATGGTAATTCAAACAGAGAGAACAGAGAGCGCCGTTCATACAATCCAGGCAGTACATATTGCATTCGCTCTTATGAGAATCGGCGTGAAATTTACATTGAACAAAGAAATGCTCCTTCAGCAACGGTTTCAGCCACGGCGGCCACCGATTCTCCTCCTCATCAGGTCCGCCGCCTCCCTGCTCAACGCACACAATTAGGTCAATCTCCAAAATTGAAAGCAAACACCACACCGCGCCAACACAGATGAATGCAGAATAACACCTAAACTCTCTCAACCAATAAAAAAACTTACCATAATCCGCCTGTTCTTCGGCCTGATTTCACGAACCGCGGATTCCTGATTATCGATCGCCAGCTTTGATTGATTTGCTCAACTCTCGAGCCGATACGGCCAACAATGGTGCACGAATGAGTCGAGAGCGCTTTGGAATTCGCCCTTTTAGCGGAGAGAGAAATTTACAAAGGGAAAGGAAGGAAAGGAGCTATGGAAAGTTTGAGCAAGTGGAGGCGGTGAGAGTGCAGACGGGGGTGGGTACTTGTAGGGGTGGGTAGGTTCGGGTTCGGGTTTGTTCTTATCGTTTCAAAAGTCGTATCCGAACCCAGCTCCGAACCAAACTCCGAAGCCGAACCAGAAGATACGTTGGATGCAAGGAACTGACCTCCTCCTTTCCTTTTTATTTCCACTAATATTAATTAGTTTCACATAATAATAATAATAATTTGATTTAATAAATTTTTCTTTCATTTTCATGTGTTGCATATTCTTGCTTTGGTCTTATCATCACAATCCACACACCATTATTAATTTCCTTCAGATAATGATAATAATATGCATACATATTACATCACCCTTTCATTTATTAAATAATTATTTATTAAATTTAGGTAATGAGGTTACAAATTAATCACACTCATCATACAATGTGGGGATTTTTTTACCAACATTCTTTTCTTCTAATAATCCAATTAATGAATTGGGTTGGGTTGGGATGATATACCCCATTATTTGAAAAAATATTTGTGGGTTTTGTTTTATTTATAAATTATTTTTTTTTATATTTGAGTGGGAATTGGATGAATGGGTTGGCACAACACATTATTCTGATTCCTTACATTATTGGCTCAACATTATGTTGTGTTTCTTGATGGTAGGAAAGAGCAGTGTCCACTCATTTATCATTTTTTATTGTAAAAAAGGAAAAAGGGTGTTTTTATTTTTCTAATATTTTTATTACTCTTTTAAAGAACATATGCAAATTAAAGGAGAATACAGTACACCCAATTTTATTTTATTGAATAAAATTATGTGTCCTATTTATTGTTTCTAATCATGCATTTTTGTAAACTACAAACAAGGAGTCAATGGTCTTTCTTGGAATCAATTTTTGCAATGTTAATATTAATCATCAAATTGTACTTATGTAATCTTTAATTTTTACTTACTTATATATAGATAATATGTGAATGCAACCTTATTGAGTCAAAAGTCTGAATATATATATATATATATATACCAAAAATGTGGACTCATATATAATACAGACGTAAATTATTACATCATATGTGATGCAATATATATTCTATATATGTGGAACATGGTCTAATTAAAAGGTATAAATTACACTTAGTATAGTCAATGCAATTTCTTCTTTCCTATATATATATATACATATTGTATAATGTGTTACATGGTTAAAACTGAGGCAGTTAAAAGGAGATAGGTGAATTTCAATTTGGGGGTGTGTTACATAAATATTTTATTTTATATTTTATTAATAATTAGTACTGTTGTGTAATAGATGTTGGACTTGGCATGTCTTTATGTGACAAGAATGAGGCGTACACTACTATACTTTCAAGACCATGATTAAAAACACGTGTTACTTTTTCTTTAAATATCAAACAAACAAAATAAAAGTCATATGCCAATTTAATTCTTACAATACAATGTGTGGTGTTATTTAAATAATTTTATGCCAAATATCTTTCCTTTACATGAACGAAAATTTATTGAAAATTTTAATCGAAGATAATAATCATCTAAATTGCAAATGAATGGATTTCTATGTAATAATTATATTTAAAGATGATAAAATCTGTCACTTTGGTGTCTATTTTCTTAAAAGTATACAGGAAAATAAATAAAAATCAAGAAGCACATTTTTTTAATCTGAAAATAAATGTATACAAATCAACATAATGCAGTGGACCAATTAGTCAATTACACATTATCTCATAATAAAATATGTGTATATATTTGTCCCGAAATAGCACGGTGGTGTAGGGATTAGATTTGTAATTGTGAGGTCGGGGGTTTGAACCCATGACGTCTCAGGTCACCTGCCACACATGGTTCGCTTAGTGTGACTTTTCTGTCGGGCCTGGTTTTGCAGGGTATTAAGTTCGGTTGAGGTAAGACCGGCAAACAGATCAGGTCGGTTCGAGTCAGCTTAAACGGATTACAAAACCAAGACCTGAATTTGACTCATAATAGTACACATTACAATCTTTTATTTTTTATTGTTTATTTTTATAAAATTAGCCATAAATATTGAATTTTATTGATAAAATTTATTTTTTGTCGGCCCTAGCCGAGGTTTACTCATTGCGCACTTTCGGGTAGCGGCTGCGGGTTCCCAAATCGTTAAAAAAAATAAAAATATGTGTATATACTTATATTTGATTGGCAAATTTATTTTATTTTATTTTTTCTTTTAAGAAGGCATGCCACGTCATTATCAAATTTAATTATATATTGGTTGGATAAACACAATGACTGTGAGTCTCACTTAAAATCTTTTTATATGTTATTGTGGCAAGTGACAAATTTCCACATTAAAGATGCTCCCAATACTGTAATATTTGATATAAAATTTACCACAATGAATCCAATATAAATAAGCCAATAGAATCGAATGCTTCGTAATATTCACCTAATATTCTTTATTCCTTTATAGTTTTTATTTTTTTTAAATATATATATGCATAATTAAATGACTAATATTTTACGGAGAGTAAATAAATATAATGCGGTAGTAAAGTATGAATTTCTTATGTAAGAAAAATGTAAGTCCATTTTCTATTTAATTCATATACATTTAGTTTTCTTTAATTAATTTTACTAATATTATTGAGTGTTTATTTAGTATTTTAGTTTGAAGTATTTTTTTAAGTAAGACATGGATATTAATGGTTTAGATTGAATGTTAATTTTTTTTTTTAGAGAATATAATATATATTATATATGTCGGAGATGGTATCAATAAAAAAATTATGAACAAAGCCAATTTTATAAATTTAACAAATAATAGTAAATTAATTTTAATTTTGTTTCTTTTAAGGGTTTGTTTCTTTAGCCATCAAACCTCAAGTTTTTACTATTTGAATTCTGCATTTTTTGAAAAAAATACATTTTTTTCTCTCACAAAATATCTCATCATACGTTATTTTAATATCAAATTCAATCCAAAATTTTTTCAAAACATGCCCGAAACCATTTCTAATCAATTTAATAATTTTTTTGTCAGTTTAACCCATTTTATATTATTATTATTATTATTATTCGTGTGGAAAAATAATAATATTATTAAATTTCGAGGAAGATTACCCTTGTGTGAGTGGCGTTGACTACAAGTCAACAATAAATTGTACTTTTGCAAGAATTCCGTGTCCTAAAAGCGTGCTGTCAAATTAACAGGAAATTGTGGGGAAGATTTCCAAATCACTCTAAACACAAAAGCGTGTTCCACATAACCGCAAAATCGTGTTTCGGGAAAAGCACCATAAAATCTGCATTTTTTTAGAAAAATATATATATTTATATAAAACTATAAAATTGCATTTTTACGAAAATGGTGCATAATGTAATTGTATGTAACTAGCCATATGAAATAATTTGAAATTACATTGTAAATTAGCATGGCCTCTGGTTTGATTTAGGAATTTGAAATCATTTTAATGGTTCAAACAATAATATTTATTTTAAATGTAAATTTATTTCGATAAATTTTGGTTAGAGTTATCAAAATAATTAGAATAGAAATATGACATGAAGTAATTGCAGAGAAGCGATTTGGAAAGTGGACTCGGTCAAATGGAATTTATTCATACAATTAATGACTTGGGTCAACTCTGACTTTTTCCGATGCTAAGGAAGTCAACAATACATGACTGTGCCTCAATAACTCAAAGTGGTGGTTGGGTGTGTTTATTTATTATTTATTATTATTCATTTCTTTTCTTGTAATTTATAAAATATTATATCAAATTATTATTTCAATAAAAATTTCAAAATAAATATACGCTCAATATATATAAAACAAGTTGTGAACTTGTGCATCAACGCCTACTACTTTATATGAGAAGATCAGTGTAGAATTTTTTATTTTTTATTTTTTATAAAAAAACTACTAAATTATTAATTATTTTTATAAAGCATCACATGCAACTATTATAATTTAAGTATAAGTTCATTATAAAAATATAATATTTATCTTTATAAAATATCACATTTAATTATTATAAATTAAGTAATTCAATTTAGGTAAGACATAAATATTACATTAATTAAAAATGTTACAATAATTATAAATTTAAATTTTATTCGAATTTTGCACATATTAGCATTGTGCTATAGACAATATATATGTAATATAGTATACGTTATATTAGTCATTTATTCATGAATTATTATCTAAAAGTTCTATACAGTCACTAATGAGATTATTATAATCTCAATTGAGTTTATAATATACAATTTTTATTGAAAATTCCTTTATAAAAAAAATAAAAATTTTATTGATCTTATTATGCTTTCGAAAGAATATTAATATGCTATATGTAACATCATGATATGTTTTTTTTCTACAATCGATAAGATATAAAACTTATTGTATCTTAAATAAATATTTGATTACAATGCTGACTAATTTGATTTAAACTTTGAATACTATTATATTTTCTTCATTCACTTGGAAAATAAATATTTCATTTTTGTACAAAATTTAATAAATACTATATTTTAATGACATTTAATAATAATTTTGGTATGTATTTTTCCTAATGATGTGTAAAAAGTATTCAATTTTATATTTGTTATTTATAGTAAAATATTTTTTATATAGAAAAAATGTGACATTATCTCAATTCTATGGGAAAATGTATTTTTCTGAAAATTGTGGAAGAACATACTCTAATTTATTTTCTTTAGTTTTATTACTTCCATTCTATTCTCTAACATATTGGTGTGTTTGGTTTGGAAAAGATTTTGTTTGCATTTGATATTAAAGTAATGTATGACGAAATATTTTGTGAGAAAAAAAAAATCGAAAATATAGAATACAAATAGTAGAAACATCAGGTTTGTAGACTAAATAAACAAACCTATAAAGTTTTTAAATTCTCTTCAGTTTAATACAATTTTTTTTTTCTTTTATTCTATTTTCGCTTTTTTTTTTTTAGAATTCTTTTCTTTCTCTTTAATTTTAATACAATTTATTTTCTTATACAAATACATTTTTTCAAATTATATATTGCTACAGAAATTTTGTCATTTAGAATGATCGATTAAAATTTTCTTATCAAGTATATATATATATAATGTGAGTCAAGTGGTAGAGAGTCAAAAAGAGAGGCCTCCACCAATAGCATACAACACAGCACACCACTTACGACTCTCACTCCCCACACTCACTTATTATTATTATTATTATTACACTATAAACAAACAAATAAATATATAAATTTTTGGTGCTTAATTTGAAAATTTATATTTTGAAATTTTAATTTGAATAATAATTTAGATGTATTTTATTAAATAAATTAATATATTTTAATAAAAATTATAATCAATTTTATATATATATATATATATATAGAGTGACTAAATGAGCACCACCATTTGTGATCAATAGATTTTACAAATGGTTGGGGAGGCATAAGTAGACAACCACTTGTGCCTGTTTGGTTTAATTTATTTAAATTATTAATTTTATATATTAATAATATTTGTAAAAAATAAAATTAGGCAAGCCCCACTTTGGTCTACTTCCCCATCATCCACAATAGACATTCACTCAATGACTTTATTTTTTAAATTATCTCACACTTATTATTATTATTATGGATAACATTAAACATTTTTTCTGCTCACTCACTCTACTTGGATTACCACGTCCTAACAAATTAATTAATAAATAATATAGTCTAGCCACGTCATAAATTACTTATTATTATTTCAACACTGATTTTGATATGATATTTTTATAGAAGAAATAAGCATATTTTTATAAATAAAAAAAATAAAAAATAAAAATTGAAGATTGAATAATAATAATAATAACAATAATAATAATAATAATTGTCAAGTAATTAAATCCTATAGCACTCTGTTATTATTCCATTTAAATTTTGGGTAGGGATTGGATCATTTGGGCCTGTTTTGATGCCAAGTCATAAGGCCCATATCTGTTTGGATCGAATAAATACCACAAGCTCATATCAACATTTATGAACCGAGGCCCAAGATTTGCAACCCAATAAATCCCAACATGTTGCAGTTTGTTTCATTTGTGTTTAGGTTTAAAATTTTTATTCAAGTTTAATACTTCATTTAATTTTTATTGTAAACCATATGAATTATATAATACATTAAAGTTGGTTTGGACATATTTTCATTTTCTTTTCTTTTAATTTTTATATTTGTTTTTTTAAATAGAATAAGTATTGGATGGTGTTTTATGTATGTATGTATGTTTGTTGAACATAATAAATGGTCTGTTTCATTTAAGTTTGAAATTGAAATTTTAATTTAAATACTACTATTTCGATATAATATTTTATAAAAGAAAACTAATATAATTTGAATTGTATAGAAAAAATATATATTATTGAACCATACACTTTACTACATATTTAAATTTATGATAAATTACATTAAATGTGACAATTAACAATACGGGAAGAGTTTTAACTGTGTCACAACGTGGGGAATATTAAATTCCTAATAATAATTAACAATTCAATTCCACAAATAACAACTGAAATATTTGGACTTTTCGCTTGGCAGTCGCGAAACGGCGTCGTTGCGCCCTCCTATATATAAATATATATATATATATATATATATAATCTAACGCATGGATTGCAAACACGTTTAAATCGGCAGAAGCTTAGAGAAAGCTTTGGTTGCAACAATGGCGGCCGTGGCGTACGGTGTTGAAGAGGAAGAAGTGTGGAAATGTGGTAAGCATCCATCGAAGAGACGGCGCAATGGTATCTGCGCAACTTGCCTCCGCGAACGCCTCGGCATCCTCTGTCCTCACTGCGCTCAGGTACGTCCCTGCCCCTGCGTCTACAGCTCCACGTCCTCATCCTCGTCGGCGTCGGCGTCGTCTTCGTCCTCTATCGGACGCGTTCTCGACGGAGGATCTACACTCCGCCGCTCGAGATCCGTCGCGATCCCCTTCCTCCGCTCGAGCAAAAACTACGACGATCCAAACAACCGTCGCTTCAAAACGCCGTCGTTCCTATCTGTTTTCAAGCGGAGCAAAACGAAGAGAAGCGAACAGGCGAAGGAGAACTTCAATGACCTCAACGGCGACGGCGACGAGGATAATTCCATCAGCAACCACCGAATCGAGGATTTCGCAAGGATGATTACTAGATCGCGGTCAGTCAACAGCGCCGCCGCGACCGCGTCCAATCTCCGCCGCGGCGACGCCACTTCGGCGGCGTCGAAGGCCAAATTCTGGCGGTTTCCGATGAAGATCTTCCGCAGTTAAAGTTCGACGAACCGCCTTAGCTTGTAAGTCGAATTTTTCTTATGTTCAATAAAATAGTAATTTCCACTGCACTTAACATTTGACTAATTTTACAATAAACTAATCCTTCCTTTCTTCGGTACACAAATTAATTAAACAGTATATTATGCTGATCTATTGTGAAATGTTCGATTAAATCGGTCAAGTTATGGCTGCTGCTGTTGTTGTTTGGTGACTGAGAATATTCCACTGCACTAATTTTTATAGTTATTTTTCTTATAAGTCTAAGTTTTGTAGGTGGGTTAATCATTTAACGTGACAACGACCACTGTTCCAAAATTTGTCTAATTTCTATAGGGTCATGTGGAAACCCTCCACTTTTGACGTTCTTGCAAACATGTATGGACTTTTTATTAATTACACAGATTATTCATACCAGATTTAGACAACATGTATGTCCTTAAAAGATGGTCATACGTAAAGATGGACTTATGACTATGAAATCATAGTTTAAATTTTAATAGGACTTTGCCTAAATTCGATTCACTTTGTGTGATTTATCTTGTCGATTAAAAGATTACCTAAAGAATCTAAACTCGACTATCGAGTAATATAATATTTTTTACATGCAATATAGGGTCATTGTGGAAATAATGGCAATATTGATGTATATATATATATATAAAGGTCGATATCATTAATTTATCATCAAAATTAAGTAAAAGAAATCATAAGCTATCTTCCAATTCAATAATATAGTTCATTCCAAAAGAAAATGTCATTACCCACTCAAATATGGGATTTTGTGGGTTATATATATATAAAAAAATTGTTATTATTAAAAAAAAAAAAAATACCATCGTATTAGATAAATGTGAAAGAAAAGCTAAAGAAATCATCACATAAATAAGGCCTAAATGATGTTATGATTTCTTCGTACCAATTAGAGGGGAGTGTTTGTAAATATTAGAATGGTATAGAAGATTGTACGTATAATGCTAAAGTATTCAAGAGCTCCTATTTGGATGGTTGGATCAAATCAATCATGACCGTCCATCACAAAGTTGGCTTTTATATAAAAGGGTGTTCATAATCATGTTCAACAATACACTTACCTAGCTCTCTCTACTTTCTTTATTTATAATTGTTTGAAATACAAAGCATTCAGATAGAAAAAAATAAAAATAAAAATAAAAATAAAAATAAAATAAAATTAATTTTTTTTGATTTATAGAAAATTTGATAAAACAAATTTGAAATATTTAAATTTAAATAAATAAGATAAAAACATAAATAAAAAGGAAAATGAACTTTGAGATTTTAACTGAGTATTATAAATAAGATAAAAATATTAAAAAATATAAAAATAAAAATAAAAATGAAATAAACTTTAATATTTTTAATGGAGTATTAAATTTTCTATTATTTATTAATTTTTTTTTCAAAAATATCAAATTAATATTTAATTTTTATATTATATTAAAAATTAATTTTACATTAAAAAAGTCACTTCTTATTTATATGATATTATATAATTATTTCACTTTAAAATATTCACTGTTAAGTTTTCAATTAAAAATCCGAGTGGGTTTCAAATAATGATAGCAGTTGAATTCAATTTCAGATGCTGATCTATTAAAATAATTAAATTAATGGGTAAAATTAAATTTAGCCTTTTGCACGCTATCCTATCCTTACTTTCTTAGACATATTCTATAGAGGAACTTAACTAATTAAAGGGTGTGAATGAAAGAAACCCTAAGTTTATTTTGCCATATGGTCCAACTTCCTTTCTTCACGCTGTAGCTACATTTTTTTATTTTTTTATTTTTTTTTTAGCATTCGTAGGTTACAGGAAGACTGTCATTGCAATCGTGCTGCAGACTAAATTTGTAAGCTTGGCTTTATCCTTTGTGTCGAATCCATTAAATGCCCACAAGAGACAAACATAACAGTTTGGAAATGGTCAAACTCGTACATAACCATTGGAGAACACTTCATCCATTTCTATGCTAAAGAAAATTAACGTGAACGGTGTTCTTACCAATGATGCATTAAATATAAAATCAAAGAAGACAAAAGGTTGTGTGTGAAAGTTAGTGCGTAAATCCTAGAGAGAAGATTATTGAGAAAAACTCTCACCATCCATCCAATTCAATTATTCACATTTTGAATGTGTGTTCTACACTGATATCAACCGGAGAGGTCGAAGGTATTCGGAATTAATGGTGTTCCAATCGGAGGGAATGATCAAGCTCTGGACTTCTTTGTTGTGTGGTCGTTGTTAGTAAGAGATATTTTTCTGGGTTAGCCATGACAATCATTAGAGTTAAATGAGTTGTGGTTGTTTGTGTCCTTAATCAGCATTGGTTAGTGGAATTCCTCCTGGATTGATATCTTCGGATGTAAATTTGTTGATAATCGAATCGGGTCAACAAACCACTTGTCTCATTGTTGTTTTATGTTCTGCATTGTCTTTCGTTGTTACAACTGTGAACCGCACACGCTTAGAGAGTTGGCCATTTAAAGTGTTTGAACGTATTTTGTTGGATAAATCACTTTCCCAACAAAAGATTTTGGTTTATACGGACTATAACAATGTTTATTAGCCATTAATTTGTATTTCCACACTTAATTTTTTTTATTACAATACAATAATTTTCCAAAAATATTAAAAAGAAAAATAGTAACAATAACGTGACAATACAAGTCAATAACACAATAATTTTGCATATTATGTATAGTTTTATTATAATATAAAACATGCAAACTCAGAGATCTTACCAAAAGCTTTAATACTATGTAGGATGTATAGAATGACTGTCAAGATTTTAGGATACGACATCATTAATATATTTATCTGCAAATCAAAGTCCCCAAAAACAATTATTATGAAGACGATGGAGTTTTTTATTTTGTTCATTAGAGGAAACGGTGTTGTTTTTCATCTCGAAAGAATGTGTTTATTTACATTGGATGTAAAATTTAAAAATACATTGATATTATGTTAATAATTGGTAGAAATAAATAGATATAAAATAATACTTGTCAATATATTTTAATTCAAAAGTAAAAAAATAGTAATATTTATCTTATAATAATTATAAAATAATTGTTTTATTCAATAATCTATTTATAAAAATGAAAGTATTGTTTTAAAATAAACAAAATAATAATAATAATAATAATAATAATAAAGAAAATTATTAAATTGGATTTGAATGAGTATTATCAATTAAATCAGCCAGAGCGACAAAGCTTTGTTGCGTCAACGGCGGCGGTGGCCTGCTGTGTTGAAGAGGGACAAATTGTAAATAATTCTAAAATTAAAATTAAAGGATACATTTCTTTTTTAAAAAATAGTATATAGTAATTATTTACTATAAATATGTATATTTTTTTTATAAAATATATATATAATGAAAAAATAAATTAATATAAACATATATAACAGTTGATACATTAAGACTACACATATAAAACAAAATAGACAATATATACTAAGAAGTTACATAACATCTACTATTAAATTAATTAAAACCATGTACTAATGGTTTGTTTACCCAATAAAAATAAAAAATAATAATAAAAATAAACACAATTTTCAATATATATAATATATATTTATTTTATCAAAATAATAATAATATTTAATACAAAATATTATTTTTATATTATAAACATAATACATCATATTTACTAAATGAATTTTTTTTAAAAAAAATCTCATACTTAGGGATTTAATATTCATTTCACATGATGGGTTGCTATCTGGTGACTAAGAATTTTCCACTCTATTTAATACTAATTCTTTTATCAGTAGTCTTCTTGGACATGTCAATAGTAGTTCTAAAGAAATAAATATTTGATGCAGTCAGTCAGTCAGTCAATCTATTAGGTTTTTCAACATTGGCAATTTTATATTAAATAAATAAATAATTTAATCTCATCGTTCCCCAGAATTCGACTTTTGCATAGACTTTTTCATCACTATGCAGATCATTTGTAACAACAACTACTACTATTTTTCACTTGGGCCCAAGGGGAAGATATATTAGTTTAACATTATTACAGCCCTCCAAGAATATGAACCCAATCTATGTCGATAATGACATAAAACCCCTTTTTACATAATTCAATTCAAACCAAGAAACATTCTAGACATATTGACAAAGTGGAAGAAAATTTTGCAATACAACAAGAATATGAATGAGAATGAACTAACCCAAAGAACACAGCCATCATAATATAATAGCAAAATAACCTACTGAGAGATTAAGGTTATGAACCACTCATTGTTCTTATTCAACAAAGAACTTTCCATGGGCATGGGCACTTATCATCCACATTTCACACACCTATACATCATAAAAACAAAAAGAAGAAACAAATACTAATACTATCACAATTCCAGAGTCTAACCTATACCTACCAACCTGTCCGTCGCTAAACAGGCAGTAAAAATTTACCAATCCATAGTCACAAAAAAAACAACTAGATCAACTCATAGTGCCCAAAAAAACCGCTAGATCAACTCATAGTGCCCAGAAAACCGCTAGATCAACCTTACCTGTAAGTCCCTGCGACCATATGGCGTGCATTTCTGACACTCGAACCATCACTGGCATGTGGGCCGTTAGACAACTCAGATCTCCTGCCCTTCTTTCGGCTCACAGCTGGATCACTTTGGGCACCTTTAACTGCAGACAGCAGTTGTTGAGCTCTTGAACCCTTGCTGGTTTTCTTTATCAATGCGCAGGCTTGCCTTGTTTCCATGTCATCCATTTCTTTATCCAGTCGCCTTTTGCAAGAGATGCGATCAGATAATCTTGCGTGCTCACGAGGCATGGAGAAGCCCACATCTGAAGAAAAAAAAGGAAAGATGTATAACATTACATTTACAGTTGCAGGCACTTTTGAAGCAATCAGAGCACAATTTCATGTATTCTTGCATAGTCAATATACCAGATGGGTCATCCCTATAGATCTCTGGACTGGGAGGTTGCATGAGTTCTTGCAAGATATCTTCACTTTTTACTTGGGATGGAGCATCCTCACTCTGATTAACTGGAGGAACTTCTTTCTGAACCTCAGATGGAGATGGAGAAGCATCTGAAGAATAATGAGCACTTGGCACTGCTGAAGCAGGCTCATCTTCGCATTTACTGCTCTCAGGGTTATTGCAAGACAACCTGGTGTACTTAATCTCAATTTTTCCAACTCTGTGTTCTTTTGAAATATCATTGCTCGCTTCATTAGAGTTAGAGTTGGGAGTGGGTTTTTCTTGCAAATCTGGAGACATTGCCGGGGCACTCTCAAGTACTGATTTCGGAGATGTATTCAGTGGTATATTTAAAACTGAAGTTAGGGCGTCGATGTAACTGGAGTACCAGGGAGTTCCCTCCCTGGCATAAAAGAGTATGTATGCCTCCTGTGACAGCACATAATCTTCATCCACTTGATAGACCTAAAAAGATACACCAAAACCAATGTCTCATCAGATTTAGTTTGAAATACCAAAGATGAGAACACAAAATTCAAGAGGAGTAATATGAACAACACTATGCAAATCTATAAAAGAATAGAAGAACAAACCCATATACAAAGAAGAAAATAAGGTTTACAGAAATACTATGCAAGCATTAGGATTAAAGGGAATGTGAATTACCTGTGAATCATCAAATTTGAACCACACTTTAGGAAAAATGCGAATGAAGCAACAGTAGTGCCCGCATGTAGGAGTTAATTCTATATGCACCAACACAGCATAGAGTAGATAATTAAGATCCTCCTGCAAAGCACATACAAACAGAGAATGGATCAAACAATAGATAAAGAACAATAAAGGTGGAACATAACGTCATGACTCATATCAAATGGAGCATGCGCATTTTATGATTTGGCCACTTAGAATAACTGGCAAATGTCATGCAAGTAGAAAACGTATCATTCGTAGATATTGACATTATATTAAAATGCCTAGAAACCTAGTAGAACTTACAAATCTATTTGAGCCACGATCAACAAAAGGCAGCAAGTCCAGATATAGTGGGAAGGGAACATGCTTGTCGATTTTATAACCATTGCTTTGGAATCTTTTTAAATGAAAAACTGCAATGTTAGGAGGTTGATCCAAGGAAAGCTGCTTCTCAACTGACACTTTCTCTTTGCAATTTTCACAAGTAATCTTGATCTCTGGATCAAGCTTTTCAACTTTTGTGAAAGACTGCAGAGCAGTTATCAGGTTATCTGCATCCTCAATCTCCATGCTCATGTCAACTAAAGGCTCATAAGTATTAGAAGAGTGACCACAGCTACAACACTTCAGCTGCATTAAGAACATATGAATTTGCATTAGAACTATATATTTATAGCATAAATGGTACATAACAAGTTGACAGGGTCTCTTTACATGTAGTCAAATAAAATATATAACAAGGGCATATTTGATAGTGTACCTTGCTGACAAGGCGACCACCAAAAATTTGTTTCACTATGTTGCCACGTTTTGAAGATTTGCATTCTTCCTCCTCTGAATCACATGTCTCAAGTTTATCCAGAAAGCACTGAAAAAATTCATTAGCATCTTCCTGCTGGAATGGCTTGAAAATTGATGAAATATCTAGTAGTTTTTAAGGGTTAAGGAACCCCTGTAGAAGGAAATATTCTTGAAGCAACCAAAATAGAAAGAACAAAAAAAAACTTAGTTCAACCAAGTTCAGTTTTCTGGAAGTGAGATATTGAGAGCTAACAATCAAATTGTGCAGATCTAAAAAGGTAGAAGCACCAGTAGCAGATATCTTCCATAAAAAATTTCTAGTAAATATTTGAACAAATTCCATAGAGAAAATTCTAATAAATATGTAAACAAGGATACAGCACAGGTTGTTGACTATGCCACTAGGAAATATAACATTTTCCGAAGCAGTCAAGGAGAGCTCAATCAGATGCTGAAGAGAACACACCAAGCAAAACCCATGAACACCTGCAATTTATGTTTAGATCAAATATAACTAGAACCCTTGACCAGTTAATATATATAACCAAAGAAAAAACAACACAACAGAAGAATGATCATATTAGACAGTGAATTATGACAACTATTTAACAAGACAGCTTATGTATTATGCCTGGTGTAATGCCTTAATAGATACAGCATAATCCAAGGGGGCAAGCACACTTAATAATAACAAGAAACGCTGACAAGCCCAAAAAAATAACAAAACCACGGACTTACATTGAGATTGTATTACATGTTTGCTGAACAGAATGCTATTGAGAAGCGGGGCAGTGTGTAAGAGGCATTGCAGCACTGAATTCAGAAAGCAACTATTGCCTAAATTCGCCATTCCACCTCCCTGCAAATTATTAACATATTATCATTGAAAATCCACAAAAATCCATGTATTTGTTAATAATAGCCAGGTAGAGGTCAATATGTAAACACGTAGACACCGAAGCAGTAAAATTTAACTCGAGAGTAAGATAAGATAACTGCACCACAAAAAGGGAGTATAATTAAAAGGGAAATTTTTACGACTGGCAAACAAAGAGATAATGAGTGAAAGTACAAGATTATATTCTTACCGCTAATGAAAGTTTCCTATTTCGCAACCGCTGCTGCAATGCATGGCTGGCCACAAATCCCCCATCGGTAAACGCAGATTGCCCACTCTTAAAGCTCAAAGGCGTTGGACTTTCAGATTCCAAAGGCTCCATACGAACTTGATCAAACTTGGGTTCGAAAGAAACAGCACTTCGGGGCGACGAATTGAAGAACTCGTCCCCACTTTTATCATTAGAGCCTCTGCTCTCTATTTCTTCTTCCACCATCAGAGGCGAATCGTATAACTCCTGTGATCCATCATCGCTCCGCGGCGAAAAGTAGTCGGAATTCGGGGACGCCGGTTGTTGATGCGGGTTTTCGTAACCTAGGGTTTCGGCGGAACCCGGCGGAGGAAACGGCTCTTCAGAATCGGAATCCATTGCAATCCGCAAGTGAAAACACATGAAACAAGAGTAAAATTACAGCGATAAACCGATGTTTTATACAACGAAAACGAAAAATTAGAGGGAATGGAAGAAGAGGGGGAATGAAATTAGGGTTTGGGAAAGTTTGAAAAAAGAGGAGGGAAAAATTGGGGGAATGAAAAACTGCAGTTGAGGGAAGAACAACTTTAACTCGTCGGGATTTACACGGAGGGGGCTTCGAAATAAAATATCATAATTTATACATATTTTGGCCCCGCCCGGCCCGGCCCTCCATGACTACGTGGTATGTTCTGATTGGCCTGGAATCTCGCAGTCTGTTTTAATATCCAACCTTACTTCAAATCAAGGTAAATTACATGTTAATTATTCCTTTTATTTTCACCTGATAATATTAAATTTTCGAATTTTAAGGCCAACTCTTGTCCAGTAAACTGTTTAATTCAATCTTAAAAATCATATGCAAATATATATATATATATGTCTGTAAAGGAAACAAATGAAATTGCAGCAAATGACAATATACGATACCATTAAATACAAAATTTAAAAACAATACAAACATTGTTCAATCTCCAGGAAGAATCTCACCTCAAATGCATTAAAGAAACACATTATATATCTATATTAGATTATATATATATGTCTGATGTGTCTCTTGTCTGTATGTCTCTCTTTCTCTGCATAGAAAGTTCCAAATCTTAAAAACCACCTTAACAAAGAATGCACATTTTTGTACACACAATACTACAGGCAGGTAATAAGACCGGATAGGATAGCCTTCTTTTACTCCCAAAGTCCCTATCATCACCAAATTTATAAGTTTCTTCATCAATTAGAGGATTCTGTCCTGAAGATCCGACAACAACGACGATGCGATGGTGCTTAGCTTCTTCCCCGTCTCTCCAGCCATGTTCTTAAGAGAGGAGATATCTTGCTGCGCCTGATGACAAAGATAAGATACGAAAGTGTGTTGGCTTCAAAAATTGAAGTATATGATTGATTGATAGGAGAGAGAGGGAATCGGGCTGGTTGCTCTTACCTGGAATGACAGTTTATTAATGAGTTCGCTTGCCGTAATGTCCACGGTGGAGCTCGAGTCGTGGCCAAAGAAATCAGCACTAGAGATTGAAGATGAACCCTACACGGGTAACGGGAACAAGTAAGAAGATTGCAACAGCGCTATCATTTATATATAAACCCGACGTGCATAGTGCGGATTAAAGGAAGTTACTACCATATTGTTAAACCGGTAAACAAAACGAACAAGAAAAGACAAAAACATGATAAATGACGTACTGCAAATTTTTGCAAGGAAACTGAGGAATCCATTTCACTAGCTGCATTCTGCACACCAAAGTACTGGGCAGACGATATAGATTTTGCATTAGAAAACTTCTTCCTTGCTTCATCTGATTCCTCAATCTGACAATAAAATCAAGGGATTTAATTAGAATTGGTAGCTTTCATGAACAAATAACCCCAATCAAGCCGAAGGGTCAAAGTTCCAACAGTATTCAAGGGCATTCGTGAGATGGCAGGAGAAACAAGAAAATAAAGCTACAAGCCTACACGGGTACGTGCCAGTCACTATATATACATATATATATATAAAGGAAAAATAAACCTAGGTCTCAATATATGGAAATACGCAATTATATTAACTATCACAGAGACGTCCTTGCCATATCCAAACCTTAAATATTTCCATCTGCATCAAAATGGAGTTAAGTCTCAAACCATCACTAACAAGTGCACGAATGTTAAAGTGCCCATAGTTCAAGGAAACATTAAAGTATGCTTACTTGTAAGTTGCAATATAGCCAGATTATAGCCCCTAATGCATTAATAATGGTTGAATATATGGGAATTAATTCCAGCATCAACTAAATTACAGTTATAAATGGACCTTTGTAACTTGTATTTGTAGAAAAGTATTCTCTTACTTGGATTTTCGATGAGTTCGAGCTACTCTTTTTTGGGAAGCCACTCTCCATCCCATATTCAGAAAAGAAATCTGTTGACTTTGGAGGCTGGATATGATTTACAACACGAGCACCACCAGAACCCATCTCAGCAGGCTGGCCATTCTCTGTATACTCAAACCTAGATTTAAATGATGAGCCAACAGCAGGGGCAGTAGCAGTAGCAGCTGAAGAGTTGACAGAAGAAACAGGTGCAGGTGGCTCTTCAGGCTTCTGGTCGTAAAGGCTTTCACTGGGCTGTAATCATGAAACAATTGACCGTTTATCAGATAGAAAATTACAAGAAGCGGACCTTTTGATCCAAGTATACAACAGAAATCCGAGACTCTTGCCTTAGTAGTAAGCTTTCGGGCACCCAAACCCCCAGTTCTCCCAGTTTTCTTTGCACCCAGAGTCTTCCTAACATTGATTGCTGCCATGGCTTGAGAGGCTCTTGGGGAGGCCGAGGCTTCGGGGGTACCATTTTTCTGAGAGGGATCTTCCTTTGGTGCATCATTCCAGGAACCTGCTTTGGACTCTTCAGTGGTGGCAAAATCAGAAAACCCATTTGAAGCTTTTGGCGACTGAGAAGCAACAGGTGATGACGGTAACCCTGCCTCTTCTGCATTGCTTTTAGCAACTTCCTTCGTAAGTAACTGCCTGTACAGTGCAGCTGCTCTTGAGGTGTACTTGGCTTCAATCTTGCCACCATCAGTCCATCCATGTTGCTTGAAAAAAACTTGGGCCCGGTTGTTACCGCCAAAGGACATCATTTTCAACTGCTCAGGAGTCCATGAATCCATATTTGTAGACCTATCATTCAAGACAGGTAAAGATACATCTTCTACCTTAAAGAATCAATAGATAGCTTGGGAGTTTTCACTAAATACAATGTAAACATTCATAATCAAGTCTTATTTGCCTGATCTCATGCTCAGATAAGAATGACAGACAATATGACAGCAACAGCAAGCAATCTCAAAGTAATGTAACAACATTGTATTCCTTTACATCATCTTTCTTGTTTCTTGTCAGTAACATCCTTTCATTCAGCACCTCTTGTATATGCCTAATCTTATTCTTAGTGTCACCATATTAACCATATACCTATAAGATGGTTGTTTGATTTATAATTTGAGTATGTGTGATTGTTCATCTTTTGACCATATCTCAATGGACATGATGCCTCCCTAAAAAAGGAATTGTAGAAGAAAAACAATCAAGATCAGATATATGGCAATTCAAACAGGCTTCGAATGGTGTTTTCAACACTTAATAACCAATTTTCTGAATGTATTTAGGGGGGTCAAGCACTTCCATAGCATCAACTTTGCAAATATAGAAACGATTATTGTTTCACCATTCAAAGCCATCTTCAGTAATTCAGAAAGTCGATAGTAAGAAAATGATTGCAGGATCTAACAAGAAGTTGGCTAGACCAAACTGCTGCCTGCCATACCAAGCCTGTCATAAGTGAAAAACCTTGACACTAAAACATTGCATTAAATCTGATTACCAATATTCATTTCATGGTTTACTTACAGATAAAAGCATTAAAATCCTAATATCATTCGCAATTACTCAGACATCATAAGAAATGCCACTAGAAGTGCATAAAAGTAGATGTGTTAGTGAAATGCTATAGTATACAGATGAGGGAGGGCATCGCTAAGCCCCAAAAAAAAGCACCATACACAACCATGGGTTACTGCCATATAAATTTTGATTCATTTGTTTATGCAGGAGAGCCAGACCAATTTATTATAATTAAAAAAATAAAATGGCTATTTTCCACACGCAAAAAATCAAACGGCGTAATTATTGCTACCCAGTGTGTGCATAGATTAATCATGCACACATCTAAAAAAAAAAATTAATCCATTAGTACAGGTGACGAAGAACAATCTATTACAATAAGAAAATGAAATGGCTACTTGCCACCCAGTGTGTGTCATAGAAACCATGGATTATCCAACTACTGCATAGAAATTCAGATCCATTCATGCAGGACAGGCACTGAAACACGTTATAATTAGAAACTTCCTTAGATGAAATGGCTATTTACCATAACCAAATAATCAGAAATTTGCAAGTTGCTTGCATAGATGCTGGGTAAATACAGACATTTCTTAGATTTCCTCATCAAAAATAATTCCACAACATTTCTTCGCCAAAAACAAGATGTCTGAAGCATACGATTATATGTAAAGTCTCCAACCATTCAAGCGTAAGAGCGTGGAAGGTTATTAATGGAATTAAGCATTTCAATGATAATGCCCAAAATGCAATATAAATTTACAAGACTTTTAAGAACCAGAAGAGAGGCAATAAAACAATTAATCAGAAATCAAAATAGGGACAAGAAGTACCTGACAAAGCTGACGTGAACACCGAGGCTTCGATGAACTCCTGAACAATCAATACACAGAAAGATCCCATAGGTAATCGACGCCCAAGTTGGGTTCTTCGCGTTGCAATCGAAACACATCTGAGATCCGAAACATCAATTTCAAAAAAGAAGAGCTCGATCTCAAAAGAACCGACCAGATCTGAATCAGATCTAGACATTACCCGCAACAATTAAAATAAAAAAAACTAAATAAATCACAAACCAAAACACGATACAAAACATCCCAACACAAACACAAATCCAAAAAATTAAAATAAAATGAGAATCACCTTATTCTCAGGCTTCGCCCTGAGCTTGCGGAAAACCACGTTCTTGTCGGTGTAGTTCTCGGACGCCATGGCCGCTGTATACCCCAAAAAGATTTTCGAAACGAATGCAAATGACAACAATCCGGCTCAATAATCAGAATCAGCGCAGCCTACCGCCTACCTTAATATAGAAAAATCCCAAAAAAAAAAGACACAAAAGAGAAAGAAGGAAAGATCGTATTCTCTCTGCGCACCTCTCCCCCTTTCCCGACTTCGAAATTCATTTCTGATCTCTGCGGGAGATAAAAATGAATGTCCCAGCCGGTGGTGACCTCAATCTTTTTGAAATCACGGAAATGCCCTTTCCTCCAGGGGTACTATAGTAAAATCAGTTGACGTAAATTTGGTGCCCTTTATTTGGTAGGTATATTAATAGTGCGATGCTCCAACCGCCTGCATAGGTATAGAAATAAATAATTTAATAATAAAACTAATAAATTTTAATGATTTATTGCCCTATTGGGTTCAGAAAGCCCATTTATTTTGGGGCCTAAATTGGGCTGATTTATTTAGGCCGAGATTTTGGGATGGGCTAATTTATCTACGGCCCAAACTAATTCCCATGCATCGAACCTAAATATTTGAAGGTCCAAACCCTATAGATCAAAGGTTGAGACCATCTTCAACCCATAACTTCATTTTTGCAGTCTTGCTACAATAATCCATCTCCAATCATACCCTATATTTTTGCACTTCTCGAACCATACCCTTTATTTTTGCACTTCTCCAACCATATTTTTCATTTTTGCAGGGTTAAAAAATATTCTTTTTATATTTTATTTTATATAATTTTTAAAATTACAAATAAAATTTAATATTTTATTATAAATTATATTTATTAATATTTTAGTGTATATTTAAATTAAAGCATAAAAATATTAATATTATTAAAAATATAAATATAGATTAAAAAAAACCAATATTATTGGATTAAACATAATTAGTACAATATAACTGATCGGTAGAGTTACTATACTCTTCTCATATATGTTCAATTAAAGCATCGCGTAGTTCAAAACGAGCTTCTCTACTTCTAATTTGAACATATCGCTCAATAAATTGATGATAGCATTCTTGATCCGTAGCCATTTTTTAAACAAAATAAAATAAAATAAATAAATAAATAAATAAAATATAAACAAAATAAAAAAATTAATGCAATTTTTTATTTTGTTGATGATATTTAAAAAATTAAAAATTAAATAAATATAAAAAAGAAATATATATAACTACACAAATAAATAGATAATATTAAAAAAAGTAAATAACTATATAAACAAATAGATAACTTTATAAGTAAATAAATAATTGTATTAAAAAAAATGCATCCGCTGAATCAGCTAGTGCTACAGTACCTGTAGCAAATCAGCAAGTGAATTCTGTAAAACTATAAGGTGAATTGGAGCAATTTTTTTCTTCCCACACGCAAAAATAGAGGAAAACCTCATATTGTCTAAGGCATCATTTCCTATTAACTCTCTTTTAATACACATTTAAAATTGCATTTGTTCAGATGTGGGAGTTTAGGAGTTTTGAAATTTAAAAAATTACAAAAAAAAAATGTAAGAAAGTACAAAATTAATATTATATATAATATTTTATGAATATATTAATATATGTAGAGTTGATGTGATATTATTAAAAATAGTGTCAAAATTCGAAAATTTGGTTGTGTATATATCGCCTCTAGGATATTTAAAAATAATCGGAAAATCATATCAATGTTTTCATTATAATTTATTTTGTTTTCCTAGTTTGCTATTTTTTATGCATTATCTAATACTTGTTATAATATGTTTGTGTTTACTTGAGTATAATTATAATTTTATAAATCTAAAACAACAAAAATTATTAAATTTTTATATAAAATAATTTTATTTGTAAATATATAAATTTATTAGAATTTATGCAATATATATACTATTGATTTGTCGTTTATATAAATAAACGGCTAATATCAAATATTTATTTTTACCAAATTATTTACCAAATTATTTAGCAAAAAAAAGCTAATACAATTGTTTAGTCCAATAAACAAAAAACAAAATTCAATTAAAAACTAACAGCTAATTATTACGTACGTATTTATTCTAAATATTATGGGTGTGTTTGGCAATTAGCTGTTAGCTGATTCAATTAGCTGATAGCTGTTAGCTGATTCAATTAGCTGGTTTGACTAGCTGATTCGATTAGCTGTTTGTATTAAAATGTTTGTAAAACAACTGTTTGATATTAGCTGTTTATACGTAAAATGACAATTGAGGACATTTATATTTTATTTTTATTTCTAATATATTCAATTATGTTCTTTTGAGTTTAGAATGTTTAAAATTTTTTGTTATTAGTTATAGAAAATTTTAAAAGTGTTATAAAAGTATTTATTTTTATTACAGTTAGATTTAAAAAAATAATATATTTTTATTAAAATATATAAATAGTTTTTTCTATTGAAAAAAATGTAAAATATAAAATAATAAATTTTTCGTATATATATTTATTATGTTAGTTATCGATTAGTTCATTATATTTATAATTTTCAATAAATTTAATTTATTTAATTTATTTTTAGTATAAAATTTATATAATGTAATTTTAATATAAAAATAAATTATTTATATTTATATTTTATATTTTATGTTGATTTTAATAAATTTATATATTTTACAATTAAAATAATTTTTATATAGAAATTAATTATTTTAAATTTATAAAATTAAAACTATATTATAATAAAATATTCTAATATAATCAAAATATATTTATTTGTGTAAAATGCATAATAAATTTTTAAGGACATACAAGGAATAAATTTTTTTTTTCAGAAAAAAGCTATTTCAAAACGCTGGGTAAGTTAACTTTTCAAAAATTAGTTTTTTAGGTCCAAAAAGCTATTCCAAAAAGCTAATTTACCAAACACCTAAATTAGCTTTTTAATTGGTCAAACAACTAAAAGTTGTTCAATAAGCTAAAAGTTATTTGCCAAACACCTATATCAATATTTATTCATATTTTATTCTACAATCATGTTAATTTAAATTTTTTTATCATTCAAAACTCAAGTAATATAAAAATCTACTCTCTCCGTCCACACAAACTAACGTCTTACTTTTTTATTTGGGATGTCCAACAAGTATTGTCTTATCTCCTTTTTAAACATAAATTTTACATTTTTACTCTTCATTCATTTATTATTTTTCATCTCTACCATACAATTAAGGGCAAACCGTGCGTGCAAGTATAGTTTATGAGAATAAAAATTAGAGGGAATGCAGGAGTATTTTGTAACTCAACTAAAAAAAGCAAATACCAAAAATCAGGTGGTAGGTGGTGTTTCACATTGTAGCCAACAAAAATCTATCTTTCCTAATTTAATTTTAATCATACTTGCCAAATCATTGAATTTGAATATAGTAAAACAGTTAGCTTAGAAGGGAAACAAAAATATCAATAATTTTTTAGATCAGATCAGTTATTGAATTCAGAACGAAGTTATGATTTTATTTTATTTTTTTTAAAAAAACACAGATTTGACTATAATATTTTATAAAAATAAATAAATAAATATATTGACCTGTAACATTATTTTACTAATATACAAATATTAGGTGATCATAATAATAATATGAATAAAGTGGGAAGCATGTGAGAAGGTGCGCACCAGTTGATAAAAATCATGAAACAAATTATTCCTCCACCATTGAAAACATGTGATTAATTTTATTACTACTTTTAGTACTATTATTATAGTACTTTTATTTATTTATTTATTTATAGGAATAATACTATCGCAATTTAGTAGTGATCCTATTTAAAATTTTAAAATTATTATAATTAATTGTAAGTTGAGTAATCCTTTATCCTTAAAAAATAAAATAGTCCAAATATTACGTGGGTCCATATTTAATTATTAATTTATTTTTATTTATCTAACTTTCATTTCATACTTCACTCTTGACTTAATCTAATGTTATTTTAGAATTTTCTTTTTTAATCTTGCTTAAAATTTATTTACCAATATAATACTCCCTCCGTCTCACATATCGTGTATGTTACACTGTAAGCATGGTATTTTAGAAGAAGTGTAATTAGTAAATAATTAAGAATGTATTAATAAAAATAATTATTGTATAATATAAATAATTATAAATTGGAATTAAAATAACTAATTAGTTGTATAATTATTTTTAAAAAAGAAAAATAACATTGAATGTGGGACGAGCATAAACGGTAATGTGGACATAGTAGGTGGGACGGAAGGAGTATTATTTTTATAATATATATTACATAGTCTTGACCAAAACCATATAAGTTTGCTTGGAAGTTAGGGATTGTATCTAATAATAGGTTTTTTTTTTAAAGACAAAATCAATTTTCAATTAAAATAAAAAATTATTGTAATATAAATATTTTTTTAATATATATATATATTTTTTAAATAATAATAATTACTTGTAACCAAACAAAGCCTCGTAAAGGAGACCAAGGTGTCTTTGTTTGAGGGTTTGGATTTTGAGTTGGGATTTGAATAATAAAATTTTGAATTTGAATAGTTATATGATGTGATATAAATAGGTGTTGATGTGATATTTTGAATATAAAATTTATTTTTTTAGTGTAATATAAAAATAAAAAATAAATGTTTAATTTAATATTTTTAAAAAATAAAAAATAAAATAAATAATAAAAATCCAAACAAATCCCTCAAACAAACACACCCTGAAGCCCTGAAGGTTCATGGAGGATGTGTGGATTCTGAATGTAAGTCACTTGTCGTTATATTGTTGGCTGAATTCTTATCTATATTATAATAATTAATTAATTAGGCACATTAACTTTTCTGTCCATCTTCCTCTCCAGGCTACAATAAATTTACTTAATATTGTACTATTATTGAAAAAATATATATATATATAAATAAAGAGTACATAACAATAATCTATATATAAAATATATCTATACAATACACTACATAAACTTAAATAATATCTACCTAATATTAAAAATATTTTTCTTAATTTATAATATATTACACAAATATCGTTACTTTTATATCATAGAATACTAATATAACTAATTTAGTCTTTTTACTTTTATTTATACTTTATCTCAATATCATACAAATATTTATAATATTTTGTACAAAAAAAAATAGATATATAGACATGGGTATAATATTTGTTTTAAAATTTTCAATTAATATAATATATACTATATGAATTAATATTGCGCATAGTGCGTAATGCCTCCATCTAACAACTGAAAGTCCATTTAAATTGACTAAAAAATAAATAAAAGCGACATAACATAAGTACAAACATCAATTAAAATTTAAAAATAATAATAAAAAATATGTAATATATTAATTTTCATAGAAAAATGTATTTAAATTTTGTTAAAATAATATAACCTTATATCTTAAATAAAAAAAAAAAAATATATATATATATATATATATATATAACTTCAAACTATTTTACAAAAACAAACACAACCTTTTGGTCAATCCTACTCACCAATTATATATGTAAATATTTTCTCAATAAAAAGAGAGAGACTAAGTAAAAGGCATCTCCTGCCCTGCCACATCCTCCATTGCCTTTTTTCACTGTCAACTCCGCTACCACTTCACCTCACGTGGCCTGCCCAACTACCAATACCCTTCAAATAACAACAAAATGTCTGTCTTTCTCATACTTATTACAAGGGCTTGATCTGACTTGAGTTATTATTATACACAAACTTCTAACAAATACAAATCAACTACAAACATAACAACATTGACGACGACGAACAGGTTACACAGCAAAAAAAAAAAAAAGAAGTAATAAACAGTAAGTATCATACACAGACAAACAAACACGTTCTTACCCAAGAAAGAAAGCAAGCAAGCATATAATACTCTACTACACTGTCTACCTCGTCTCTCCGACTTTGGATATCAACGCCGCCCGCAATTGATCGTGCGTGAAGAACCTCCCTTCCAGCTTCACCGTAGCCTGCTGGATCATCAGATCATTCACCACCGACACGCTCGCGTGGTTCAGCTCTAAGTCCAGCTCCCTCAGCGCCACCATCAGCTTCGCCGCCGGGTGCTGCTTCTTGCTGCATTGGATCCGTATCATTGCATCCCAACCTATGATCTTCACGTCTATGTCCATGTCCGATGGGATCGTGTTCCCCGACGACGACGATGCCGATGATGCTTTCAGAGGGTCGCGGGAGGACGACTCCTTTACTGCTAGCTCCTTCTTTGCTGCCTCCAATTGCCCCCGCAGGTCCTCCTTGTCTGACTCCACTTTCTGGACTTTGGACTTGAGCTCGTTGATGTAGGCTATGGCGTCGCCGAGGAGGGAAGCTTTGTCCATTTTGGACACGTTCGGGACCACGGCTCGGAGGGCGTAGAATCTCTGGTTCAGCTTCTCCCTTCTCTGCCTCTCCGCCTCCACGTGGTTCAGCGGCTCCTCCCGCCCGTTGGCCGGCTTCCGGCCTCGCTTTCGGGGACGTTTCTCTGGCTCGATTATTCGGGCGCTGTCCACTTCCTTCACGACGGAGGCTTCGAGGTCGGAGTGGTCGGATTCGATGGTGCCGATGTTGTCGGCTTTCAGGGCGCCGGAAGAAGGTAAAATCGCGCTGGAATTGAAGGATAGCATTCCGTCCTCTGTGCTTCCTCTTGATGTTACAGCAGATCTCTTCTTGTTTTTGTCGTCGAGGGATCCGATTGGATTTCCATTGTTCACGGCTGCGGAGCTTCTCTTGGTGCTCTCTCCGAAGTTGAGAATCTCCCCTGTTTCTCGCTTGCAAGCGCCGCCGTTGCTGCTGCGGGCGCCATGGGAGCCGAATTCGGAGAAATTCAATTCTCTGGTGTGGAATCCTTGCGATTGGAGATGTGGACTCTCTGTTATGGTGCTGGAGCTCCGATTCTCGTTGTTGAACATCATTTGCTTGCTTGTGAGAGTACTGGAGGAAGGAATTGAACTGCCGTCGCCGTTAGGGTTCTGACTATTGCTGGTGGTGTTGAGAGAGGCGGTGGGGTCTGTGAGCCATAGAGCCGAAGGATCCGTCTCTGCGGAGGTCCAATGACCGGAATTGTTCTCGATTGGGTTGAAATTGAACAGAAACCTAACCTTATTCATCAGATCCGAACTCTCGAAAATCAAATCAGTCGAACCAAGCTCAACCACTCCATTCGACGATGGTATACAAACCAAAGTCTGTAATCCGAATCCGAGCGCCTGGCGAGCTCGCTCGCAGTGAGAGGCGGCGAGCCTCTCCGGACCGGCGACCCACACGGGACTCGAGGTGTACAGTGCTTGGCCTGGGAGTCCCGACCCGTTAACGAAGGTCTGCGTCATCGATATCAGGAAGAACCACTCCGTATCTGTAACTTCCTCGTCTATGGCGTCGTCTGCAGTCGTCTGAGGTCCCGAAATCAAAGAGTTCAGCTCCCGGAGCACCTTCTTCCTGTGCTCCTGCTCCGACGGAGACGACGCCGTTCTGCGCTTGCCTTTATTTTCCTCTCCTTTGTAATATCCATCGCCCCATCCCAAAACCGAAGGACCTGCGTAATCAACCACTGACGACTGCCAAAATATCGCATACGTCCAGCTCTCTCGGGCGCCTTCGATCAACGCCAGAAGCCGCTGCTGGAGAGTCTCCTGATTGAACAATTGCGCCGCCGCTGCGGCGCCGGAACCGGAGGTTTTTGCGTGTTCCGCCACCGGCGGATGCGTGTAGATCGGCTGCTGAGCCGACGGCCACAAAGACGTCAGATCGGATGCGGTGGATGACATGAACGCATCCATCACCGAAGCATCCCCTTCCCCCACCGCCGCGGCGGCGCCGCCACTACCGGACCATATATTATTCATATTCTCTGTCGGCAGCTGGTAATCAATCATTCCATGTACAACCCAAATTCCCTCAAATACAACAAATTCACCGCCCCCGCCGCAGAAACAGCGATACGAATTCAATCGCGCAGGCAACCAAATTGTCCAGACGATAGGCGAACGCAGAAATCTGAGGCGGCGTGTGGCGGAGAAGAAAAGTATGCGGATAAGAGAAAGGAAATGTAGTGAGAGGGAGAGAGAGAGAGAGAATGAAACGCTAATTCGGAGGAAGAATTTGAAGTGCGTTTGGGATTTTATTTAGAGTGAATTTCAGCTGCATTTAGCGAGTGCGAAAGCGTGGGGACGGCACTTTCCACTAATACGACGCCGTTTTGGCTCTAATTTCACATCAGTCCCTCTACTTTTAGTGAACCACCTTTCCACCCCAACCAACTTTCCTACAATTAATTCCCTCATGAATCAAATAATAGCACAAGATTATCATAATTATATGCTAAACTGAGGTAATCAGATTTTAACCTAAACAATTAGCAGGATTAACTGAACCTATAATTTTATAATTCTTGATTAAAAGCTAACCAAAATAATATTGAAATAATCGACTTCGCTAGTAAATTTAATTTTTAATATTATGTCTACTTACAATTTTTTAAAAATTTATTTTCGTAATATTCATTAATATGTTACTTATTCAATGTATATATATATATATAGCCATTACATATAACACCAATTTACATCGCCAATCAATTTTCATATAAAATTTTATTATTCCTAAAAGAATTAAAAATGTCAAAATATTAGTATAACATATCTAAATATAACTGTGTTTATTTAGCACATTTGTTTAATATTCCCTCAGTCTCAAACACCCAGCAATATTTCTTTTTTGTATGTCCCGAACACGCAATATTTTCAAAATAGGAAATAATTAATTATACTTAATCTCTACCCCACACTCTACCCCCTCACATCATCCAAATAAAAAAATAAAATATATATTTCTCTCTCCATCACATCACCTCATTTCTAAATTATGCTACTTAATACTACCCACCTAAAAACCCGTGCCAAAAGCAAATGTGGCACATTATTTAGGACAGAGTGAATAATATTTAATGAATAGCTTTTCATTAAATTAATATATTTATGTATATCGGGGCGTTATGTTGGTTCTTGCATGCATTGGAATTAAATTTTCATCTAATTTGCCAAATTTGAAATCATTTTTGAAAAGCTGGACAATTCTTTACTGCTTTCGTTAGCATCGCATTAATACAATGAATCAAGACGTAAATTAATAAATAAATAGATGATATGTGTTATTTCCATTAATATGCTAATTCTAGATTCATGCCATAAAGTGACAGTAGTTATGCGAGAAATTTGGAAATTTATTTATCTCATATATTTTTTACCATTTCATTCTCAATAACTGTAGTTATTTGTCTTAGTTCATTTGGAAATTGATTGATTTTATATTTTTTTTAAATAATGAATTAAGTATAATTATTGAAAAATAATACTCTCTTCCGTCCTAAATAACATGTAACATTTTATTTTTGGTATGTCTCAAACACCTGCAATATTTTCAAAATAAGAAATAATTAATTATACTTAATCTCTACCTCACATTTTATCCCCTCACATCATCTAAATAAAAAAATAAAATATATATTTATCTCTCCATCATATCACCTCATTTTTAAATTATTCTACTTAATACTACCCACCTAAAAATTCGTGACAAAAGTAAATGTTGCACCTTGTTTGGGACGGAGGGAATACTATATTTTATGAAAACTCGCAAATTGTTATATAGTAAGTGTTGAGAACTCCTAATTGCAGATATATGATTAATTATTGCATTTTGTTTTTACATTTTGAAATTTTAGATGAGACGGTGATCTGTATCTGATCTGGTATCAAAGCATGGATGAAGTATTATAGAGTATTTTATATAATATAGCATAATACTTTATCCGTCCAATTAGAAAGTATACATATTTCTATTTTGGAGCGTCCAATTACAAAGTAAATATTTCATTAAATACCTCATTTTTTCACAAATCATTATTACTTCTACACCAAAAAGCAAGGACAAAAATATCATTTTATTACTTTTAACTAATCAGTATAATTAAAATATTATTATTTCTTAAATACCGCGCCAAAAGTAAATGATTACTGTGGACGGATGTGGGAGTATTATTCTATATACCCACTAAATATTTAAAAAGTGAAACAATATGTTCTTTTTGTCCCCGATTAAAGTAATTTTGTGATGTTTTGTAATATATTAAAAAATAATAATATTTTATTAATTAGTATAAGTGTGTAAAATATTTTAAAATTTTTGCTCTTTAATTTTATTTATAAAGTAATTGTATGTATAATATATTATGTTTGAAATTTAAGTAAAATTCAAAACTATTTTGATATTACTATATAATTACTTTTAATAAAATAAGAAAAATATATTTTTAAGTAAAACAGACAAATAATAATAAAAAAATATATATTTTGAATTATGACGGATAGAGTATAAAATATCTTCTACCGTCTTACAATGCATATCATCTACGGTCTTTAAATGGTTGAAATCATATATTAACTATTAATTACATTGACATTTGTTAATTATTATTATTATTATTTTATAAGAAGAACTTATATAATGACCATTCATTTGTACAATTTATTTATATTTAATTAAATATATTTATATTGAATGTTTATAAAACCCTGCAATAATTTTACATCATATTACAATATACTATATCAATATTATTTATTCTAAATGTATTATTTAAATACTTTAATCGTTTCTTGAAATTTATTAATAGCGCTTGCAATTATAGTATTTATTGAAGATCTTTATCATTAATTATTTAAAGGTAAGATCCCCTACAAAAATAAAAGTGAATAATACTACTAATACTTAGCTCATATATATTTAAAATGGATCATGCTGATACTTCTTCTGTTCCGAGATAAATGACTAATTTATTACGAATACGATTATTTGTATAAAATTTTGTTTTTTTTTTTGTGAAATTTTTCAACATATTTTTTTAAAAAAAAATTTATATATTATACACATTCATTATTTTTATATTGACTATATAATTTTCTATATCTTACATGAAAAAGAAAAAAAATTCGAACCAAAATATAGAATAAATACAATTTTTATAATTATTTTAGAAAAATTTAAAATTAAAATACAACGGAAACAACTGTATTTGCTTAATAAGTACTCCGTTCTTCCCGCGACAAATGATCAATTTTCTTTTTTTGTCCGTTTCATTAAAAATGATTCCTTTTTATTTTTAGTAAATTTATTCATTTTAAATATATTTAACAAATATAAATCAATTTAATTAAATTTCTAACATCTTGCAAAATTCCTTTATTTCTATCTCTCTTCTCAATAAATAAATATTTTTATCTATATTTAAAATTTCTTATTTTTAATAAAATTAGTTTTAAGTTAATTATAAATAAATAAATTATTATTTTTATTTATTTGTATTATATAAAATTTTATTATCTACAAAATGATATCCATATTGTATATATTTTATTGATATATAATGCTAAAAATATTTAATATACCAACAACACTACTCATATAAAAATAATAAAATAATATCTTAACTTATTATTAAATAACTTACTAATCTACCTAACCTAAAATACCGTGTCCTTAAACAAATGGATCATCTTGACCGAGATGGAGTGAGTATTTAGTTTGATCTACTTGTTTAGTGCTACATCTGTTCCGTCGTATATAATCCATTTTTCTATTTCGTATTGGTCTTACAAAGATGACCTATTTAAGACTTCTTATATTAGGACTCACTCCATAAAATTATATTTATATATTTCTCATTAAAAAAATAAATATTTTTTTATCTATATTCAAAATTTTTCATTTTTTATAAAATTAGTTTAAAATTAACTATAAATAAATATATTTATATATGTTTATTTATTTGCATTATATAAAATTTTATTATCTACAAAATGATATCTATATTGCATATATTTTATTGATATATAATCCTAAAAATATTTAAAATATCAACCACACTATTGATCTAAAAAAAATACCATAACTTATTATTAACAACTTACTAATCTATACTACCTAAAATACGTCTTTCTAACAAAAGGACTCATATTTTCCGGGACAAAGGGAGTATTTGAGTTTGAAGTTGTAATTATATACTTCTTTATCCACATAATTTGTCTATATTTTCTATTTTGACCGATCTCACGTAATTTATCCTTTCATTTTTTTAAAATATAATTATATACTTAATAACATTTAAAATTCATAATTTATAATTATTTTATTTCAAGTACTATTTAGTTATTCTAAATTTAATTTATAATTATTTTTATTATATCATAATTATTTTACTAATATAATTTTTAAATTACTTACTAATTATATAATATCTAAATTTTATATTCCAGCTAAAATGGACAAATTAGTTGGAACGGAGAATATATTAAAAATAAATATTTATATTAAATTATTAAATTTTATAAAATTAATTAAATTATATATATTAAAAAATATTTGTGTGAACCTAACCAAACCCTAAATTTAGTTTAGTTTTGATTCATAATCTCCGCCTAATCCTAGTAGTATTAAAAAATGAGTAATATTGGCGGCTGCATCGCATGTCACGTGAAATGAATCCTGACCGTTAATCCAGTCAACTAGAAAACAGTGAGAGTATTCGATATTCTCCGTGTAAACGCGGGATAGCTATGGAGACACGTTTTGCTCGTTCCTGGCGTGACCAGATTTCCGATTATTATTATTATTAATAATAATATTACTACTTTTTTCGTGGTCCCATTATTGTTTTATTTATTTAATTAATGTGCTCCACCTTGGACAGTAACGCTATTGTCATCTACTTGTTTATTTGCACATATACCCCTGCAGCTATTCCAATACTCACTTCCGCCCCTTTTCTTCTCAAAATTAATTTATGAAGGGTCTCTTTGTTTGGGGGGATTGGATTTTAATTTACTGTTCAACCTATTTTTTCTCCCCCAAAATATCAAATTAAACTGTTGATGCTATTTTTTCAACAATAAAAAATAAAATTTGAAAATAGAAATTATCTTCGAATTTGATAAAATAAATGACTGAGATTAAGAATCTTTACACACTGTAGGATACATAAGTAAAATAGGAAACTAAATACTAGTAGTGATCCCTAAAAACAATTCTCTTGAATTTAATGCAGATGATTTTTAGGTTA